TCCTTTTGCTCCTATCTTAATTATTTTCTATGCTATTCACCACACCAGCTGCCTCAAACCTTCTTTCCTCAAGCTTCTAGAGGTACTCCCATCCCCACCCACTAAACTGAAGACAGTACCTCATACTTTCTTGAGAAAATTGAGGCTATTCACTTCAAGCTCCTTCTTCTCCTCTTCTCATTAACAAACTCCTTGACATTTCCTATGAGCTCCTCCTTTACTTCACCCTCTGAGAAAGAGAAGGCCCTTCCACTTAAAAGTCTAACCCCCTTTACATGTACCTTCAATTTCATACCCTCCTGTCTTTACCACTGGATTATCCTCACTATCACCCCTCACTTCTTATGTTCAATCTCCCTTTATTTACTGGTTCCTCTCCTGCTATCTACAAATATATCCAAGTTTTCTCTATCCTTAAAAAACCCCCCAAAAAACCTCCCATTATATTGCATCTCTGCCAGCTATGGTCTTAGGTTTACTCCTTTTCTCAGCTCTTAAAAGTTCTTGAAAAGCAATGCACCGTCTCCACTTCCTGCCTTCTCACTCTCTTCTAAACTCTGCAATCTGGCTTCAGCCCTTATTGATGAGCTAAAATTGCTTTCTAGAAATTACCAATGATTTCTTAATTGAGAGCCTCTTAATTTTCTTGGTCTTCACCCTTCTTGACCTCTCAACAATATTGTTTACTGTTGTCAGCTCTCTACTTCTGGATACCATCTCTTTTCTGGGTTTTCATGACATTGCTCTCTCTGGGTTCTAATCTTACATATCTGACTACTTCTTCTCAGAGTGATTTGTTGGCTCACCATCCATTTCATTTCTCTTAACTCCCCCAGACCCTCTCTCATGCCCTCTTTTCTCTCTACATTGTCACTTGGTGGTCTCATCAGCTCCCTTAGGTTTGATGATCATTTCTATGTAAATGTCTCCCAGAGTTACATATCCAGCCCCAGTATCTCTCCTGAGCTCCATTTCCATGTCACCAACTGCCTCTTAGACACTTTCAATTGTACGTCTCATGTTGTTGTTGAGTCATTTCAGTTGTGTCCAAATCCTTATGACCCCATTTGGGGTTTTCTTGGCAAAGATACTTGGGGTCGTTTGCCATTTCCTTCTCGAGCTCATTTTACAGATGAGGAAACTGAGGCAATCAGGGTTAAGTGGCTTGCCTAGGGTCACACAGCTAGTAAGTGTCTAAGGCCAGATTTGAACTCAGGTCTTCCCAACTCCAGGCCTGGCGCTATATCCACTATGCCACCTAGATGTCCCTATATGTCCCATAACATCTCAAATTCAATATGTCTAAAACAGAACACTCAGTTTTCCTCCCAATGCTACTTTTCTTCTGAACTTCCCTATTTCTATCAAGTTCATCACCATTCTTTTAGTCACCTGATTCTCAATCCTTGACTCCTCACCCTCACTCACCCCACATCTTCAATCAGTTGCCAAATCTTGTTATTTCTTTATCTATAATATCTCTTCTATATGTTCCCCTCTTTCTTTTTTTTTTTAAGACAATTGGAGTTAAGTGGCTTGCCCAGGGTCACACAGCTAGTAAGTGTCAAGTGTTTGGTCTGAGGCCAGATCTGAGCTCAGATACTCCTGACTTCAGGGCCCATGCTGTATCCACTGTGCCACCTAGCTGCCCCTTGATCCCTTCTTTCTGTTCACACAATGAGTTTAGTCCCTCATCACCTCTCACCTGGATTAATGCAATTGCTTCTTAATCCACTTAATCCTATTCCAACTCATTTTTCACACAGTTAGCAAAGTGATTTTTCTAAACTGTAAACCTGACCATGTCACATCACTACTCAATAAGCTTCCTCTTAGCACCTCTTGAACCAAATATAAACTTCTCTGTTTGGTATCTAAAGTTCTTCACAGCTTGGTCTCATCCTACCTTTCCAGTCTTATTATATATTATTTCAACAGATATACTCATTTATTTTCGGCTGTTCCTCACATCACCCTCTGTCTACCAACTTTGCGTCTTTTCACTGACTATACACCAACCCTAGGGCAGCTAGGTGCAGTAGATAGAGCGCCAGACTCTTCTTCCTGAGTTCAAATCCAGCCTCAGACATTTACTAGCTTTATAATCTCGGGCAAGTCACTCAACCCCGTTTGTCTCAGTTGCCTCATCTATAAAATGAGCTGGAGAGGGAAATGACAAACTACTTCAGTATCTTTGCCAAAAAAACCTCAAATGGGGTCACAAAAAGTCAGACACAATTAAAAAAGGACTTAAAGGCAACATTTTCCAATATATCCCATCCCCATAAGAGGAAGAAAACATTCAAATCAAACTGACCAAAAAAAGCAACTTTGTGTGACAGGATATGCAACATTTTGCACCCCTGCTCTCAAATTCCATCATCTGTCTTCAGGGTCAAGATTGAACCACTGCGTAGCTGAATTCATCTCCCTTTTGGTGTCTTTCAGCCTTTACTAAACCCATCCTTCTATCTGGTCTTTAAGAGGTACAGCCTCTTAATTCCCATTTCCTGCTGTACATTCCTCTTCTCTTTGTCCTTTTGAAGTTTCCTACCTCTTCTCCCTTCTTCATTCCATCTCTTATTACTCTGTGACATCTGACGACTAGGCATAAGTGATTCACTCAGCAGATCTCTCAACACTTTATTTAGACCTTTTTTTAAAGCACTGATTCTGTTATGATTTGTGTAGGGAATATACTTTGATTAATTGCATGCCTTAACCTACTAGACTGTGGTCTCCTGGAAGCTGGCTGGGGGAGGACAATGCACAATGTATTATTGTAGACGGCTTGTTGACTTGTTAAATTCTGGAGTGCCATAGGAACAGCAATTGGACTTATTTTGAGAGTGGAAGAAAGAAGTGGCAAGAATACTGCCAATGTCCAGACTTCTCTGAACCCTCCTTTCTTCCTTTTTCTTCAGGCTTCCTCATTTCAAATATTCTGCATGGAGTATGGCACAGAATGGTGCTTATTTGAAATAGGTCCATCCTCCTTTAGGATGTATTCAGATGGCAAATATTCCATACCCAGTTATTGTGTGCTTGTTTCAGAATTCAGACAATTACTCATATTCATGACTTCCCTTACTATCTCACATAGAGGAAATACAAGGTAATATTTTTTCCCCTCTCTTCCCTCAGGTTGCTGCATCACATATCATACAAAGTCATTAATGTAATGAGGGTTTTTCTTCCTGTGACTTACTGGTGTGTTATTATTTACTACTAGTGCCCATGCTTTTATTACTGTTTTATGCCTGCCACACATTACCCTCTCAGATTAAAATAATAATGACTCGATTTAATAATACCTTCTACTTGGGGAGTTGCTTTCAACCAAACAATTCTAGGTTCTCTACTAACATTACATCATTCATTCTTAAAACACTCCTGCAAGGGAGACCACTCTTACTATCTCCTTCCGGGACATCCTGCTATAGCTCTGATTGCCTAGGACAAAATCTGGAGTCAAAAGGATCAAAACTTCCACAAACACAGTCCACAAATAAACTTCTGAATCAGTAGTGATATTATACACAGACTGGAATTAGATTGTAAACTTCTCTAGATCAGGAAAAAGTGTCTTCTGGATAGAAAGCAAGCCTCCAAGACAGCAAGACCTGGGTTCCAGTGTTGCTTCTGACACATACTTGCTGTGAGATCTTGGACAAATACATTGACTTCTCAGTGCTCTAGGTAAATGGGCAGCTGAGTGGTACAGAAGATAGAGTGCCTGATGAACTGGGGAAGGAAAAGGCAAGCCACTCTGATACCTCTTTTTTTTAATTTTTATTAATTTATTTTGATTTTTCAACAATCACTTTCATATGCTTTTGAGTTTAAAATTTTTCTCCCCCTTCCTTCCCACCATCCTCCACAAGACAGAGCATAATCTGATATAGGATATATATACATATATACATTCTTATTAAACATATTTTCAGATTAGTGATGCTGTAAGTAAAAATTAGAACCAACCAGGAAGAGGAAACAAAACTCAACAGAAGAGAAACAAAATAGCAAATAGTATGCTTCTATCTGCATTCAAATTCCATAGTTCTTTCTTTGGATGTGGATGGCATTTTCCATCATGAGGCCTTTGGAGATGTCTTAGATCCTGGTATTGCTGGGAAGGGTTAAGTTTATCAATATTAGTCATCGAACAATGTGGCTGTTATTGTGTACAACATTCTCTTGGTTCTGCTCACTTCATTTCACTCTGGTATCTCTTGACCCCAAATGGGATCAAGAAGAGTCAGACATGGCTGAAAAATGACTGAAGTACTCTAGGTAACCCAATAAAACTGTAAGTTACTGAGAAGGTATCAACCCACATTGGTAAGGAGTTCCCTGTCTCAATGAAATCACAAGCCCAGTTTCTATCTTTAACCTTTCAGGGCCTAAAACAATGTGCTACCCAATTGGGCATATCTGAGTAATTGTGAACTGCCTTTCTACCTGAGGTGGGGGGGTGGGGTGGCTAAGGGGCACAGTGGATAGAGCGCTGGGCTTGGTGTCAGGAAGACCTGAATTCAAATCCAGCCTCAGAAGCTTTCTATCTGTATGACCTTGGGCAAGTCACCTAACTGCCATCAGAGAAGGAAATAGCAAACCACTCTAGTATCTTTGCCAAGAAAACCCCATGGATAGTATGATCCATGAGGTCATGAAGAGCTGGACAAGACTGAACAACAATTGCTACCTAACAAACAATTGATTCTATGATTTTTGCATTTTCAAGACTCTGCCTGCTCTCAGTGTTTTTAAATTAAATTATCTGGAGTGAGATTTGGAGGGTTGTTTATTTGGGAGAAGGGACAATGTTCACCCTCCCCCGGAAACCTTCTCTGTCTTAGGTGGCAGGATCATGTTGCTTTTGAGCCTTGTGTTTTTATTGTTTGTATGTTCTTCTGGAGCCTGGATTCGCCCAATTACCACACTTCCTTGTTCTTCTGCCCACTGGTTGTCTGAGTTCCTTAGCAATAGAAGCTGGAGGCTGCTCACTTTTGTTTTCACCCTGCAATTACAGGAAGAGGACAGCTATGTTTCGGGTGCTCCTGCCCACTGTGGTGTCTTGGGGCTTCTGAAATCTGTTTGCTGCCAGAGAAACACAAGTTTCAGCAAGTAAGAAGCCAAATCCAATCCCTTCAAAAAGAAGTGGAGACAGCACGATGTAGTGGATGAAAAGCAGCCTTGAAACATGGGAGGTAATACCTGGGTTCAAGTCTTGTGTCTCATACATACTGGGTGTGTCACCCCTGGGCAAATCATTCAATCTTTCAGCCCTAAGACTGCTAGCAACTTTCTAAGAGCATATGTGACAGAAAAGGTGCCAGGAACTTTGGTAAGAGGGAGTTTCCCCAAGCAGGAAGTTCCCAAAGACAATGAAATCACAGGTCCCATCCCTATCTTAAGCAGGACAACAGAACAATGAAAATCCTTTCTACTATGATCAATTCATCAGAGCACTACAATTCCACAGACAAGCAAGTGAACAGAGACAAAAGAAGACTATGGCTTTTTCTCTTGTCATAATAATGGCATTTATATACCACTTAAAGGACTAAAAAGAACTTTACATCTCTCTCACTCCTTACTAAAGGCATTATCCCCATTGGTTCCCAAAGGGAGTGATACCACGCCCTGGCCCCCCCCCCCAAGGATCCAGAGGGTCTATTGTAGCTTCAGGTGCAATTGGGGGCTGCTGAACAACAATAAGGGGATGGTAGAAGCACAAGGAAAGAAGAGAAGAAAATTTTGAAAAATCGTTTGTACATTTGTTGTGTAACAGAGTTAAAGTTGTAGCAACTACATTGTTTTCCAAATAAATACACAAAATGCAAGTTATAACTGATCAGTGGTCAAGTGTGCCAACAGGTCTTAACAAGCAAGTGTTGGCAGGTAAGAGTATCACGCATTGTTGGGTCCAGCATGCATCGGCAGGAATATGTTCCTGTAATGACTTGTTTACAATACAATACTAAATGGTTACATGATGCAATATTGTGTCATCAAAATTTCAGTGCAGGAAAATACCCCACAAATTTATGATAAATTACTAAATTTAAAATGTGTCATTTAAAAAATGTATATATTTTTTGAAATTATGCAAATTAAAAAAAACTCTTAAAGGGTTAAAGAAAGTAGAATGGGGGGGCTGACTAATTTTTTTTAAGAGGGCAGTTGGCCAAATAAGTTTGGGAACCTCTGATTATCCAGATTTACAGATAAGGAAACTGAAACTCAAAAGTTAAGTGGCTTCCCCAAAATCCTACACCTACAGTGTATTAGACTAGAATCTAGGTCACTCCAATACACCATGTTCCCTCCCTACAGATCTGACTGGCTAGACCATATATCATAAACAGTAGTCCTACAGAATGTAATAGAAAGAACAGTGGGTTTGGAATCAGATCTGGGCTCTGCCATTTACTGGGAGCTGGGATTGTTAGCTTTTTTGTGTAACATGTACCCCACCCCATTGACTTGTCTGGAGAAGCTGATGGATCCCTTTTCAGAATGTTTTGAAATGTATAAAATAAACTACAAAGGAAACTAATTTTATTAAAAAAAACAGCTAATAAAACATTTTAAACACACACACACACACACACACACACACACACATACACACACGTCCAGGTAAAGAACCCTTACCTAGAGAAAAATCACTGAACTTCTCTGGGGCTCAGTTTTCTTATCTGTAAAATGAAGGGGTTAGACTAAATGATCTAAGTTACCTTCTACTTAGAACTAGACCTAAACACATTCAATAGTATCTGTTCTCTAGGCCTGCTTTTTTCTATATATTTCTCCCCACCTCCTTCTCTATCTTCATATTCTACAACACTCCAGGTCCCTTTCTCCACATATAATTTCTCCAAATAGAATCAGAGGAGTCACCATGTGTGGCTAGATTTGGGCATTATCCATGGAGTTGTGAACCTGTATTCCAGTCCTTCAGAGGTAGGCCCCATACTCAGATCCACGTAAAAAGATACACGTGACCAGAGACCCCTTCTTGTTTGGTCCATCACTGGGGGTTAATGTTGAAAATGATTGAGCAGAAAGAGCTTCCCATGCAGTAAGCGTTAAAAGGAGAAACAACTTCCACTCTTGCTTTCTTTTCTCTTTTGAATTTGGGATTTGGGATTCCAACAAGCTCTTACTTGGACCCTCTGATAGAAGGATTTTCTCTTTCTTTCTCACTCTGACAGCTACATCTGAATACCAATAACTTCACATATGCTTGCTTGCTTGGGTGAGTGAGTCTGAGCCTGGATCTCAAGTCCTTAGCTGCCTCTGCTGCTTTGTATTTCTTCTCCTCGGCACAGGTAAGTGAACAGCAATACTGATATAGATGTTTCTAGCCTTGGCTGCTACTTCATAAGGACAGGAGGGTGGGAATTTCTACAAGTTGATTAGCAGCAGCTTGCTACAACTAAAGCCTTCTTTAAAAAAAGATTACTGGGGCAGCTAGGTGGCACAGTGAATAGAGCACTGGCTCCGGAGTTAAGAGGACCTGAGTTCAAATCCGATCTGAGACAGATACTTGACACTTACTAGCTGAGTGACCCTGGGCAAGTCACTTAACCCCAAATGCCTTGCCAAAAAAAAAAAATGATTACCAGCAGGAAGATGACCCATGCATTAGAAGCTGGCCAGATGATCTAGACCCTGAGTTGCTGCTCAGACAGTACAGAATGAAAGGAAAATAAAACCTGTTCAGCAGCCTTACAGGTCTCCCAAGAGTTTTTACTTCTTAGGACATTATAATAGGTAATATATGTTTCTATATCAGCGGATGGGCTCCCTTGAGTCCTCTGAATCTTTAACTGTCCCATTCAGTCTTTTCCACCTCAATGGAGAGTATCCAAGGAACATTGGGGCTAGTTTCATATTTTTAAGTATTTGTTAATTAAAGCTTATGAGTCTTGTGTTTTAAGCATGTTTTTTTGTGACAGAAAATAAATGCCTATTTATCTGCTTCTTCATATCTGCTACTTCATACATTAATTATCTTCTCTTTGGTGAGACCCTGGAAATGGGCCAAATGTAAACTGAGAAATTATCTTCAGAATTCTGGAGAGCTAGAAGAGCCAAAGAGAGCTAAAATAACATGATCTCCTCTTTTTACAGATCAACTTCCTGCAGGACCGAATCCAGTTCTGTGTGAGCCTACAGTTAGGTCTCCTTGTAGGAAAGGATGTTCTTCCCCACCCCCCACTGGCCAAATAAACATATACAATCACACTCCTATTCTCTTCCTTTTCCCCACAACGTAGAAACTCCCAAACAGAAAATCCTTAAGATCAAATTGATTTCGTTTTGTTTTTGTTTTTAATGAGCCAGGATAACAGTTACAGTTGCGTGGTTTGTTTGTTTTTAAGGAAAGTAAAGCTTCAGTTTGTCCTGGAAAACAAAACAAAACAAAAAAAAAAAAAGAAAAGAAAAAACAAACTTCAGCTCCAAAGACTGAGAAAATATGTATTTTTTCTCTCTGCATCAGTGGAATGCTTACAATATTCATTGTAAATTCTTATTGTTTTAAATTTTCAGAGAACAAAGTTCCAAAATTTTGCAAAAAGAAAAAAAAGTGAGGGGTCTTGAAAGTTATACGACTGTGATTTGAGCAGCTGCAACAACTCTGTCTGTTTTCTATTTTGATAATTCTGTTTCTTGAGATGACCACATCTTCGAGAGGAAATGAGTCAAACCCACTCAGGCTTGCTTTTCCAGCTGAGCATGTTCAGTTTCAATGAAGTAATGAATGAACTTGGCTACACCAGCCCCATTCCTACAACAGAAAACAGAAGGGCTTCAGCCAATCAGGAAACACTCAAGGTTTTCAAGTTGAGTTCAAACAGGAGCATGAATGGCCAATCAGCACCGGCGGCTCCTCCCCAACTGCTAGGTTGCAGCCAACCACCGGCCCCAGAAGCCAAAACACAGCAAACAGCCAATGTCCGGGGAGCCCGACAGCTCAAGCCTCCTCCAATGGACTAGGCCAGGGTGGGGGGGAGGTGCAAGAGAAAAAAAAAAAGAGCAACAGTAACAGCCTCCGAGACTCGGGGATTCGAATCGAACACCCATACATACGCCAGGGCTCTGGCGGAGAGGCGCGTCGTCCAATCAGCGGCCGGGGAACGCGGGACCTCGAACGTTGGGACACTCCCAGGCCCCGCCCCGCGCTGTTGTTTGTGGTGTTCTCCCCGGGAGGAGGGAGAGCGGGCGAACCACAACATTCGTCCGGTCGGGGCCGATTGAAGCAGGCTGCTTGGGCCGAAGGGAGGGGAGGGAGCGCAGGCGGCGATTGCTGGGGGTTGGGAAGGAAGAGAAGGGCAGGCGGAGGAGGCAGGCGGGCGCAGGCCGGAGAAAAAGGCGAGAGAGAAGGAGGAAGCCAGCATCGGCGGACGCCTCCCCGCTCCCCCCAGCCCCCCGGACATCGGACTCTCTTCTTTCCCGCTGGGCGGCTGGTGCCGGCTTCGCTTCTTCTCGCCATGTCGGTGAATATGGAGGAGCTCAGGCACCAGGTCATGATCAACCAGTTCGTGCTGGCCGCGGGCTGCGCGGCCGACCAGGCGAAGCAGATGCTGCAGGCGGCCCACTGGCAGTTCGAGGTGCGTTCGTGCTTTTGCGGCCGCCGGGAGGACGGTCGGACGGACGGACAGACGGACACGGACAGGCGCCCGGGGCTTGGCTCAAGCTTCCCGTTATACCCCGGGCGGACACCCTCCTCCCATGCACGCCGCCGCCCCCCCTGCGCTTCCCCTCTTCTATTTCTATCCCTGCCGGACCCAATCCAAGAAGAGAGAGAGTGCGTGTGTGTGCGCGCGTATGTGTGTGTCTTTAAATAAACCACGGGGCCAGACCAGGCCACGAGTGGGAAGCAGCGAGTTCAGCTCCCACACACGCACATAACATACACACCTCTGATCCCCCCTCGCCTCTGCCCCAAGTTTATTTGGGGAAGGGGGAAAGGTACTGACCCGTGAGTTCTCAGACCCCCAGGAAAGAAGGGCGCGTGAATTTCTTCCCCCCTTCTCCTTTTCAGCTTCGAGGTGACTGGGGGGGGGGTTATTGATGTCAGGGCCTGAGGAAGGAGAGCCCGTGGCCACCCGAGGATCGCGGTGTCGCGTGGAGCTCCCGAGAGCTTAAGGCGCAGGGAGCTGGGCCTCGCTTTTCCTGCAGGGGGGTGGGCGGCGGCAGCAAAGGGACGTGGTTCCTCTCCTGGTGGTAGGGGGAGTGGTTCGAGGGAAAGCGGTTGTAAGGGAGATGCTTGGGGGATGGGGGGGTGCGGAAGTGTCTAGATTGTCCCCCACCTCGCTCCCCCCGTGGCCCCACTGCTTATTTCTCCACGTGGGAACCAGCGGCGACTTTTTAACTCGAGTGACACCGGCCTCGGTGCAGGATGGGTAGGGTGATTTGGCGATTGGAAGAAAAAGGGGGAGCAGCCCTAGCTTGGCCTTGCAAGGACGGGTTGTGTTTGGGGGGGGTACGGCATTGGAGGCAGTGCTAAGCTGATAACCGGCTCTTGGGTTTAGGCTGGGGCAGCAGTGCAGAGGCAGTGGTGGGAATCCTGGCCGGACGGGAGCTTGTGTTGGGGTTCTGCCCCCCCCACCCCTCCTCTCTCTTCCCACCCCGGATTTGGCTAACTGCCACTCTGTGTTTGCCCACAGACCGCCCTGAGCACGTTTTTCCAAGAAACAAACATTCCCAACAGCCACCCTCATCACCAGATGGTAAGTTATTGTGGGGGGTGGGAAGGTTGGTGGGGGGGGAGTCAGAGAGACCTAATCTTACACCTCCCCTCCACCCATCCCCAAAGATTTTAGACTTATGCAAGCAAGCCAGTGCGGAAGTGGGGCCCCTAGTGTGGCGGGAAGAGCCAGGGCCTCCCCACCCCCCGCAGACGGCCGCTTGGTGGGGGCTGCAGTCAGGTCCAGGTGCTAGTAGTGCCAGCAGGGCTGGAGGTGGGGGGCTTGCTGTCAGCCATCGAGGCCAGTGACAGCCATGTTGCCTTGGAGCGAGCGCCTCGCCTGCAAATGTAAACAAAGCCAAAATGTCTTCCAGGAAAGAGCTGCTCAGACAGGCCCAGAGCAAACTTTGTGACCCAGGACCCTGAGCTGCTTGACCATGACCTAGGGCATGACTTCTCCCTCCCCCCTCCCCTTGGCTGAGCTTCCAGTGAGGGAGGGGAGGTGGGAGATAGGGTGCAAGAGATTTTTAAGCCTTGCAAGTTAGAGAGACGGAGGTTTGAAGGTTTCTGAAAGTGGAAGAGACCTGAATCTCCCAAGTCTCTCGTTGGGGCTGCTCTGGGGGGCCATGAACGGGGGGGGGGGGGGAAAGAGGGGGGAGGGATGGGATAATCCACTCTTCTGACCCTTCAGCCAGAGGAAATGGGCATAGAAGGAAAGGGAAACATTTGTCTCTAGGCATGAATGGGAGAATTGAGTGACAACTTCAGTGTGTGAGCCCCTCTCACCTTGCCCTGTTAGGGTTGGGGACAGAGCAGGTTGGACCCTGATTTTGGGTAAGATGAGGCACAGAATCCCACTTAATCTTTCTGCAGCAGTGGGTGTGTTAGTATTTATAATGGACCTAGAATAACACATCCCCCTAAATCTTCCCTCTAGAGCCCCTGCCCCATTCTAGAATCTTCTGTTCTCTTGGTTAAGGGGTACCTCTATCCCATCCAGACAGAAAAATCTCTTGGAAGCCTAGTTTGACTGCCTTTTTTTGTTGGTAACTCTCTCTTTTTACATCAGATTCATTTCATTACTTGCTCTCTCTGCTCAGCTCTCCCCTTCCCAGTAAGCCTTCTCCTAAAACAAAGACTTTTAAGAGAAAAAATAATTTAGCATAACCAACCACATGTTGTCCTTGTCTGACAGCATATGCTGCATTCCACACCCATAGTCCACCCCTTGTGTGGTGAAAGGAAGGGGATTCGGTTTTTTTTTGTCGTTGTGGTTGTTCATTCTTACTCTGGAGCCCTGGTTGGTCGATAAGTGTCCCAGCACCAACTGCCTATTCTTTCCCTGTTTTTCTAGCTAGTTACCTATTAGCCAAGGGGGTATGTGTGTGTGTGTGTGTGTGTGTGTGTGTGTGTGTGTATATATGTATGTGAGTGTGAGAGAGTATGTGTGTGTATGTGTATGTATGTGAGAGAGAGAGTTGAAGTGGGGGTGGGTTGTTGGGAGAATGCCCTAGTGACCCCACCTTGTCAAATATTATTCTCCTGGATATCTACTCTGACTGCCTCCTGGAGTAAGTTTTTGACAAGTGTTTGTGTCCTTGGCCTTCCCTTCCCCCTACATTATCTACAGATGTTTGCTGGAAGAAATACTTTGTATGCAGTCTTCCTAATCTACTTTGCGCTCCCATTCCATCTAGTCATAAAGGAGAAAGAGGGGAATTTCTTTTAAATTGTACTTTACAAAATGGAAGTCCTCTCTTAGAATTGCCAAGACTTAATAATAATAACAATAATAATAATAATAAGGAATAAAATGGACAAGCTGCTGACAGCAACACCTGCCCCAGGTTTACAGACCAGGTGTTAAGTGTCTAAATTCGCAAGAGCAGTCTGTCTGCCTGTCTGCTTTCCTCCAAAGGAGAAACCTTCAGATAGGCCCCAGAAGGTGGGGAGATTAGGGCACTAAGGAGAAGTGGATAATGTTCCAGCCTTCCCAGGGTCTTAATTTTGTGCCCTGTGAACTTAAAAATACTTCTGAAAGTTTCCCGTAAAAGAGAAATGGATTCTTAAGCTGGGATCCATGAACATATTTTTAGAAATATTTTGACAACTTTTAGTGTAATTGGTTTCTTTTGTGATCTGATTAATGTTATTTATCCATTTAAAAACATTTTGAGAAAAGAGATCCTTAGGCATCACCAGACTTGTCAAAGGAGGCTGTGACAAAAATAAAAACGTTAAAAACAAAACCAACCCGTGCTTTAAAATGAGGCTTGTGTTTGAATGTTGGTATCTGGGAGATGGATGTTATCTCCTGCCTCCTTCCTCACCAGTTCCCTCCCTAGCCTGGGGACCTGCTGATGACCCATTTCTCAGAAACTCAACTTTGGTGTTTACTGTTGTGTGCTGTAATCTTTGGTGGAGTCCTCAGGAAAAGATAGCTTTGCATTCTTTCCCCTCCCCCACCCCCCAAGCAAGAGCTGGGCCAGAATGGGTTGGAGACCGCCTTCCTCTTTGATTCAGTGTGTCCATTCTGAGACTCCTTACATGGCTGTGTTAGTGTAGCTAGTGTGCTGGAATCAAATAAGGGAGGTGTGTCTTAAGAAAGGAACTGTAAATTGACCTGTTCCTGTTTTTGTCTTGCCCTTCTCTCTTAAACAGTGTCTAAGACAGCTAGGTGGTAATAACGGGTGTGGAGCTGACCTCAGAGTGAGAAAAGACTTGAATTCAAATCTCACCTCTGACATAGACTGACTGTGAGACCCTAGACTGACTGAGACCCTGTGTTAACCTCTTTTAGCCTCAGTTTCCTTAATAAAGAGACTAATAATACTTCTTAGGATTTTTGCTAGGGTCACATGAGATAAATATGCAAAGCACCTTGCAAATCTTAAAGTGGTATATAAATGCTAGCAAGTATTATTCTCCCAGGTGTAAGCCACCTGCTGCCAAAGCAGCCCCAGCTACTTTTTTTTTCCCTACTGTGCCCTGATGTTGGGAAGGACTAGAGTGTCCTAGTTGGGAAGGGAGGAGGGCAGGTCTATGTGAACTAGACTCTTTTATGTTAAGCTACTAGTAGCCTGCTTCCGTATCCCCCAAGGCAAGGTAGGACAGGCTAAGAGCTTGACCGTTGCTAAGTGTATATACCCTTTGGCATCATAAATACCATTTGCCAAGTTTTCCATAAGACACAAATTACTGAAATATATACATCATAACACCAGTCAGCTGATTTCAGTTTAGTGAACTAAGTGTAGTTGTACTAGCACCAAGGGATACAAAGTTTAGATGAAATGAGTCTTAGTATGTGCCAGGCACCGAGAATGAGAAGTGGTCCCTTTCCTCCTGGGCAGTTCCTTGTACTTATTCTGGGGGTTACCCTATCTAATCCATATTTAAATACCTTCTATATGCATGGCATACCTTCTATATGCATGGCATTGTTCTAACCCCCCCCACCCCCTTCAATCAGCTTACATTCTGTTGAGGGGTGAGGGGAAGGATAGATATTTACACAAGTATATTCAATATACTTTAAGGAAGGAGAGCAATGATATCTGGGAAGTGGGGGGGTCAACAGGTTTCCCATAGAAGGTGGCATGAACTTAGTTTTGAAAGGAGGCAGAGGATCTGGCAGAGATGAGGTGGCAGGGTGGTCCCAACAAAGGGACAGCCCATACAGAATCCACATAGACAAGCGTTTTTGTAGGAACATTGAACAAGCTAATATAAAACAGGATGAAGCACATTCCTCGTCCTTAAGGAGTTTAAAATGTTAAGGAAATAAAAACCAAATGGGAGAAGTAAGCTGGGAGTCCAAGAGATGAGACAGTACAGGAACAATGCGTTGACAATGGGGAAAGTGCTAGATTTGGAGTCAGAAGACTTGAGTTCAAAGTCTAGTACTGCTATTTAATACCCATTTGGCCTTGGGCTTCAGGTCCTGATTGGTAAAAATGACTTTGTTATTCAGTCGGTTTGTGACCCTATCTGGGGTTTTCTTAGAAGAGACATTGGAGTGGTTTGCCATTTCCTTCTGCAGCTCATTTTACAGATGAGGAAACTGAGGCCAGATTTGAAATCAGGTCTTTATAAAATAACTTACTTTTATTAACAGTACACAAAATCTTTTTGCTCATGCTAAAAATTATTAATGTGATAGAAGATACTTTTTAAAAATTTGGGTCTAATGTCTTATGATATAAGCAGTTTAAAGGTCTTGATTGAAATTTACTTTCTTCTGATGTTAAAGATTTTAACAGTTATCATGTCTGGAAATGATAGAAAGATGAATATGTCCAAATGGAAGAAGTACTTTAGTTGGCTGAGACTGCTGAATCATGATACACTCATTTTTTGGTCCTATCCACCAGTCATGACGAAAGTTTTTGTAGAAATTCGACTAGTAAATTTCCGTCATCTCTGATGCCAGTCATTTGTTCTTATATGCTAATCACAAGGTTTTAACATTAATAATAATAAAATTTGACATTTTGAACAAATGGGTTCAAAACCCACCGACACTGTTGTTTGGGAGAATTTTTTTAAAGCATTTTAGAAGAATTTCTCTTTCCAAGTTTTCGGTGAGGTGTATTAAGGGGTGTTTTTTTTTTAATAGATGATCCTTTTTTTAAGTGTCTGGCTAGCAGTGATGGCTTCATACTATCATTAGCTAATATCTCAAAGCAAGATATTTCTTTAAGATGAGGTTCTTTGTTAATGATGGTGGATATAAATCTGTATTTCAGACAATCTTGAAAGTACAAATTTTTTGGCCAGCTTGTCAGGTCTGATTAGCACCCTGTTTTTACCTTGTAGCATAGATGATGAAAGAGTGCCTAGTGGGAGTAGAACAGTCATTTCTGTCATTTTGTAATTCCCTTGTGCTGGAACTCTTAGTATTGCCCTTCATTCTGAGGTTTCTGCAAGGGACTCTCTCTACACCAGTTGTCCATTTGGGGCTGGTTAGTTTAATTCAGCCTAGTTTGAGGCGATCTGTAAAAATCTAATTAAGCAAGCATGTAGAATGACGGCCAGTTCCTCCATTTTAGGGAACTTGGGCTTTCTGCTCAGGACATTTCACCCTCTGCCTGTTAGTGAATGAAGACACCAGAGTCTATCTGTGTAGTCAGTATTATAACAAAGCTTACTTTTGTTTTTAAATGGGAAAAAAAAGAACATATGTACAACTCTTGATATCTTCCCTCTTGCCAGGGGATTGTCCTTTGCACCTCCAGACTATTTGGGAAACTACTGGCCCTAGGGATAAAATGAAAACTCCTCAGCCTTCCTATGGTGACCCGCCCTTCCAGTCTTGTTTCCCTTCACCCCCTTTCACCTATTTAAGGCACAATGGACTGCCAGCTGTTTCCCAGTTGAGTCCTGCTGCCCTTTGCTTTCTTTGTGTAAAACATACCCCCTTCACATGTCTCTGCCTGTGAAGAATCTTCAATCAAGGCCCATCTCAAATACCCCTTCCTCTGGGCAGTCTTCCTGGATCATTCTATCTGAAAAATGTCTGTGCTTTGGGAAATTTTCTTTGGTGTTTTATCTGGAGAACCAGTCCTTTGCCTTATCACAGTTTATGTTGCATTATGTTTATTTGTGTGCATTATATCCCCTGGCCCCATATTAGATTACAGGCCCTTTGAGGATAAAGATTGTTTTTCATTGTTATATTTTATATATATGTGCATGTGTGTGTGTATATATCTTGGTCACTTGATAATTGAGTGAATGGTATAAACCACAGGTTCTTAAAGTGGGGCCCAGTGACCCCTAGGGGTCCCAAGACCCTTAAGGTAAAACATTTTTCATAATAGTAACACATTTGTTTTCTAATAAGGCAAATATTGATGAATCTAGTCCACATAAACAAAAACTCTTTGGTGGTGGTGGTGGTGGCAGGGGGGGAGTCCTCCATAATTAAGAGTCTTGAGAACCATTAGTCTAGACAAATGCTGCAAGACTTCAGAGGAGAGGAAATTTGCTGGGTTGCAATAGTCGGGGGAGGATTCATGATTTGAAACACTGAAGGGATAGCTTGGGGTTGGATTGTCAAAGAAGAAAAGTGAAGAGGGCATGTGAGCAAGGAGGTGGAATTCAGCAAAGGAGAAAATGGGTTGAGGGATATTGAGGTATTGTGGTACAGCAGTACTTGAGTCAAAATGAGACTCTGGGCAGTTCTGGAAACTCTTGAGCCTCAGTTTTCTCACCTGTGAAATGGGCAACATAATACCCCTCCTTTTGTGAGCATCAGGTGAAAATAATTCCTGTAAAGTACAGACCTTAAAGGACTGTATTAAATGTCATCTCTTATTAATATGTTAGAGGGAATAGTGAGTAGACAAATTAAGATAATTGTAGATTGATATAAACTGTGTAAATATAGAGCCCTTCTGTTATTTCTCCTATTTCTCAGACTGTCAGAGCTTGAAGAGATCATCTCACCTAGTTCAACTCCCTCTTATTGCAGATGAGGAAACTGAATCCCCAAGTGGGGAAATAAGGGCATACACATTTACATAGCACCTACTGTGTGTCAGGCACCGTGCTAAGCACTTTAGAATTATTACCTCATTTGATCCTCACTACAACCCTAGGAGGCAGATACGTATCCCCAGTTTTATAGTTGAAGAAACTGAAGCAAACAAAGACCAAGTGACTTGCCCAGGGTCACACAGCTAGTAAAAGTCAGAGGCCACACTTGAACTCGGGTCTTCCAGACTCCAGGCCCTGAGCTCTGCACTGTGGTGCCACCCTTTAGTGGCTGAATAGGCTGCCCATTGATGGAATGATGGAATGCAGGGACCACTGTGCCTCAGCAGATAGCTGGTTTGTAGAAATGGCTTTTTTAACCAGATTACTTCTGAAGGAGCTAGGCTGGGACTACTTGCTTGAACTGGAGGGTTTGGTTTGATTCTTTGGCCCTGTCCTTCCTCCTAGTCCTCATTTCTTGCTGTGGGTAAAATGGGTCCTTGAAAATTGATGAGTTAGGGGTGGGGTGAGGAGAGTACTGAGGTGGGGAGGCCAATGATGTACCTTCAGCTGGGTAGAGGATGTGAGTGGGGGCAGTTCATAATTCCGGGAATGCTGATGTGAGAGTGTTCTTCAGATCATAGATTTAGAGATAGGAAGTACCTCTGAGGCCTTTGAATCCCACCCCTCCTTATTTATACAATTGAGGAAACAGGCCCAGGGAAGTTTAGTGCCTCGCTGCCCATCACACAGGTGGTAAGCCGCAGAGTCAGCATTTGAACCCAGATCTTTTGCCTCCCGATTCAGTTTTTTTTCTGCTGTCCTTGGGAAGGGGAGAGGAAGATTGTTGTTAGGCTAGGCCTCATTCCCACTAGAGGTTAGCTAGGGAATGATGAAAAGCTAAATCAGGAGTCATAGATTCCTAGAACCTTGTCTTCTTCCCCTCCCCCACCTTCCAGGGGTGAGTTCTAGGGAGGGACCACTTGCTGCAGCTAAAATTAGGAGACATTCAGAGAATGATATATGGCTTCAGGAGGAAAGAGAGAAGCGGCTAAGGTGCCCAAATTTCATTTGCCTGGCCTGGTTCTTGGTTTTGCTCCTACATTCCCATTGTGGAACCTCTTTATTTAGAATAGTGTCTGGCATACATAGAAATAGCCCTTGGGCAAGGAGCCATCCGTAGTGGGCTAAGCTTGACTGTTCTGCCTGGGTCTCAGAGTCATAGATCTGGAGCCTGAAGGGGACCTTTGGGGGAAGGGGTCATCTAATCTAACCTACTAATTAAACGACTAGCCCAATTTGGATTCAGTCAAAGGGCCTCACCTAAGTACCCAGAGGCTGCAGGTTCCCCACCCCTGAACTAGCCCAAGGTCACAAGTAGTAGTAAGTTAAGTGGCTGAATTTGAGCTTGGAGTCTAAATCCAGCATTCTCTCTACTAAACCCACCCCACTGAATCCAGGTTAGTAGAGATGGGTCTTCTGACCGAGTCCCCTCCTTGCAAGCTACTCTACATCCAAGTAGTTATATGACCCAGGGGAAAGTCACTTAACACAACACAGATCCTCAGTTTCCCTTTTCTATAAAATAGGGATTATAATTTCAATACCACATAGGGTCATTATGAGGATCTAGTAAGATTATATTTGTGAAAGCCAGCATTCTTACTGCTTGACCCTAGCCTAACCATCCCCCCTTTTCTCCTCTCCTCCTGAGGGCCAAGCTAGAGAAGGCCACCTAATTCCTTGAGAACTAAACTGAGGTTAGATGTTAGCACTGAGACATCTTTGATTGAAGAGCCTCTGGCCTACAGAGATGAGCTTATTAGCCTGTCCAGAGACTCCGGTAGCTAGCAAATAGAGCCTGTGCTCAAGACTGGTCTGAGAGTCTCCGTGTGGTTTTCCTTTTGTGCATCTGACAGTGGGTTTTTCTGGATTTTGCCTCAATCAGTCCCTTCCTTCTGAGATCCTTCCCAAGCCAAGGGGAGGAATTCTGTAAAGGAGAAGATGGGTTGAGGAACTTTGAGTTGATGTGGTACCACCGAGTCAGATGGGCAGTACCTGAATCACCTTGATCCTCCATTTTCTCACCTGTGAAATGGTCCTTATAAAGACCCATAGGGGTCTCCTGTTGTGAACATTGGGTGAAGAGAATTCCCTCCCAAGCAGTGCCCATGCTCTTCTGGAGTTCTGGTGAAATCAACTTGGATTTTGTCCTCATTTCTTCGGATTGTTTCAAGCCTGAGGGGATGGGGTGGGTGCTTATGTCCAGTTGCTGCTGCTTCAGGGCTGGAGAAGTTGGAAGAACCCTGGAGACAGGGAGTGATCCAAGGTTGGGAAAATGATCTGGGAAAGCTGACTCTTCAAAGCAGAGTGCTGCAGACTTTAGCAAGAAGGGAGGAGGTGGTTTGCAGAGCACGTGGGGGTATTCTGGGAGCTAATGTGGGTCCTGATTCTAGATCGGAGCTTGCTTGAACATCGCCCTGTGTTTCATCTCTTTACAGATGTGCACACCTAGCAACACGCCTGCTACGCCGCCCAATTTCCCGGACGCATTGGCCATGTTCTCCAAGCTACGGGCCTCGGAGACCCTGCAGAGCAGTAACAGTCCCATGACAGCCATGGCTTGCTCCCCCCCTGCAAACTTCAGCCCCTTTTGGGCCTCTTCTCCACCCAGCCACCAGGCAGCCTGGATCCCACCCTCTTCCCCCACAGCTCACAGCCTACACCACCTCCACCATCCTCAGCCCACGTGGCCCCCCGGGGCACAACAAGGGGGTTCCCAGCAGAAAGCTGTGGCTGCAATGGATGGGCAGAGATAAGACTTTGTGCTGCTGGGGCCCGGGCTGGGGGTGCAGGGGCTAGAAGTGCTTGGGGTAGGGGTGGGTGCAGAGGAGGACAGGTTAGGGAAGGGTGGGGTGGGATGGGGTGGGGTATTTCCTGAAGATTGCACTGGAAAATTTTATAATTTTTTTTTTTAAACTTCCTGAGCCACCCAAGGCCTTCAGGGAGGATTTCTCTTCAGGAAAGTCAGTAACTGGTCTTTTCTCTTTTTAATATATAACTATAATATATAAAAATATACAGATATATCTAATGTATGGGAGAATGGGGCCAGCCTTGGAGAGAGAAGGGGGAAGGAAGATGGAGAAAATTTCTTTCAGCCACCTCTCCCCCTACTTATGCCAGAGTGCAGTGCTTGGCTAATAACAGATAGATCTCTGGGTAATAAGTTCTAGTGACCTGAGAGGGGGTGGGTTGCCAATGTCTAGAGCAGCTGTGGTAATGGAGGATAGGATGAGGGGGGTGTACCTCCACGCTCTGCAGTGCTGAGGCTGTGAACCTGGATTGTGGCAGTGGCCAGAGAAGAAGCCAGGCTCTCTCCTTGGGACTCCCCAGGAATAGTGGCAACAGGAAAATGGATTTGAAGGGCGATAAGGACTTTGTGCCACCCCCCAATCTGGACTCTGCCTCTGAAATGCTGATCACAGCTCCCACTGTTCCTCTGACCTCAAACTGGATGGTATCTTCTCCCCCACCCCAAATCACTGCTGCTTAGACCCTGGAGGCAGTAACTGCTTTTTTTGCCGACTCTCCCAGGGTCTCCACCCTGATGGGGTAGAGAGGGGTGGGGTGGCCCACCTCCAGATAAGATTTATCTCTTCCCCATTCCAGGGCTGGGGCCCTGCACTGTTGTACCGAGGGATGGGGGTGGGTGGGGAGGACCTTAAGCCTCTCCCACCAGAGCCACAAATGGTGGGAATGGCATGCTTGGTTGAGCTGGACTGGACGAGTTTGCAACCAAGGACTTTTGGTTTAGTTCCCAAATCAGAATCTTGCTCATGCCAGGTTGAGTTTTTTTTTTAATTAATTTAAAATTTTTTTTAAAAAATGAATTTTCTAACCTCCTGTGTCTGTGGTATTGTTCTTTCCTGTTTGGAAACAAACCTGCCCTATTCTCCCATGTCCTCAGACACTAGGGTGGGGCTGGAAGGGGACTGAGTTGAATGAGGAAGAAGGGGAGTTGAGGTAAGAAAGGTGAGGGGCTTTGAATCATGGATTTGTAGAGCTGAGAAGGAAGCCTCTTGCTTGGGGGTCATAGTTAATCATCTAAGTGATTTGTTATCCCCCTTTCCTCTTAATTCAGTGACCTATTAGTCATTTTTTTTCCTGTTAGGTAGTAACTGAAGGGGGTGTGAGGGAATTGAGATTGAGGCCTGAGCTGTTTATCCTTCTCTTTCCTGCTGGTCCCATATTGCTCTTTGCCCCTTCAGATTACAGTCTTTTGGCTCAAGGGGGAGGCGGGAGCAAACTCCTGGTCAAATTGAGTGCTGGGGTGAGGAAATAGCCTTGAAAAAGTCACCTGATCTTAACACAAAGCCTAGCTCCTTAGTTACAGGTTTCCCTCCCTGGACCTTTCCAAGATCCCACCCCACCACATTCCCTGTCACTTAGCTTCAGTGTCAGTCAAACTCTGAACCAGCACCTTTCTTCTAGGGTCTAGCCAGGTTTTTCTGGTAGTCCTTGTCAGCAAAGTCAAGGCTTATTTTTCGTTCTCCCTAACCCAGCATCCCAGGAACAGTGAGCGTATGTGAGACCTGGGCTAAGACACTGGGTCTCTAAGAAGGGAGTGGGGGGGCGCTGTGTTGTATGTATCAGTGAGCAGAGGCAGAGCTACTGTTTATTAACAGTGAATTCTCTGAGTAAACGCCTGTTGACCTTAGGGGAGCTGAGCCCATCCTAACCTGTGTTTCCTAGAGAGGAGAGTAGTCCTGCCTAGTTTGTAAAGTGGATGAGGAGGAGCTTTAAATCATTCAGTCAGTGAACATTTATTAAGCACCTCCTGTGTGCCTGGGATAGAAGGGCTAGAAGCAAAGTAAATCCTGGATAATTCAAGGGTGGGGGTGGGAGGGGAAATCGAGAAAGGCTTTCTTGAGGAAGGAGATGGTTCCTGAGCTGAGCTTTGCAGAACTCTGTTCATCTTCATGGAGATGAGGAGGTAATATGTTCAGGTGTTGGGGACCAGAGATAAAATATGTGTGAGGACTTGCAAGAAGGCCTGGCCTGAATGGACCAGGATTTTGTACTGAACCAATTCAATTGCGTTAATAAAGTTTGTAGTAAGGAACCCCAGAAGGGAAATACATACACACACGTTTTGTTTAGTCATTTTCAGTCACGTCTGACTTCATCACTCTATTTGGGAGTTTCTTGGCAGAGATACTGGAGTGGTTTGTCATTTCTTTCTCCAGCTTATCTTACAAATGAGGAAACTGAGGCAAACAGGGTTAAGTGATTTGCCTGGGGTCGCACAGGTAGTAAGTATTTGAGGACGGATTTAAACTCGGGCACATGACTCTCCAACTCCAGACCCCGCACTTTATCCACTGTGCCACTTAGCTGCTATATACATACTAAACTGAGGGTCTTGAGAGCTGAGGAAGAGCTGGTGTAGATTAGTATATTATGTCTTCTACTCCATAACTCCTGTTCATCTCTCTTCTTTTGGAGTCTCTGGTATAATTTTGTGCCCCTCTCTCCTGTTCAAACCCAGTTCTGCTGAAGCACTATGCTAAATGTTGACAGGAATTTGAAATGAGCAAAACTTAATCCCTGGATCTTCAGAAGCTTCAGTTTGGTAGTGGAGATTTTGAAAGTCCACAGATAGCTAAAATAGGCAGAACGATAATAGCATTTGTGTAATGTTTTAAAGTTTGCAGAGTGCTTTGCAAAACATTTAATCCTCAAAACACAACCCTGAGGAGGCAGGTGCTGTTATTAGCCCCATTTTACAGATTAGGAAACTGAGGCAGACAAGCGACTGACTTGCTCAGGGTCATAGTTGCCTAGCAACTTGGGATTTGAGCTCAAAGTCCTCCTAACTCCAGGTCTAGCTAACACTACCCACTTTCGCCATCTAAGCTGCCTCTAAAATTAAATCATCCCCGGAATCAAAATTCTGGGCAAAAATGCTGCTGGAAAATGGCAGAGGGGCCTCAGTTAAGATCGGTGTGAAAAAGCTAAGCCAAGTTGGTGAGGTCTTCCTGGTTTCTTATTCTCAGCTTGGAGGTCATTCAAGTATTTTCCCCTGCCACAGGTTTTCTCCCCTGCGAGTATCCTCAGAGGTATTTACATGAGGGGTAACCCCATTCAAACTGGAGTAGAAAATGTGACTCCTCCTACACACGTTTCACAAGTCACACTCCCCTTTCAATTTTGTTTCCTGATGTCCCTGGATAGCCAGATATCTCATGAGGAGGCACTCAGTGGAACAACATTACCTCTGGAGTCAGAAAACCTGGGTTCAAATTCCAACTCTGACGTGTACAGCCTGTCTGACCTGAGTTAAATCACTTAATCTCTGACCTCATCTATAAAATGAAGAGATTGGGCCCTTTTGGATCTAAGAAATCAAACCCTGCTCCTCCTCCCACACATCTCTACTTTCCTTTCCCCCAGGTTGAAGGGAGAGTCCCTTTTGTGTGAGAAAGATTATATGTCCCTGAAGTGAAGACTAACCAGGTCAGATACATGAGTGGGATGGCTGAACCTCCTCCAGAGGACAATACCTGTTGGGGTAACTTGAAGCTTTGGTGTTTTTCTGGGTGCTGAAGATAGAAAGTAGCTGCCTGAATCCCTAGATTCTAGTGACTGGAAATCCACTTAACCTTGGGAGTGGCTATAACTGTGTATGTTCTCAAGAAAAAAAAAACCTGCTTAGCTTTGTTCAATCCTATTGAAACTTTGTGATCCCATTTAGGGTTTTCTTGGCAAAGATGCTGGAGTGATTTGCCGTTTCCTTCTCCAGCTCCATTTTATAGATGAGGCAGACAGGGTAAAGTGACTTGCCCAAGGTCAGTCAGCTAGTAAGTGGCTGAGGTCAGATTTGAACTCAGGAAGATGAGTCCTTCCTGACTTAGAGTCAGGAAAGACACTATCCACTTGGAATACCTAGTTGCATCCCTGTTTTCCCTTTGGAACTTCAATTTGGATTTCAGAAGAAGGAGAGCCTGACCTGGTTTGATCCTTTGACATATGGGCAGAAGGTGAGGGAAATGAGAGTGGAAGAAGGTGTGCTTGCTTTGACCCCTGGTCCTGTCATTGAGAACAGACCACAGCTGGCTGAGCAAGAGGGTGACCCTTGTAAGTGAACTCGGGACCTGGCCCATAAGACCTTGTCAGGTCCATCAGAGAGGAAGGGAAAGGACTCCCTCCACACCCTGGGACAACACACTTCTAGAAGACCCGCCATGATAAACATAACTAGACACTTCTATGTTGGCACCTATTGTGTTTCTGTTGTTCGGTTGTTTTAGTCAGGCCGACTCTTTGTTTCTTGGCAGAGCTACTGGAGTGGTTTTATCATTTCCATTTCAAGCTCATTTTACAGATAAAGGAAACTGAAGCAATTAGGGTTATGTGACTTCCCCAGGGTCACACAGCTAAGTAAGGGTCTTAGCCAGGTTTGAACTGGGGGCGATGAATCTTCTTGACTTAAGGCTCGGCACTCTATCCGCTGTGCCACCTGACTGCCCACCATGGTGGGCATAGTGTATCGCACCCCCATCCTTCCTAACCCCCACACTGGGTGGTAGAAGGGAGAAAAGGCTTCTAGTAACCACTGCCTTTTTCCTTTTAAGAACTCCACTATTGTGCCCAGGCCTCTTGCCCCACCAAGTATGGGGTAAGGTAGGCCCACCAGAACGTGTGGGACTGAGTTTAGAGTGGGTGGGGGACTCCCTGTCTTGGGTTCCAGGCACCTGTCTCAGAAAAGAGAATGGTGAGAATTAGATCAGAAAAACCCAGAGTTTTGATTTCCTTCACTGCTTCTTGACTGATGTGTTTCTTCCTCAAATAAAGGTCACCAAGGTTGTAGGGTCCATAAGCAGCTCCCGGGGGGGGGGGGGGAAATCACATGGCCCTCATTCACCTTCTCCTTTTCAGCCTTGAGAATCTCCATAGCAGGTCTCACTTTCCTCCCGGGTCCCTGTGGTTCACCAGGTCAACGATGCAAGGGCTTTCACCCTTGACTCCTGTTCAGTTCTCAATCCAACCTTATTACCCCACTGTGAACTCTTCTTGCTCCTAATTTGCTAAGCAGTATTGGAGAAATTAACCGTGTTAATTGCATCCATTATGAATTTTTGTTATCGATTCTCACTTGCTGCAACACATTCTCTCACCTATTCAGAGATTATTCCAAACTTTCCTCCTCAAATCCACAAGGCTGTTCTCACACACTGTGCAAATGATCATGATGATAGTGGACACATATAGCACTTTAAAGTTTGCAAAGTACTTTACACACATTAGCTCATTTTGCAAAGATCCTGGGAGGTAGGTGCTGTTATTTTTGTTGTTGTTTGTCCTTTGGTTGTTGGAGAGGACCAATGACATAATGGGGTGATGTCTTGACTTGCCAGAGAATTGGAGTTAAGTGAGGCAGCGTTGCACAAAGTTTGTATATAAGGAAATAGGTTAAGTGACTTGTCGAGGGTCACACAGCTAGTGTCTGAAGCAGAATTTGAACCCAGGTCTTCCTAACCCAAGTCTGCTGGGTCTGCTGCATCACCTTGCTACCTCAGAAGTCCATACCTTCAGCTCTTCTGAAAAAACCCAAGCCTGTACGTTCCCAGCTGATACTACCTTACTCCTTACTTCAAAATCCTTCATTTGTATCTTTGCTCTTCTTTGATCAAGTGATGGCCCTTCTTGCAAAGGTCAGTCTCTCTGTTTATTCTCCCAGCCCCGTTCTCTCCCCTTTCCTCTGAGATCTAGCCCTGTGATCATTCCTTTTCTCCTCTTCAATCTTTGTAGGCTGGTTGCTTCCCTGAGGCCTATAAATGCAGGAAGTTGGAACTATGGAAGGATCATTGCCAGATATAGCATCTGAGGGTATGGGTTTTGAATTCTGACTCTGCTAACCCACCTGTGAGATCTTAGTCAAGTTACTTATCTTTCTTTCTTTCTTTCTTTTTGCTTTTAGGCAATTGGGGTTAAGTGACTTGCCCAGGGTCACACAGCTAGTACGTGTCAAGTGTTTGGTCTGAGGTCGATTTTGAACTCAGGTCCTCCTGACTTCAGGGCTGGTGCTAAGTTACTTATCTTTCCTGGGCCTCAATTTTCTCATCTGCCAAAAGAGGAGGTTTGAATGAGTTGCCCTCTAAGGTTCCTTCCAGCCCTAAATCAATAATTATATGTTCAGGTCTACCCCCATCCTTTAAAACAAACAAACAAACAGACGAACAAAAAACACCCAACCCTCAATCCTGACATCCACTCAAGCTACTGTTCTATATCTTTCCCTTTCACTCTCTGATTCCTAGAAATCAATTGATCAGTAAGCATTTATTAATTTTTGGTGTGTTCTGGGCCCTAGGCTAGGTCATAGGAATGCAAAGACTAAAACAATAGAACTGTCTCTACTCAGTTTATCTTCCCTGAGTGAGACTATGCAAGTGTATAAATATATGCAGAATAAAAGCAAAATAAATTGTGGTTAAATGTAAGGTAGGGGCAGTTAGGTGGTGCAATGGATAGAGCACCAGGCCTGGAATCAGGAAGACCTGAATTCAAATCCAGCCACAGACACTAGCTGTGTGACTCTGGGCAAGTCACTTAACTTGTTTGCCTCAGTTTCCTTGTCTGTAAAATGACCTGGAGAAAGAAATGACAAACCACTCTGGGATCTTTGTCAAGAAAACCTCCAATGGGGTCACAAAGAGTTAGATATGACTGAAATGACTGACAATAACAACAAATGTAAGGTGGGGAGGATGCAGTTATTGGAAGGATGATTAAGGAAGGGTTCCTGGAAAAGGTGGTGTTTGAGCTGCATCTTAAAGGAAGGGAAGGATTTTATGAATCAGAGGTTAAAGGGGAGTGCTTGGGAGACAGCTAGTAAAAAGGCACCAACAGAGTTTGGAATGCCATATTTGAGAAATAGGAAAAGGTCATTTTGTCTGGATCATGCCTGGGGTGTTAGGAGGGGAGTAACATAGAAGGAGTTTGGAAAGAGGTTGGAGTCATGTTGTGAAAAATTTTTTTTTTAATTTTATTAATTTATTTTGATTTATCAACAGTCACTTCCATATGCTTTTGAGTTGAAAATTTTTCTCCCCTTTCCTCCCTCCCACCCTCCCCAAGACAGCACACAATCTGATATAGGCTATACATTAACATTCCTATTAAACATATTTTTGCATTAGTGAAGTTGTAAGTAAAAATTAAAACCAATAGGAGGAACCATCAGAAAGATGAAACAAAACTAAGCAGAAGGTAAAAATAAGCGATAGCAATTCGACTTCCATAGTTCTTTCTTTGGATGTGGACAGCATTTTCCATCCCGAGGCCTCTGGAGATGTCTTATATCCTTGTAATGCTGAGAAGGGTTCAGTTTAACAATATTAGTCATTGCATAATGTGGCTGTTATTGTGTACAAAGTCCTCTTGGTTCTGCTCACTTCACTCAGCATCAGACCAGGTTTTTCTGAAGTCAGCCTGTTCATCATTTCTTATAGCACAATAGTATTCCATTACATTCATATACCACAACTTGCTCAGCCATTCCCCAATTGATAGGCATCCTGTCAATTTCCAATTCTTTGCCACCACAAAAAGAGCTGCTATGAATATTTTATACATGTGGGTCCTTTTCTCATTTGTTTGATCTCTTTGGGATATAGCCCTAGAAGTGCTATTGCCGGGTCAAAGGGTATGCACATTTTTGTAGCTCTTTGGGCATAGTTCCAAATTGCTCTCCAAAATGGTTGGATCATTTCACAGCTCTACCAACAATGTATTAGTGTTCCAATTTTCCCACATCTTCTCCCATGTTGTGAAAATCTTTGAAAGCTAAAAAGAGGAATAGATATTTAATCCTGGAGGTGATAGAATTGGAATTTCTTGAATGTGTTGTGGAAAGGGAGGGGGGTGTCATAAGGTCAGACTCCTGCTTTAGGAGAATCGATTTGGCATCTGCATGAAGGCTAGATTGGAGTGGGGAAAGAATTGAGGCATTGGAGACCATCTGGGAGGCTATTGAAGTAGTCCAGGTGAGAGGTGTTGGGGACCTAGATTAAGGTGGTGGCTGTGTGAGTAGTGAGGAGATAGGTGCCAGAGATGGAAATAACAAGATTTGGCAACTGATTAGCTATGGGGGATGATTGGGTGAAAAGGTGAGAATTGCCCTACAGTTATGAACCTGGGAGACTGAAAGGATGATGGTACCCTTGACAGAAATAGCAAAGTTCAATAGAGGGACAGGTATGAGGGGAAAGATAATGAATCCTGTTTTAGACATGTTGAGATTGAGATGTCTATGGTATATCTAGTTTGAAAAATCTAAAATGACATGAGGTAATATAATGGGAAGCTAGCTAATTTAGGTGATGGCCATGATGCAGTGGACAGTGTACCAGGCCTGGAGTCAGGAAGACTCATCTTCCTGAGTTCAAATCTGGCCTCAGATTCCAGTTGTGTGACCCTGGGCAAGTCACTTAATCCTGTTTGTCTCAGTTTCCTCATCTGTAAAATGAGCTGGAGAAGGAAATGGTAAACCACTCACTCCAGTATCTTTGCCAAGAAAACCTCAAATGGGGTCATGAAGAGTCAGACATGACTGAAAACAACTAAACAACATTAAATGTAAGATTGGGAGCTCAGGAGAGAAACTGGCATTGGATGTATAGATTCGAGTGTTATCTGCAGAGAGATAATAATTAAACCTACATGAGTTGATGGGGTCATCAAATGAAATAAAACTAGAGTATTCAGGAAGAGAGGGTCAGGAAAAGACAGAGGTCAGGAAGAATGAGACTGAGAAAAGTTCATTTGATTTAGCAGTTAAGGGATTGTTAGTAGCTTTGGAGAGAGCTGTTTCAGAGGAGGGAAGAGGTGAGAAGCCAGAATACAAAGGGCTGAGAAGTGAATGAGGAGAGGGAGTAGGGGCAATGAAAGTAGTTATCCCTTCCACATCATTGGGGTTAGGAGTGCAGGGCCTCTGAGATCTAGAACATCCTCATAAAAATTTTTGGCCTTCCCTTCACACCAGAGAAGTCTGAATTTTTTCTCTTTCTTTTATGGGGTATTTACAATCCAGTAAAATTTGTGTTAAGTCATATGTGTTGTCTGCAGCTTCCACAAAACTCTCAAAAAGTTCCCATTTAATTTCTTATGTTTATCCACGATATATGGAAATCATGATGGGGAAAGTTGAGATGTGGAAGGGATAACTGTAAACAGCTTCTTTCTAGGAGTTTGGCTGAAAAAGAGACCAGAGACATGGGAAGAGAGCTTCCTCTAATGGGTCCAGTGAAGGTTTTTTTAAAGATGGGAAAGATTTGTTCCGTTCTTCGAGGCAGCTAACTGGCCCAGGGGATAAAGCAGCACTAAGCCTGAAGTCAGGAAGACCTGAGTTCAAATCCCTGAGTTGTAACACTTGGCTTGTGATCTTGAACAAGTCCCTTAACCTCATTTCCTTAACTGAAATGGGGGTGATAATAGTAAGTACCTACTAGAGTTGTTGTGATAATCAAATGAGATAATATTTGTAAAGAAAGCACTTAGCACCACCTGAGTTCAAATCCCTGAGTTGTAACACTTGGCTTGTGATCTTGAACAAGTCCCTTAACCTCATTTCCTTAACTGAAATGGGGGTGATAATAGTAAGTACCTACTAGAGTTGTTGTGATAATCAAATGAGATAATATTTGTAAAGAAAGCACTTAGCACCAGTGGCTGGTGCATAGCAGGTACTTAATAAATGCTTGTTTCCTGCCCTTGTAGGCAACAAGGAAGGAACTTGTAGACAGAATGAAGATTAGACAGGAAAAAGAATGATTAAGGATGCAGTTTCCCAGAGAGGATGAGGTCAAGGGCTAGGCAGAGAGGCGTTAGCTCTGGCAAGAAGAAGGGCCCCCTCATTGTCAGAGACTGAGGAAAAAAGAGGAGAGAGTGAGGATGATGTCATAGGGTTCGGGGGACATGCTGACTGGACAGTGGCCTCAGTTTTCTCAGTAAAGTATGAGGTAAGGTCCTCAGCTGAGGAGGCTGTGAGGAGGGGAAAGTGTGGGAGGCTCGAGGGACAGACAGAATCCTCTAGGCTTACTGGCTCCCCTTCATCAACCACTCACTTCTCCATCTCTTGCAATCTGGCTTCTGATCCAGCCCTCCACTGAGACTGCTCTCTCCAAGGCAACCAATGATCCCGCTAAATCCAATGACCTTTTCTCAGCGCTTGTCTTCCTTAGACTCTCTGCAGTTTTCAGTGCTGTTATTTACCTTCTCCTGGAAGATCTCTACCACCCTCCCTCCCTTGGCTTCCATGGCATTGCTCTCTCCTGGTCCTCCTCCCCATCTGTCCTCTGCTCTGTCTCATTCTCTTTATTAATCATCATCCATCCATCTGCCCTCCCTCACCCCAATCCCCTTAGTGTGGGTATTATAGGATCTCCTTTTCTCTACTTTTGCTTCCCCCATAGTAATCTCCTAAACTCCCATGGATTCAGTGATCAGTTCTGTGCAGATGACTCTCCCATCTATATGTCCCACCTTTGTTGTTCAGTTGTGTCCAACTCTTTGTGATTCAATCTGGGGTTTTCTTGGCAAAGATATTTAAAAGGAAAGGCAAGTTGTACATAAGATTTTCAGTTTCACGTGCAATCCTCTTTTTTTTTTCTCAACTCTACTTTATTGGAGCAGCTAGGTGGTACAGTGAATAGAGCCCTGGCCTTGGAGTCAGAAGGACCTGAATTCAAATCTGGCCTCAGACACTTAACACTTACTAGCTGTGTGACCCTGGGCAAGTCACTTAACCCCAATTGCCTCACCAGAAAGCAAAAAAAAAAAAAGGAATTGATCAATTCTACTTTATTATGGAAATTTGAGTTTTATTTCTTAACTTGAGGAAAAAAATAAACACTGAGGCCAAACTGAGGTTGCTCAAGGTAGCTAATAAATGTCTGAGACTGGATTTGAATTCATGAAGATGAGTCTTCCTGATTCCAAACATCTGCTGTGCCACCTAGCAGCCATCTTACCCTTAGCTTTCTCCTGTACTCTAGTCCTGCATTGTTCATTGCTGGTTGAACTGATCATTATTTCACTTTCTTCCTTTTGTACAGCATTAAGTGACTTGCCCAGGGTCACACAGCTAGTAAGTGTCTGAGGCTGAATTTGAACTCAGGTCCTCCTGACTCCAGGGCCAGCACTCCATCCATTGAGCCACCTAGCTGCCCTTGATTGTTACTTCTTATTTAAATTGTTTCTTTCTGGCTTCTTGCAGCACCTTCTCTTTCATCTGGTAATTTTGGAGTTTTGCTACTATATTCCTTGGCGTTGTCAATTTGGGATCTCTTTGAGGTGGTGACCGGTGTATTCTTTCTATGGTTATTTTACCTTCTGGTTCTAGGACTTCAGGGCAGTTTTCCTTTATGATTTCCTGAAATATACTATCCAGGCTCTTTTTTTCATCATGATTTTCAGGTAGTCCAATAATTTTTAAATTGTCTCTCCTAAATCGATTTTCCAGGTTGGTTGTTTTACCGATGAGGTATTTTAAGTTTTCATCTATTTTTTCATTTTTTATGTTTCTGTTTGACTGATTCTTGCTCTCTCATAGAGTCATTAGTTTCCATTTGTCCAATTCTAGTTTTTAACAGATTGTTTTCTTCTGTTAGTTTTTGTACTTCCTTCTCCAATTGGCCAATTGTATTTTTGAGGGATTTGTTTTCTTCAGTGTACTTTTTTTTTTTCAATTGGCCAATTGTATTTTTTAGGGACTCTTCTACCTCTCTCATTAGACTTTTAAAAGCCTTCTTGAGCTCTTCTAAGAAGGCTTTTTGGGCTTCATTACAGTTCATATTCCCTTTTGATGTTGCAGATGTGGGTTTGTTGCCAATGTTGTCCTGTTCAGAATTTCTGTCTTGATCTTTACTCTTCTCATACTATGAATCCATGGTACGTTTCTTTTTACTCATGGTGTTTCTTTATTCCCTGGCCTTTAAAGAGATTGAGCTCTCCTGCTGGGGAACAGAGGGCACTGACCCAAGCTTCTTGTGTTGGGAGCCTGGGTCTTGGTCACTGGCTTTGTGTGCTGGGGCCTCTTATGTTGGCAATTGGAGGCTGTATATAGTTCTGGCAGCTTACCTTGTGTTGGGCTGGAATCAGCAAGGCTGGAACTTTCAGGCAATTCTAGGTTGCCTGCTTTTCCTTTCCTTTAGCTTTCTTCAGCTCCTTTTAGATGGGTGCTGCCGGGTGTTTATCTGCCTGGGGCCCCTTGTAATGCTGCCTCCCTAGTTTCTGCTAATGCACTGGGAGATTCCTTTGCTGTAGAGTGCAGAGGTGCCTGGTGGTTTTCTGAGCTGGTTTCCACTGGTTCCCCTGCCCTCACTGAGGCACTCGGAGGTCCAGGTGTTGCTGTTTGCCTGCTCTACCACCTGGGCTTCAGGATCTCTTCCTGGGGTTCTGACAGCTGTCCTGGTGTTGGGTTGGAATCAGCAAGGCTGGGGCTTTAGGAAAGACTCTAGGTTGTTTTCTTCGGCTCCTTTCAGATGAATGCCACAGGGTGCTCATCCGCCTGGGGCCCTTTGTAGTGCTGCTTCCCTTGTTTTTGCTGAGGCACAGGGAGCCCCCTTTGCTGGGCTGCTGCACTGCTGCTCCCCGTCTTTCTTCTAGTTCAGCTGTTCCGGGGTTGGTTTTTTTTTCCTGGGGTGATATTTTCTGGGTTTTCAGAGGTTGGTAGTGGTAGACGGTGAGAACGACTACTTTTTTTACTCCGCCATCTTGGCTCCTGGAAGCGGAGCCCCTTTGATTGTTACTTCTTGTCAGCAATTCAAACTCAAAATGTTTCAAAAGGAATAATCAACCCACCTTCCTGCCCATTCTCCAAACTTCCCTATTTCTGTGAAGGCTCCACCATCCTTGCATTCACCCAGGTTCATAATCCCTGAGTCATCCTGTTCTTCATTCTCCCTCCCTTCCTCCACCCTCAATCAGCTGTCAAGTCTTTTTTTTTTTTTAGTGAGGCAGTTGGGGTTAAGTGACTTGCCCAGAGTCACACAGCTAGGAAGTATTATGTGTCTAAGGTCGGATTTGAACTCAGGTCCTCCTGAATCCAGGTCCGGTGCTCTATCGACTGTGCCACCTAGCTGCCCCTAACTGTCAAGCCTTGATGATGACACTTCCACATCTCTCCCATCTGTGCCATTGTCTCCACTTAACTGTGTTATTCTCTTAATTCAGATGCTCATGTCTCACCTGAAGCATTGCAGAAGTGTCCTAGTGGATCTCTCTGTATCCAATGTTTCCCCTTTCTAATCTAGCCTCCAAACAGCTGCCTAAGGAGCAGGTCTGACATGGCATTCTTCTGCTCAGAAGCCTTCAGTGGCTCCCAGTGTCTCTAGGATAAACGACAAACCCCTCAGCTGGGAATTTAAGGCCCTTAACTACCTGGCTTCTAACTGTCTTTCACAAACTCTGTGTTAACCAGACTGAACTACCAGCAGTTTCCTGGAGTGTACACCCTGTCTCCTACCACGCGTCTGTCTAGCATGTCTTTGTGGCTGGAATTCACATCTGCTTCTCCAGTCCTTGTCTTCTCTTAATGCTTAGTTCAGGGACCACTTCAGCTGAAAAGAAAAGCAATAGCTAGCATTAACATAGCTCTTTAAAGTTGGTTAAATGCTTACACGGGCTGCTTCATTACTTCAGAACAGTCCTGCGAGGTATTCTCACTTTACAGATGTGGAAACTGAGGCAGACAGAGGTTAAGTGACTTACCCAAGGTCACAAAGCTAGTAAAGCGTCTGAGTCTAGATTTGAATTCAGATCTTCCTGACTCCAAGTCCAGTACTCTTTCCACTCTACCACTCAGCTGCTCCTAGATCCCCATTTCTTATATGCATGAATAAATTAATTAATGGATGAAAAAGCATTTATTAAGCATTTATAGCAGGGGCACAGTGAATGGAGTGAATGGGCCTGAAGTCAAGAAGACCCGAGTTAAAATCTTGCCTCAGACACTTACTAGATATGTGACCCTGAGTAAGTTTGCCTCAGTTTCCTTATCTGTAAAAATGAGCTGGAGAAGGAAATGGCAACCCACTCCAGTATCTTTGCCAAGAAAATTCCAAGTGGAGTCACAAAGAGTCAGACACAACTGAAAGAACCAAACGACAACACAGCACCTGCTATGTTCTAAGCACTGGGATACAAATACAAAAGTGATCCTGTCTGCCTTCAGAGAGCTTACTTTCTACTAGGGGGAGACACCGTATAGAGGAATGGTGGCCAAGGAAGGGTGTTTCATTTCGGGGGTCCCAGAGATGGTGAGAGGAGCCGTGGTGAAGTTCACTGCCATATTGACATGACCTTCATAGAGACAAAGGCAGTAGTGTTGATTTGATTACGCCTCAGTACAACAGCTGGATAGGGTGGGCTGTGCTCTAGTCATGCTGGGGCAGGAAATAATTGGGGGTGAAATGGGGTCTATGGAGCCTTCCCTGATGTACCCAGCCATTAGTGCCCTTTCCTTCCTCAAATGACCCTGTGTTACCCATGGATGTGTTTTCTCCACACAGTAAATTCCTTGAGGGTATTTTGTTTTATTCTTGTACATCCCCAGCACCTAGCAAGGTACCTTGCACGGATAGTGGTTTGTCATACCTTGGGCCCTCAGCCCCCTGGCATGGAAACAACTTTTCTGGGAATCTTCTCTCCATTCAGTCTAATAGAACTCATGTTGACCCTTCGTCACGGCCCCCTAACCCAGGCAGTTCCTCAGCCCTGGTACAGAAGGTCTGCTAGGCAGCAGGCCCTGAGGGCTAGAGATGGCTCAAGGTAGCCGAGGAATGTGAACGTCAGACAGACTCCATGTACCTCTCCTTGCCACCGTCCCAGTGGAGGTGCTTTGGGGAGCAGGAGAGGGCAAAGGGAAGGTGTCTGAAGAGGAATGCTCACATCCCTAGTGTTCCCTTCTGACCCAGCACTGGGCTTTTGGGGTCAAGAAAATAAACAGTGAAGAGGGCAAGGGACTTCACGTTGGTGCCATTCCAGAGGAACTGAGACAAGTGGTTCTAAATGCCAATCCTCGCAAATCTCTGAATTTCCTCATTCTGAACATAGCTCTGCTCTGCTCAGGGGGAAAGCTAGCTTCATGCCTCAGGGAGAGGAGAATGGGCAGGTGAACACAGTAAGGGCAGGCTAAAAACGTAGGCCTAGGGCACCTCTGCTGGGGCTGTCAGGGAGGTAGACCTGGTACCCTTCTAGGTACCCTATCAGAGTAGGCTATACCTACGAGCAGAGTACTCGGGGGGGCAGAGAGTGAGAGTAACCTCCCGGGTGCTTTTGGAATTTAGAGATGGACATATGCCTTGAGTGGCACTAAGCTGATGGTCAGTAAAGCACCCGTAGCTGCCCTCCTTCCCCTGTCACTCAGGGCAGCACCCTCCCCACAGGCAGCACAAGACTGGGCCCACCCTGGTCCATCCCACTCAACCTGAGGAAGCCAGGAGCCACATTGGAAATGGAGGATTAGAACCAGAGCGGATAGCCCAGGGATGACAGATGGTTTCTGGGGTCCTTTCCAGCTCTGGAACTATGACTAGGACCCATAGATTCCCAGATAAGGAACCTTGAGCACATGGGAAGAATTTCTACACCACAGATCAGGCAATTTCCAGTAACAGCAGGTCAGTAGGCAATATGATTTAGGTCAACACAACATGGAAATGTGCAAAGTGGGTTGGGCACATGCCTTATCACTACCGTTTAGAGGAGCCTCACCCTGCATTTGGCTAGGGGTGTATCTTAGGGCTGGCTAGTCTATCTCAAAGAGAGACTATCAGTTGAGAACTTTAAGACTAGAGTAGCAGCAAGGAAGTGCCACTTTTTTGTATTTTTGGCAATGTAATGTGAGGTTTAATCCATGGTTGTTTCAACCCTCTTCCTCCATCATCACTTCTATTTAAAATACACTTTTAACCTTGCCTCCTTTGCATGTTTAGAAATAGGGGCAACTAGGTGGTGCAGTGGATAGAGCACCCAGCCCTGGAGTCAGGAGAACTTGAATTCAAATCCAGCTTCAGACACTTATAAGCTTTGTGACCCTGGGCAAGTCACCTAACCACATTGCCTCAAAAAAAAAGAAAATCTCTTAATGGTCCTTCTTTTGTTATTGTGGGGTTTTTTCTTTCTATTTTTCCCTCCTTTTTTCAGTTGTAATTTATTTTGCTACTTGTGTTTCCTTTGGTTGCTGCATTTGTTTGCTTTTTTTTTGTATTTCTGTTTTTGATGTGCTTGAAAAGCAAATAATCTACTCATTTCTGTGTTTTGTTTTGTTTTTTGCTTTTTGGTGAGGCAGTCGGGGTTAAGTGACTTGCCCAGGGTCACACAGCTAGTAAGTGTCAAGTGTCTGAGGCTGAATTTCAATGAACTCAGGCCCTCCTGACTTCAAGGCCAGAGCTCTATCCACTGCGCCACCTCGGGGCCCATCTGTGTTTTCTTTTGTAAGAATGCTTGAAACATTTCTTTTAATGAATGTCTATTTTTTTTTTATTGCTGATTGGACTCAGGTTTGCAGACTTGGTTTTTTTGGGTTGCCTCAAACTCCTGTGCTCATCAGAATACATTATTCCATTGTATTCTGTGGTTTCTGGCAGTTGCAGAATCGTTTTATGTTATTTGAATTAAGGAAGTGCCATCTTGACCTTTACCATGTATTCATCCCCCACCCTCTGTGGCTGAACATAAACACTCACCATCTTCTTTGCAAACATTTATTGGCAAGTTCTATGCATGAAGGTATGTTTCCTGAGGCCCAGGGTATCCTTGCCTGGTCTTCACCCAGAGTGGAGTAGAGGAGATCAGCATGCACCTCAGTAAACATCCTCTAATCTCTTAGGGGTTGTTACTGGGGTTAGCAGTTGTGGGACTTGGTGGATGTGTGGCATTAAGCTGTGTAAGGCGCCCTTGTGAGGAGACAGGTCTGCCCTTCGTTTGCAGGGCTAGAGAGACAAAAAAAACAACAGGGGTTAAGATTGCTGGCGCCTTCTCTATACTACCTAGTTAATCTCTGAGACGGGGCATAGTACGGGAGAATTACACTAGGAACACACACTAAGGAATTCTCCCTGCTTAGTAGTAGGCCCAACAAGGCAGGGACTTTGGCTTGTCTAGCCTCACCAGGGCCACACTGACTGCAGAAATAAGGACAGGTTTGTATGGCAAACCTCAAGGTTAGGGTACAAGTTTTATGTTTATGGTGGTACAAGTTTTAAGTTCCAGGCCCCCACACCTAACTTAAAAAAAAAGTCAAATGGGCTCTTTTATCCATTGTGAAGTACGAAATAAATGGGCCCCAACAATTCTTTTAGGGATCTCTTTTTAGACAAAATTTACACTAGTTGGTCTATGAATTTCTTCTGAGCCCTGCTTTCATATATTTTTACCCATCCCACTAAATGTTATTTAAAACTCCATCGGAGGAGCGGCTAGGTGGCAAAGTAGATGGAGCACCAGCGCTGGAGTCAGGAAGATCTGAGTTCCAATCTGGCCTCAGACACTTACTGGCTGTGTGACCCTGGGCAAGTCACTTAACCCTGATTGCCTCCCCAAAAGCTCAACAAAAAAACCCAAAAACTCCAGTGGACATGAAGATAACCAGGCTAAGACCTCCTTAAATATACCTTTGGTAGGGCTTTAGGGAGGATCAGAATAGCCTAAAACTGTGTTAGAGAGGCCTGGGAAATAGGAATATGACTGACCATCTGTCAGTTACTATTCCCTTTCTCAAGGAGTCCCAGGCTGTGCCCCTGAGTGGGCCAAAATGGCCCTGCTCAGTTCCTACCTTGTAGCCACAGGACATTTTCTCTCATCTAACCCAACATTCTCAGTTTACCTAGAAGGGAATTAACTTGTCCAAGGACACACAGCTAACTAGTATCAGAGCAGGTCCAGGGACCCTGTTCCCCAGTCCAGTATTCTTTTCACTCCTCTCCATATTTCTGGAAGAGCGTCCTTTTTTTCCCCCTTTATTTATTTATTTTTTTGGCTAGGCAATGAGGTTAAGTGACTTGCCCGGGGTCACACAGCTAGTAAGTGTTGTATGTTTGAGGTCAAATTTGAACTTAGGTCCTCCTGACTCGAGGGCCGTTGCTCTGTCCACTGCACCACCTAGCTGCCCCTGGAAGAGTGTTCTTTAAGGACCAGCTGGGCCCATTCCCTCTTCTAAGCCCGAGGCCCCAGGAGGCAGGTATCAGTCACAGAATCTCAGAAGCCTTGGAGCTCAAAGGGACCTCAGAAACCATCTCAGCCAGCCCATAACGGAGTAAGCATCTCCTTCATAACACATTACAGTTAACACTTCTAACCAGGGAAAGTCACCACCTCCCAAGGCATCTCATTCCACTTTGGTTATAGCCCAATCAGGAAGTTTTTCTTTACATCAAGCTTCAGTTTGTCTCTCTGTAATCCCCCCCCCACCCACCCATTACTCTTAGCTCTCTGGACAACACTGCTCCTGAAAGCTCTTGGGAAATCTGGGGAGGAAACCACTCTGTGGACAAGAAGGTGCCTAGTTGTTTCTGGGCCTGTAGAAGGAACCATAACCATTGTGTCTTCCTCCCCACCTCATATCCCATCCCCACACCTAAGCCACTACTTAAAGCTTATACCAACCCAACTCCCAGAAAAACCTGTCCTGAGGCAAAATCCAGCACATTGTCTGCAGAATCCCAAACCAAGAAGTGCCCCAGTCAAGCCCGGTCTTGACCCTCCACCCCATCCTCCCCCGCTCCCACCCTCCACCCCATCCTCCCCCGCTCCCGAACACTGTCTTTCTCCAGTGTTTGTACCTCTCCCTCCATCCTTTCCTCCCTCTCTGAGGTGCCAGAGTCCATGGGGAAGAGCCAGCCCCAAGCAGCCCAGGGCTGGGGATGAGAGGGAGGAGGAATCCGGGAAGATCAGCCAAATAATTACATGTCACAGAAGCCGCCGTCATCTGAGCGCTCTGCGGTCTTGAAGGGGATTGCCTGTTTTGCCCAGCAGAACCGAGATTCTTTGGTTTGTTCTTCATAGGACCTGGATATAGCAGGAAGGGCAAAAGGGGGTCAGCGCTAAGCAGAAAGGTAGGCACGGTAACCTGTAGGGACCCACAGGTAGACAGGACAGCTGTGAAGCTGATGAATGGGGACCTGCTATCTTGTTTCCTGATAGTAATTGTTTTTTTTCAGTCATTTTTCAGCTGTGTCCAAGTCTTCATGACCCCATTTGAGGTTTTCTTGGCAAAGATACTTGGGGTGGTTTGCCATTTCCTTCTCCAGCTCATTTTTCAGATGAGGAAACTGAGGAAAACAGGGCGAAGTGACTTGCCCAGAGTCACACAGCTAGTAAGTGTCTGAGGCTGGATTTGAACTCAGGAAGATGGGTCTTTTTGACTCCAGGCCCAGCATTCTATCTACGGTGCCACCTAGCTGCCCTATTAGACAGTAAACCCAAGGGCAAAGAGTGTGACTGTTCAGATCACAGATTTAGAGTTGGAAGGGCACTTAGAGAAGATCTAGTCCAGTTCTTTCCTTTTACAGAGAAGGAAACAGGCTGAGCAAGGAAGTGACTTGCCTAAGGTCACCCAGCTCACAGAACTGAGATTTGAACCCCCAGCTCAAAGTCTTAACTCTTCTACATAATCGTATCTGAACTTTGTGTGCTGGAAAAACAGTATATGGTCTTCCCTAGCACTAGCTGAGGGGCAGAGCTTGCATGATCTATCCCTATTAACTAATCTCTGTGCTTGGGCACATGGTCCATGGGAAATTTGTACTATTTGCATGTTGAGAGTGTGGGCGTGGGGTAGAGAGAGGTGATGCTGGGTAGTAGGAGAAATAAATGGGGCAGCTAGGTGGTGCAGTGGAAAGACCACCGGCCCTGAAGTCAGGAGGACCTGAGTTCAAATTTGATCAGACCAAACACTTGACACTTACTAGCTGTGTGACCCTGGGCAAGTCACTTAACCCCAATTGCCTAGCAAAAAAAAAAAAAGTGGGGGGGAGGGCAGCTAGGTGGTACAGTGGATAGAGCACCAGCCCTGGATTCAGGAGAACCTGAGTTCAAATCCGGCCTCAGACACTTGACACTTACTAGCTGTATGACCCTGGGCAAGTCACTTAATCCCATTGCCTAGCCAAAAAAAAAGAAATAAATTCCAGTGGCTCTCTATCATCTCCAGGATCAAATGCAAAATGCTCTGTTTGGCATTCAAAGCCTTTCATAAACCTTTCTACCTCTCCAGTCTTCTTACGCCTTACTCCCTTGACATGTATTCTTCTATCCAGTGGCACTGGCCTCCTGGCTGTTCCAGGAGAAGGACACTCCATTTCTCAGCTCTGGGCATTTTCTCTGGCTGTCCCCCATGCTGGGAACATTCTCCCTCCTTTGCTCCAGCTGTTGCTGTCGGCTTCTGTTAAGTCCCAATAAACTCCCACCCTCTATAGGAAGCCTTCCCTAACTCCTCAATTCCAGTGCCTGCTCTCTGTTACTTCCAATATATAATTTGTTTGCATGTTGTTTCCCCCATTAGATCGTAAGCTCCTTAAGGGCAGGGACTATCTTTTGCCTCTTTCTTGTATCCTCAGTGCCACAGTGCCTGACACACAGTAGGCGCTTAATAAATGTTTATTGATTGCCCAGAGATCGAGTGTTCTGCAGTGCTGCTTTGACCCAGTGACTGCTCACCCACTCAACAGTGTAGGGAGATGGGTGGTTCTGTGCTACCTGGATACTCACTTTCCTTGGTTGGGATTACAGGAAGCCTTGTCTCCAACCGTCCCTTGTAAATATGTCCATCCAGGCCCAAGATGTCCACCTCATGCTGTAAGGACATACTTTCGTCACCATGGCAGCGCCTAGGACTTCCCATCCTCAGGCTGCCAACTTGCATCAGCCACACATATCTACATAAGGAGTTTTTGACCTTTTTTTGTGTCATGGACAAAAAACTCTATGGACCCCTGTTCAGAATAATATTTCATATGCACAAACCAAAATATACAAAACTACAAAGGAATTCAATAACAGTGATATATAGTTATACAAAAATGTTTTTTAAGTAAGTTCATAGACCCTAGGTTAAGAACCCCTGAACTAGGGGTAGCTAGGTGGCACAGTGGATAGAGCTCTGGCCTTGGAGTCAGGAGGACCTAAGTTCAGATCCGGCCTCAGACACATGACACTAGCTGTGTGACCCTGAAAAGTCACTTAACTCCAATCGCCTCACCAAAAAGCAAAAAAAAAAAAAAGAGCTCCTGGGTTAGAGGAAGGGTAGGGGTGCGGTAGGGATCTCCCCTACAACTCTCTCCTCCCCCTTCCCACCCACTCCATGAACAAAGTCATCTGTATGGCTTCAGGAAGACATGGGTCAGAGTGACAAGGGAGATGAGAACTTCCTGTAAGTGAAGCCTAGGAGACACAAGAGCTTTGCATACCTTAAGGTCTATGGTTCTAAGGCAGGTAAGTCCTGTATACCCTTGCCCCTTTCCTGTGCAGTTCCGCCTAGTTTTAATGCCCCCATACCTTCAAGGAGGCCTGTATATCTTCTGCAGGGTAGATACAGTGAGCCAAGTGCTGTAAGCGGCCGTAGCGGCGGTAGGGGAAGGTGAGTGTATGGCTACCACCACAGCGACGTGACACTGACATGTAGGAGTAGTCTGGCATATCTTGAAGCCTGTGAGAGACGACACCCAAGGGGTCACAAGGGAACCCTAAGCAGGGTGATGGAGCAAGATGTACTGCTCGCCTCGCAGGGGCGGTAGATGAGCTGAACGGCTCTCTTTGGAGAGTCAGTGGCTGATGGCTACTCTATGCTCCCCTCCCAGTAGAAGGGAGCAGGGACAGCCCATAGATTGGCAGGAGGTATAAAAAGTATAGCATAAAAAGGGCCATGTCCCAGTTAGAAGAGCTGTGCTCAAGAAGCATGGTGAACTGGGGACACGCAAACTACTTATTTTTATATATATATATATATATATATATATTTTGCCTTTCTTTGTATCTTTAACAGTACAGTCTCTGGTGCTTAATGTTAACTGGTTGACTGACATACCACCTAAACAAAAAAAAATGCGGGATCAACATGAATCAACCACACACACACACACACACACACACACACACACACACACACACATATACACACACAGAGTATATGCGAAAAAGTGAGCAAAGAAAACTAACTACATCCCAACCCTCTCATTTTCCCTGTTATTCTGGACAGACACACAGACTTCAGTTTTTTCTTTCATTTTTTCCCCAGCAGTAGGGTAGGGAGTAGGGCTATGGGGTCTTGACTGGTGAAAGCCATAACAAGGCCATAGTGACCAGTGTAAGACCTTGTGTGTCTGGACATCTACCGAACAGACAAACGCCATGGGATCAGAGGCTGAATAAGAACCTTGAGGGGTCTGGAGCACTCCAGATACTCTATCAGAATGGCAAGGGTTATCCCAGGACTTTTGTCTCACCTCTAAGCACCTGCCTCCTCGGGGTACAGGGGTTGGGGTGGGGAGGGGCCCTGCCTTCCCATGGTCCATCCTACCGTTTGTAGTAAGAGGAACCAAGGCACTGGGCCTGGATCAGCTCCCTGATCATCTGGCTGCTGGCCTTGACTGAGCCTCCAAAATGAATCTGCACCTTCTCTATGTCCATCAGCATTTTGGAGTGCATGGAATGTAGGCGGCCCACGCTCCGCTCCAGCTGTCCCAGCTCCGAACGTTGGAAGGCAGTGCCCAACCTCATGCTGGGGGTGGTACGGTACAGAAGAGAGAAGGGCTGTCAGCCTCTGTCCTAAAGCAAGCTGTGGGAGGTGGTCTGATCCATTCACCCCATCCCTAACCAGACCAGCTATTGCTGAGCCCAGGTTAGGGCTGCATTTCTGGATATTCCATATTCCTAGTTCAGCTCCCTGAAATTTCACCCAAACCCCAGAATAAGGAGATATTTCCTCTAAACAATAGAGACCTCTGTCAGAAACCCTCTATTCAATTCTATTGCATTCTCTTTCTTTATTGGAGACCTACTGTGTGCCAGGCACTGTAGTTGGCAGTATGAGACAAAATAAATACAAATAGCACCCACCTTAAAAGTCAATATGGTAAAATGGAAAGAGCTTTGTATACAAGGGCAGAAGATTCTAGTCTCAGCCGTATGATCTTGGACACAGCCTTTTTTTTTCCTACCTTTTTTAAAAAAATTTATATAAATTTATTTATTTTAGTTTTTAACATTTACTTCCACAAGATTGAGTTCCAAATTTTTACCCCATCTCGCCCCTCCTCCCCAACCCAAGATGGCATGCATTCTGAATACCTTCCCCTAGTCCGCCTCTTTCTACTCTCCCCTTCTCTTATCCCCTTCCCCTTCTATTTTCCTGTAGGGTAGGATAGATTTCTGTACTCCATTTCCTGTATTTCTTATTTCCCAGTTACGTGTGAAAACATTTTTTTTAAAACATGTGTTTTTAAAACTTAGGGTTCCAAATTTTCTCCGTTCCTCCCTTCCCACCCACCCTTGGACAAAGCTTTTTAACTTACTTCTTCTGGGTTGACTTTTTTTATCCGTAAAGAGAGGCTAATAGCTCACATTTCTCCACTGTTTTAAGGTTCTCCTTCTCAAGTGTCCTTCCTACAACAACACACTACAGGAGGTAGTTCCTACTCTTTCAGGGCCTATGTTCCAGGGTGGTTGTGAGGATTAGATGAGCTAAGGCAGGAAAACAGTTTTGTTTTCTAAAATGCAAGGGAAATTGAGTTGTTGTGGTTTTTAGTCCACTATTCAAATATTCTCTGTTGGAGAAGGAAAGGCACAGAAGAAGTAACTGGATAGTGATACATATGGAAATATACATATTTACATATGATACATGGAAAGCTCCATTATTGGCTCAGTGATAGTCCTCCACTTCAGCCAGCAACCCCTGTGACTTCCTTGGGCATTTCTCGTCCTCATTCCCCCCATCAGCCCTCTGTAGAAGATCTACCTGTTGTCCTAGAAGTCTTTCTTGTTTTCTCTTCATTGTTTTTTTTTGGGGGGGGAGGAGTAATCAATTTTCCACTTTTATTGTCATCAAAAGAAAGAGGAGAGAACATAGCACAAGACAGGTTACCATAAGATGTTACATTTCATATAATTGGTCCAGAAGAGCAATGATGAACCACACCATCTACCTCCTACAGAGGTGACAGACTTAAGACACAAAGAAATATATTTTTTGGACATGGCCAGTGCAGGAATTTGTTTTGTTTGACTGTGTTTTTTGTTACATGTTTTTCTTTTCTTTCTTTTTTTTTTCCAATAAGGAAATGAGGTAGCAGGGAGGGAAAACAGATTTTTTGTTGTTGTTGTTCATTGAAAACCACTTAATTTAATTTAAAAAATAAATTTAATGTTGTGGGGTATCACAGCAGATAGGGAGTATTCTGTAAATGTTTGTGAATGAATAAACTGACTGAATGTACGATGATTTAGACAAGGTAAAAAGCATACACAGAAGCCCACTGTATATTCTGCATAAGAAAGCACTGGTCATAGTGCAACATCTTATACCCTACACCAAGATACAGTCAAAATGGGTACATGATTTAAATATAAAGACTGATACTATAAGCAAATTAGAAGAGCAAGGAATAGCTTACCTATCAGATCTATGGTGAAGGGAAGAATTTATGACTAAACAAGAGATAGAGAGCACTATGAAATGCAAAATGGACAATTTTGATTACATTAAATTGAAAAGTTTTTGCACAAACAAAGCCAATGCAACCAAGATTAGAAGGGAAGCAGAAAGCTGGGAAATAATTTTTTTACAGCCAGTGTCTCTGATAAAGGCTTCACTTCTAAAATATATAGAGAACTAAGTCAAATTTATAAAAATACAAGTCATCCCCCAATTAATAAATAGTCAAAGGATATGAACAGGCAGTTTTCAGAGGAAGAAATTAAAGCTATCTATAGTCATATGAAAAAATGCTCTAAATCACTATTGATTAGAGAATGCAAATTAAAACAACTCTGAGGAACCACATCACACCTATCAGATTGGCTAACACAACAAAACAGGAAAATGAGAATTGGTGGATATGGAAAAATTGGAACGTTAATGCATTGTTGGTAGAGTTTGGAACTGATCCAACCATTCTGGAGAGCAGTTTGGAACTATGCATGCCCACAGGGCTAAAAAACTGTGCATATCCTTTGATCCAGCAATAGCACTTCTAGGGCTGTATCCCGAAGAGATCATACAAATGGGAAAAGGACCCACATGTACAAAAATATGCATAGTAGCTCTTTTTGTGGTGGTAAAGAATTGGAAATCGAGGGAATGGTTGTGGTATATGAATGTAATGGAATGCTATTGTGCTATAACAAATGACAAGCAGGCAGACTTCAGGAAAACCTGGAAAGACTTGTATGAACTGATGCTGAGTGAAATGAGCATAACCAGGAGAACATTGTAACAGCCACATTGTGGGATGACTGACTTTGATAGACTTAGCTCTTCTCAGCAATGCAAGATCAAAGACATCTCCAAAAGGCTCACAATGGAAAACCCTATCCACCTCCAGAGAAAGAACTATGGATTCTGAATTCAGATGGAAGCATACTATTTGCTCTCCTTCTCTTTTATTGTTTTGTTTTGTTTCTTCTTTCTCATGGTTCCTCCCATTAGTTCTAATTCTTCTTTACATTATGACTAATGTGAAAACATGCTTAATATGAATGTGTAAGTAGAGCCTATATCAGATTGCATGCCATCTTGGGGAAGGGAGAGAAGAGAGAGGAGGAGGAAATTTAAAACTCAAAATCTTATGGAAGTGAATGTTGAAAACTAAAAATAAATAATTAATTTTAAAAAAGAGAAAAAAAAAACCAAAGCACTGGGTCATGGAGTCAGGAGACCTGGGTTCAAGTCCCAACTCAGCCACTTAACCATTTATGTAACCTTGAGATAGTCACTCTACCTTTGTGGGCCTCAGTTTTCTTTTTTTTTCTTTTTTTTTTGGCAACTGGGGTTAAGTGACTTGCCCAGGGTCACACAGCTAGTGAGTTCCAAGTGGTGTTTGGTCTGAGGCCAGATTTGACTCCCACTGAGCCACCTAGCTGCCCCTCCTCAGTTTTCTTATTTGTAAAGTGGGGATAATAATACCTGCTCTGCTTTCTTCACATAGCGTTCTTGTGGGGAATCAGATGAGCTAATGTACCGTCATCAATTGTTAGATCCGAAAGGGATTTCAGAGATCCCCTGGTCCAAATTCCACCCATCCCTCTCACCCATTTAACAGATGAAGTAAGGTATAATGATTCAATAATTAATGCTATGGGGAGTCTAGAGAGCGACAGATTGGTATTATGGGGATTTCCCAATGGCAACCTGGTGCTCCAGTTAGAACTGTCTCCTCATCATCCCTGAAACACTAGCTTCCTGACCTTTGCTTGTGCTATCTCACCTAAGTGTGCCTTCCCTCTTCAGTTCATCTAACTCCTTGAGGGACCCGATAAAGACTCACCTCTTCCATAAAGCCTTCCCTGATCACTGGCCAAGAGGGATGACCCCTCTATTCTCCAATACTCTTTGTACCACCCAACATCACACTTAATCAGGTCCTATCCAATATTATTATGTCAGTGTGTGTGTGTATGTGTGTGTGTGTGTGTGTGTGTCTGCCTTTGTTTTCCCAAGTTGATTAGAAATTGATTTGAAGGATGATGTCATTTACTTCCATAATATCTGAGAACACCTAGCACAATGCTAATGGAATAATTATATATAATGGAATAATTAATGTAGGAACTCAATACTTGTGTGAACTAAATTGAATCTTTTTTTTTTTTGAGGCACTTGGGGTTAAGTGATTTACCCAGGGTCCTACAGCTAATGAGTGTCAAGTGTCCAAGGGTGGATTTGAACTCAAGTCCTCCTGACTCCAGGGCTGATGCCCTAGCCATTATGCCATTTAGCTGCCCCTAAATTGAATTTTTTAATGCCTCCAGACTTAGTCATAGCTAGCAACCTTTTCCTCCTTGCTCCCCTTCTGTTCAGCCAACGACTATGGTCAAACTGCACATACCTCAGCATAGGCCTACCTCACCTTGTCAATGGCTAATTTAAGTGCGACTCTTCCTGTTAACCAGGATTTTAATTCTAAACTGTGAACTGAGCCCCAATCACTAGCCCTACTGATTTCCAAACCAGTTATATACTTACAGAGGTTGGGGGAACTAAGTCATAAGCATACCTAAGACTAGCATACCTTTCAGCAGAGCCCCAGAGGCCCTACACAAGGGATGGTAGCTCTCCATGACCTCCAAGATGAAATAGAAAATCTTCTGTTCAGCTTTTAAAGCCTTTCATAATCTGGCCCCTTCTTATCTCTCTAGCCTTCTCTCTCTTTAAGGACCTCTGTGACCCAGTAGGGTCAGCTAGGTGGTGTAACAGATAGAGCACTGGGCTCATCTTCCTGAGTTCAAACCCCACCTCAGACACGTATTAGCTGTGTGACCCTGGGCAAGTCACTTAACTCTTTTTTCTCAGTTTCTTCATCTGTAAAATGAGCTGGAGAAGGAAATGACAAACCGTTCAGTATCTCTGCCAAAAAAACCAAAACCAAAAAACAAAAACCCAAATGGGGTCACAAAGAGTTGGAAGTGACTGAAAAAAAAAAATGTGACCTAAGGGCAGCTAGGTGGTACAGTAGATAGAGCAACAGCCCTGGAGTCAGGAGGACCTGAGTTCAAATCTGACCTCAGACACTTGACACTTACTAGGTGTGTGAACCCCAATTGCCTTGCCAAAAAAAAAAAAGTAACCCAGTAACACTGGTAGGCATTTCACCTCCCAGTATGCTCTCTCCCCTCTCACCTGGTTCCCTGGCTTCCTTCAAGATTTGAGCTCAAATCCCATCTTCATGATTGGACTGCCCATGCCTTCCCTCTGAGATTACTTTGCATTTAAAATCTATATCTTGTATGTATGCAGTCATTTGCATGTTGTCTCCTCTATTAGAATGTGAGCTCCTTGAGGGCAGGGGATCATGTTTTGACTTTCTTTGTAAACCCACTTACCACAGTGCCTGGCATATAGTAAGTGTTTAATAAATGCTTGTTAATTGATCCCTATAAATGCTTGTTTATCTGCCCCCCCCATCCTCGGTTTCCCTTCTCCCCTCCCATAACTCTATCACCCTAAATGATGAGTTTAATTGTAACTCAAGGTGAGTTGTCTGAAGGGTATAAATGAGTATGGGGGTGGACTTAGCCTTAGCAGAGAATAGACCATAAAGAGAGGTCCTGTAGGACATATAGCTAGATCCCTGGGGGGGGGCTGGACTAGGGAAGGTTTCCACTTCTTTAATGATTCAATCATTTCCGGTTCTCCAGGCCTCATCCCCACAAAGCAACAAATCCTTTGACCCCAATTCCAAAGTACTTCACCCCAGGCCTCTAGAAAGGATTCTACCTTTGATATCCCCATCCAAAGCCCCTTCTTCAGGCAGAGCCGTCCCATACTTGCGGCTTTGCTGTCGGACTTGCTCCAATTCGTAGATGGTGTATGGACGGTTAGAACGATGTGCTGGCAGTCCTGGGCCACTAGGCACTGAGGGAATGATCCTGTCCATGGGGAGTGCGAACAACATATGAGAAATCCGGATGACCTAAAATCCACTCAGGGTTCCCACAACCCCTGCAAGTTCACTTGGCAGGAGGTGGGGGTAGGGGGAGGGGAGGGGGGAGTGAGCACTCTCCTCTACTATGTTATTCATCTATTCTTCTAGACAATTTGTGTCCTGTAATGATGGGTAAAGGCCCATGTCTTTTCTGACATGGGGTACTATCTCTGCTTCAAGAGCCACCTTGGATAGTGGCACAGTTGGCCTTTACCATTCTGGTCTTCTCTGTCCTGTCCATTTTATGGTGGTGAGAGTGGCTAAATAACTCACCCCAGAGATGTTACTTATGGCTTGGACTTTGCCTAAGAACTTGAACAAATATCCAATAAAGCTCCTATTTCATTAAAAAAAAAAGCCCCTGGTATCCCCTAGAAGATCATTCCTTCCCTATACCCTCATCCATCTGCTTAATGCACCTTCCCAGGTACAAGGAAGCAGATGGTCTTCACACCAGGTATAAATATGCACATAATAATGATAATAACTTATATAGTGCTTTAAGGTCTATAAAGCATTTTACATTTGTCTCAATATGGGAGCTGGAAGGAAAAACAGGAGACAGAAGAGAATGAAGAGAGGAGAGTAAGGGAGACTTAAGGAATTGGAAAGAGACTCCCTCCTTCCCACAAATGAGGTCTGTAACAGGGTGAAGTGGTGGTATATGGCACTCACTGTCCAGATATAGCTGTTTCCAAGGGCCGGTTGCATGAGAGACAATGGAAATGTGCCAAAACCTGCCTATTGGGATAGAAACTGAGGGTAAATCCTCTTGCACATCACATTATGTGAAAGACAAAAGACACTGGTGGAATTTCCTTATCCACACTCCAAGAACATTGCTCAATCCTGGGACAAGAAAGCAGAGAGCAGACAAGTTGGAAATTAAGACTATGTAAGAATAACCCTCTTCCCAGCCCTGGAGGACATGCTAGAGATCAGGGTGGGTGGCATCTGCTCATACACAAGATGGTCACATACACAAATGTGTACACACACATCTGTGGCATTTAAAAAATCTGAAAGGCATAGTTTCTGGGTAATTTAATCATTTTATTAATAAGGTGAGCTTGTTTATTAATAAAATGAGGACAGTGAAACTCTCGAATGCCAATGACACCTTCTGGCTGTGAGCTCACAGTTTATACGCCCTTGGAAGGGTGGGTGTTTCTGAGGGTGGCAATCAACTCTGATCGGTTAACAAGTGATAAGAAAATTAATATTACAATGGGAGGTAGGCTATATTGCAATGAGGATCTTGGGGTACATGACTTGGATCACCCAAATCTTGGTCAAAGAGACTTATCTATTTCCATATCACCTGTCTGACAAAAAGGACAATCCACATTTTCCCAGACCTGTCTGTGTAAATACAATGAGCAGGAAACTTCCCATTAGCCTAAACTTAGAATTTCTTTTGCTGTCTTTGAGAAGGATTTCCCACACTGGTTGATTTCTGGATGAGGAAGTAGAAAAGGAGAAAAACCTTGGTCTTGAATCAATAATTAGTTATTAATACAAGAAAGAAATAATCATTTCTCTCACATCCATAAACAACTGTGCACTCCAGCAAATTCACATTCATACATGTACACATCAGTCAGATTTCTCCCTACGGGTGCCACCTCTTCTTTCTGATATTCAGATCTCTTTCAGGTAGTGATCGGTGGATTCTTTCAATTTCCATTTTACCTTCCAGTTCCAGGACACTGGGGCAGTTTTCCTTTATAATTTCTTGGAATAGGATGTCTAGGCTCTTTCTTTGATCATGGCTTTCAGGTAATCGAATAATTTTTAAATTATTTCTCCTTGACACATCTTTTCTCTCAGAAGGAAAAGCGGACTGACAAAGAAGAGGTCTGCCATAGCTCATCCCAGCTGGACCCTAACGTGCTCTCTGCATATTTGGGAACTGTGCTTACCTAGGGTTATCTATAGATTCACAGGTGATTTGCTAGTGCCCTCTAGTGGCCCAACACAGAAGCTGGGACCTGGGCTCTGTTACCTTTCAGGTTTCCCAGGGCACCATATTTATGATTTTGAAGGAAAATAGTCTCTCACGCTAGGGTTCTCCACTTTAACCCCACTTATGCAGGGAGGTAGAGCCGTGCCCCAATATTACCAATTCTTTGGTGGTTCTGGATATCTAAATGTGCTCTCCTACTTTTTTTTTTGGCTAGGCAATGGGGTTAAGTGACTTTCCCTGGGTTACACAGCTAGTTCATGTTATGTGTCTGAGGCCGGATTTGAAGCTCTCCTACTCTTACCATACAGTTAAGTGCAGAGAGAGCCTGGGGAGCGAAACCCATACACATATCCAACTCTCTCCTGGGGTCTTATAGGGGTGGCAGGATTGGATTGCCTCCCTCCCCTCCCCCAGAGTAAGGGAGTCCACTGACTTCTTGAGGTTAGTTGCTCCATCACATGGTCTTGCCACTGACTGGTTGTTCTCCCTGGGCCTCTTTGCCTTCATCTGTGCCAGGCCATTCCAGCTCTCCTCCCCACCCCACCCCCACTCAAGTGTGATCTCACAGTGTCTGCCCACCCAGTTCACCTCCGCATGATGGCAGCTTCATCAGCCTGATAGAGAGGGGATTGATTCTTCAGCTGCTGTCGTAAGGCCTTCCACCTTTCCTCCAGCATCTTCTTCACGGGATCTAACTCTAGGCGATCCAGCTTACTCAGGAAGAAACAAGGATTCGTGTTTAGGAGAGTGTGGATGTCCAGGGAAACAGAGAAACAAGTAACTAGCCCTGAAGGAAAGGGGAAGGAGAGGGGGAGCAATAATGCCAAGCCAGGTCCCACCTCACCAGAACTGTAGAAGACCCTTGGCATGGAGAGGAAGACTACAACATATCTATCTGGGCACAATTTTTTTTTTCAGTTTGCTCTCCTCTCAAGCCATCTAAAGATGGACAGACTCAGGGCAGCTAGGTGGTGCAATGGATAGAACACTGGCCCTGAAGTCAGGAGGACCTGAGTTCAAATCTGACCTCAGACCAAACACTTGACACTTACTAGCTGTGTGACCCTGGGCAAGTCACTTAACCCCAATTGAAGAAAGAAAGAAAGAAAGAAAGAAAGAAAGAAAGAAAGAAAGAAAGAAAGAAAGAAAGAAAGAAAGAAAGAAAGAAAGAAAGAAAGAAAGAAAGAAAGAAAGAAAAAACAGATGGACAGACTCCTGAGGCCTCACCATCTTCATCTGCCCAAGTACCCTCAGGGAGTAGGTACCCAAGTATGCCAACCCCAAAGTAAGGTCCCTCACCTTGGTATCCATTTCTACCAAGAGCTTGTCCAAGATCTTCTTCCAGTCCTTCTCCTGTCCAGTCATCTTTGTCAGCAGATCCTGCATCATTTGGTTCAGCTGCTCTGTGGTGGCATCAAACTGGATTCGGCTTACTTTGGCAGCGAGGGCAGTCTTATCCGCTTTCTGTCTCAGGAGAGATGAAGGAGGCGGCCACACTGTCTCCACAATGGAGGCACCCCTCATTGAATTTGTCTCTCTGGGATATCTTCCATCCCAACTGCCCCCCCGATAGCCATCCTGGCACCAACCAATGTCTCTTTGATCTATATCTCTCCCATGTGTCCCCCTGCCACCCCTACCCCAAATGCATTTCATAGAACTAGCTGGTACAACAGGCCTGTTACACAAAAGTATCTTATGTGTGCATGGCCTCTCTCACCACATCAATCTCCATCTCCAAGTGTTCCCTGTTGGCTTTCTCCTTTTCTAGCTTCTCTAGGGACTGGTACAGGACCTGGGTAGGAGGTTGAGAGGGATAGAGACAGAAATAAAAGCATTGGATATAGTGGAATGAGTTGGGGAGGGGAGGTTATGTCAAGGGTAGAGATAATTTTGAGCCCAGGACAAAGACTTCCATTCCACTCTGAAGGAGGGTGGTGGGTGAAGGTAGAGGACCTCGGATGCCATTCTGAAGCTTCAGATGATACCTCCTAAGGTATCCTCCTTAAGGATCTACCTCCTCCTCCCACCTCACCAGGAACCAGCCAGGCCAGACTTGGGGTTTGCAGATATCACACACTTCTAGCCTCTTCCCTTTCTCATTCCTGCCCCTTCCTCCCAGCACAGCCCAAACCTCACCTCAATGTCTTTCTGCTTTTGCCTGTGGTCCTCAATGAGATTGCCTGTGGTGATGTTAAGTTTCTCACAGTCACCTTGCACCTGAAGGATAGTGGCCTGGATATGACCTAGTAGCTCTTCATCCTGAGGCAAGAGGAGGAAGAGAAGGAAAGGAAGGACAAAAGGAGGCCATTTTGAGGTTGATGGCATGACCCTTCCCCTTCCCACAAACTCATAGGCCTTTCTTCCAGGATATATCAAAGTCTCAAGCCAAGTCACATAAAACGGACAAGAGCCTAGTAAAGAACTGAGTGACCCCAGGGGATGGACTGAAGAAACACTGGGTAGTTGAACTTTCCTGGTGTAGTTTGAGGGATGAATCTTGCTCTTCCTCAGCATGCCCTCCCCCCAATCTAGTGTTACCCCAGGTAGGCAGAATCTCTACCTAATGAACTAGCACTCCAGAAATTGTGTTCTACAGGTGGGAGGGTAGGTCCCCACCAGCTCTGTTGATTGCATGGAATCTTGGGTTTCTGAATTAATCAGTGCAGATAATGTAACAGGGGAGGTGTGGGAAGTACCTGTTCACTCATTCATTCAACTCATTTATTCATTTAACAAGCATTCATTAAACTGTCCCTGCCCTCAGGATGCTTCTATTCTACTGTAAGTGGAAACATCGTGTTAGATAAGTATGTACAACATACCTTTAGGGGCAGCTAGGTGGCACAGTGGAGAGAGTACAGGCCCTGGAGTCAGGAGGACCATCCAACCTTATACACTTGACACTTACTAGCTGTGTGACCCTAGGTAAGTCACTTAACCCCAACTGTCTCACCAAACACAACAACAACTCACCAACATATTTGCAAAGTAATATTTGGGGGTGGGGAGTTCCTAACAACTGAGGGGATCAGTATAGGCCTCTTCTAGGATCTTTGAAGTGAGACAATGTGGATATATAATGGAAAGAGCACTAGCTTTTGAGGCACAGGACCCGAGTTCAAATCTCCCTTCTAATGTATATTATCTGTGTGACCTTAAGCAAGTCACAGAACCCAAATGGGTCTCAGTTTCCAAATCTATAAAATGAGATGATAGGAGTAGACGGCTTCTGAGGTCCCTTCCAGCTTTGTCTTTGGAGGCAGTGATTCTAAATTATCATTATTATTTTTAAAATTATTATTATTATTATTAGGCAATTGGAGTTCAGTGACTTGCCCAGGGTCACACAGCTAGTGAGTATCAAGTGTTTGGTCTGAGGCCGGATTTGAACTCAGGTCCTCCTGAATCCAGTGCCAGTGCTCTATCCACTGCACCACCTAGCTGCCCCCAGAAGCAGTGATTCTAAGAGGCATAGGTGAAGAAGAACTGAACTTCAGGCATGGGGGACAGCCCCAAGGCATGTTGAGGGGAGATGACATGTGTGAGGACCAGCAAGAAGGCCAGGTTAGCTGGACTATAGAGTGTATAAAAGGGAGTAATGTGTAATAAGCCTGGAAACAGTTGAGAACCAGAATATGAAGGGATTCAAGTGCCAAGCAGAAAAGTTTGTATTTTTATCCTAGAGGCAATAGGAAGCCCTTGGGTCTTCTTGAACCAAGGAGTGATGTGGTCAGACCTGTGCTTGAAAAATGTCAATTTAGGGGCAGCTAGGTTTCACAGCGGATAGAGCACTCCCCCTGAAGTCAGGAGGACCTGAGTTCATATGCGTCCTCAGACCAAACTCCTGACACTTACTAGCTGTGTGACCCTGGGCAAGGCACTTAACCCCAATTGCCTAAAAATACAAAAACAAAAAAACAAACAAAAAAAGAAAAATGTCAATTTGGCGTTTGTGTTGAGGATGCATCCCCAGGAGAGAGACTGGATACAGGGAGAACAATTGGGAAGCTGTGGCAGTAGTCCAGGGATAAATAAATACAATGAGGGTCTGAACTAGGGTGGTAGCCATGTGGATGGAGAGAAAGGTACGGACACAAGGAATACGGAGGCAGAATTGCTAGTGAAGAGCTGAGGCTACACTCCAGGTTTTGAACCTAGGTGATTAAAAGGAATGGTGGTGTTCGGGACAGATTATAGGCAATTTAGGAAGAGGATATTTTAGGGGAGGGGAACAATGAGTTCTGTTTCATTCATATTGAGTTGTGACTCTTTTTATTTATTTATTTTTTGGAGGGATTAAGTGACTTGTCCAGGGTCACATAACTAGTGTCTGAGGCAGGATTTGAATTCAAGTCTTCCTGACTCCAAGGCTGGTGCTCTATCTACTGCACCACATAACTACCCCCCATATTGAGTTTGAGATGCCTATTCCCATTGGTGTTGTCCAACAGGCAGTTGGTGATCTGGATCTTAGGGCTCCCTCCCAAACCCCTGCTAACCTTCCACTCTTCCCCAAAAAGCAGCAGTCCCTGTCCTCTGGGGAGTATCGGGGAAGGACAGTCGTTGGTGCCCAGGTGCAGTTACTCTTAGGTGATGCCTGCTTCTTGGATCCCTTCTAGAGGGTGAGGTGGAGGTTTGTGGAGTTTAGATGGGAGGCAGACTGAAATCTGGGGCCCTGGAACCTCATTCCCTAGCAGGCCTATCCTGGTACAGGAGATGGCCCAGTCAGACTTACCTGATTCTGGAGCTGATACTTCTTCGAGGGCCGAGATATCATCAGATTGTTGACCATATCCTGGAGCTGCTCATAACGCTGTACTAGCCTGCTGACTTGCTGGCTTAGGTCTAGGCTACAAGCTGGACAGGTAGCGTTTGGGTCAATTTTGTCTGGGTTCAAGGGTGCTGGCGTCTTAGGCGGTGCCATGCTCATGGACAGCAGGGTGGACGATGAGGTAAGCATGCTTTCTATGATCAACCTGAGCTTATCTAACTGTATATAAAAGAAAAGCAGGTTGGGGAGAGTTTTCAGGGTGGCGTGAAACAAACCAGTCGGTAGAGTTCTTTGCACAGGGGTGGCCTGAAGGCCTTCTCTGCTGGCTCATGGGATCCAATTTGAGGCTCTACTTCCCTCATTTAGGCTTTACGGCAGCCCTCCTGACACATGTCAATGTCCTGGGCCCAATCTGTGGCTCTAAAAGATCTCTAAATTCTGAATTAGACTATGAGAGGTGTCACATGATGCTGTTGGTGAATGAATGGCAGTTACAGACAGAGCTCCAGAGTCACATTGCCCTAGGGAATTTGGGAATAGAGCTGAAGGTCTGGGCTACAAGCCTCAGTGGAGGTGAGAGGTACTGGAGGGGCAGTCAAAATGGGACTGCCTCCTTTCACCCAGAAGTTTCCCCCAACAGTTCCAGAGACAGAGGGCTCCACAAGAGTTGCCCTTGCTCCACAGGGACAAATAGGTATTGGAGGAGAATGCATCCTCCATTTTATTTTATTTTTTTTAGGCAGTTGGGGTTAAGTGACTTGCCCAGGATCACACAGCTAGTAAGTGTCAAGTGTTTGGTCTGAGGACAGATTTGAACTCAGATCCTCCTGATTCCAGGGCCGATGCTCTATCCACTGTGCCACTGAGCTGCCCCTACATCCTCCATTTTAAAACAGGCCCTGAAGATCCATTCACATATCAGCCAGTCCCTATCTCACCCTAACCCATACATCTTACATGGCGGATGAAGGGACATTTGTACAGTCTCTCTTTATCTCAAACCTATACTTATGACAGCTTCTAGGTGGGGTGGACAGCTGGCACTGGGTAGATACTGTATGCTAGGCTGCTCAGTACAAGATGAACCTAGGGAGGGCCCTGTGGTCAGTAAGACGGCATAGGGGCATGATCAGAGATGGGTTTGCTTCTGTCTTGTGGTCTTGTAACTAGAAGCCAGAGAACCTTCAGATGTGACTTCCCCAGGAAGGATAGCAGAGAAATGGAGACTTGGTCTCTGGTACTTAGCAGGAGGGAGGCCTGTTCTCCCCTTCTCTGGTCCCTCACCTGTTCCTGTAGATAAAGTGTGGCTTCAGTCACTGACTGTTCCACGATGGCCTTGCCCTGCTCCTGCCGTTCCCTCAGCAGGGCCAGCTCCTTCTCTATGTCATTCACATTCGATCTGGGCCACAGAACCAAGAGGCTGGTTACTGACTGGCAGCCCCCAAGGGACTTGAGCACTAGGTGTCAACACTCAGCTTTACTCAAGGGGTGCAGAAACCAGTTAGGAGGAACTGAGGTTTGAGGAAGTTGTACATTTTCTCTCCCCTCTAAAAAATTCCAGCTCTAGTTCTGGCGTACTTGTAGGGAAAATCAAGCTCTCTCCTCAGCTGGTCATTGTGATGACTGGCACAGATGCCCACTCAGCCAGCTTGTGAAATCTCCAGCCTGCTAGGACTGGGAATGGAAGAGACAAGGAGTGTGGAGTCATGGACACCTCCTGGCTAGGATCTGAGAGGCTTTTCTCTCATATCCCCTGGGCACTGTCTTCTAGGGGATCCTGGTGGATGTCTGCCGGTTTGTTCTGAAGCCACCCGGCCTTATGGGTTAGCTATGACAACCTCCCAGGACGAGACAGAGCCCACAGCCCAGATCAAGATGGGAAGAGAAGGCCAGTCCAGGAATAGCTCCACTCATTCTTATCAACTCCTTCGCTCATAGCACAAGAGCCTAGAAGACTGGTCTTCTCTTCCCTACCTGCTCAATCTTGCCAGTTTCCTATATATCCAAACACCAAATGGTCTTGAGCTCCCGGAGGGCCCAGCTTTTACCTGAGAATATTTAGCTGCAGACTCAGATGGCCAGACCTTTCTCTCTCCTCTTCAGCCTCTTCCTCTTCTCCTTCCAGGATTCGCTGCATTAACTTCATCTGTAACCCCAATGGTTTGGTAGTTTCAGGCCTGAGTCTCCCCTCTCCGGGAAGTCTGGCCCAGGCTTCTCACTTAATAATGATAATAATAACTGGGAGGTTAAGGGTTAGTTTTACAGGTGGGGAAACTGAGGTTAAGTGATTTGACTGGGGTCATACAGCTAGTGAGTTTGTCTAAGCAGGATGGCTCTATCCACTGTGTCCCCTAGCTGCCTACCTCTCCTCCCTCCCTGTGAACCTAGCCCAGGGACTTTGTTCTGAAATGCTTTTGACTATCCCCTTAGAATGGTGGGTTCTCTATGGATTTCAGGACAAATTGGATAGCCCTTTACCCACTCACTTTTTCCCTCTCCTCTTGAATTTCTTTGGTTAAGGCTTTAAGACCACGCAGCTGTTCCAGCATGTCATCAGGGATGGTCTTATTGGCTATGGAAGAAGGTAAGTCAGAATTGTCAAGGTCTAAACATCTCTCTCTTCTCCTATCGGTAAGTTCCTCTCTGGGCCTCCATTCTGGGGAGGGTCCCAGGTTAGACATCCTTCATTCCCCTCTAGGATTCCCCAAACTTCCTGACTACACCCAAATGAGGCTCCCTTCCCCCAACCCTTTCAATCTCCCTTTGGTTTCTTATCTTCCCCATTTATAACCTAAATTCCTTGAAGGCAGGGACTGTCTGTTTATATTTATATCTCTGGCACTTAGCTCTACCACTGGCCAGAGCTTAATAAATTCTTCTTGCCAGCCTGTTTCCCAATCCCCTCCCTTAACCAATGTGAAAAACTCTACTTTCCCTGGTGGTGAGATGAGAACATTGTTCTAAGTCTCCAGAAACTCTTCCTAAATAGCTCTCATGAGAATTTTTCTGGTTTGCTTTGGGGAGGTGGCCATCCCACCCACCTCAAATCTTAGGACCCAAGACCCTAAAGCCGTGGATGAAGGAAGACTGAATTTAACCCTTTTGCTCTCCCTCACCCCAACTCCATACTATCTTTTTTTCTCTTCTCAATTTCCTTATCAAGCTTCTTAACCTGGGGGCTTGACACCTGCAAATAAATTTCTCAGTCCCCTCCTGGGTCATTGGCCCCAATCCTGAGATCAGATGCAAATCTTGCTGATTTTCCCGGTGTATCTACCTAATCAGTCATAAAGGCCCTATTGAGCTATAACTAGGGTAAGGTGATTGGGGCTATATCCCAGGATGCTGAAATTTAGAAGGCACTAAAAGCTCTTCCATTTCTTTGCCAGGTAGAAACTGAGCTTAGCACCTAGTTAGCAAGTATTGTTAAAACAGGAAACCACCAGAACAAACAAATTTTAAAATATGCTGGAAGTTACCAGAGGACAGGCCAGTTCCTCCCCCTGCCTAGAGCCTGCTACTTCCCCTGGTGGTTGCCTCCCCAGCCTTTCATGCCACCTCTCAGAACTGCAGATTACAATTGGAGAGCCCTGGAGGAAGATACGGAGAGGGGAAGACGGTTTGGTCAGGTGTATGTGAGTATGTGTATGAATGCAGAGGTTTGAGGCCTAGAAGCTGAGACAGCAAAGCAGAGGCAGAGAGGTTTGGGCAGACAATACTTACTTAATTTCCCTATCAGGAATTGTAACTTCTCCAGCTCTGAGTGGCCAGCATCTTCATCCAGTGCCCCCATCTGCTCCTTCAGAATCAGGTAGTAGTTGGTAAGCTCCCCCATCAAACGCAGGGTCTCTAAGGCAAAGGGGAAGCTGAAACCCTCTCCTTCTTTGCTTTTTTGGCTCGGTGTTCGATGTTGCTGGTATGGATGTAGAGAGTACATAAACGATGTGCTCGACCACGGTGGTTGTGGCCCCAAGGCAGGCTGTGGCAATGCGTAGGGAGGCTGGGGTGGCGTGTAGGGAAGATAGGGTGGCACAAAACTGACTGGGATTGGGAAGACAATACAGTTTGAACGCCAACTTGGCGCACAGGTTGTTCACTCGGTGTGGTGCCTGAGGCAACAAAGCCAGGCTGATCAGCACCTGAAATTACAGAAGCCCCCGAGGGTACACCTCCGAGCTGAAATAATAATCTTTGATTCACACCAGGAGCAGCTGTTGGGGCTACGGTAGCTGAAGAAACTGTTTCTGGGGCTATAGGATATGGCCAGGGACCTGGCTGATACGTGGGTGGGGGCACAGGACTTGCTGGATATTGGCCTGCGGCTCCAAGCCCCGGCAGAGATGTAGGGGGGGGTTCCATGGATCGGCTGATCAGTAGGAGTGGGCTGGTCTATGCCTGGGGCTACAAACGTTGGCTGACCAGTTACTGGATCAATAGGGACTGGCTGATCTGTAATTGGTGCTTCAGGACCTGGCAGATAAGTGGGTGGGGCTCCAGACTCTGGCTGAGTGGTGGGTGGGGTTCCAGAAACTTGTGGGTAGGTGGGTGGGGCTCTGGGTCCTGGATGAATGACTGGGGCTCTAGGGTAGGTGCCAGGGGCTCCAGGATAGGCGCCGGGGGCCCCAGGGTAGGCGCCGGGGGCTCCAACGAAGGCGACTGGGGCTCCGGCGTTGGCTCCCGGGGCTGCAGGGAAGGCGACTGGGGCTCCAGGGTAGGCGCCGGGGGCTCCAGCGTTGGCGCCGGGGACTCCAGCGTTGGCTCCGGGGGCTCCAGGGAAGGCGCCTGGGGCTCCAACGTTGGCTCCAGGGGCTCCAGGGAAGGCGCCGGGGGCTCCAGGGAAGGCGATTGGGGCTCCAGCGTTGGCTCCGGGGGCTTCAGCGTTGGCTCCGGGGGCGCCAGGCAAGGCGACTGGGGCTCCAGGGTAGGCGCCGGGGGCTCCAGGGTAGGCGCTGGGGGCTCCAGGGAAGGCTACTGGGGCGCCAGGATAGGGTACTGGGGCACTGAGTCCTGGCTGATAGTTGGGTGGGGTTCCAGGTACTAGAGGATGGGTGGGTGGGGTTCCAGGAACTGGTTGACCTAGGCCTACAGCTGTTGCTACTTGCTGATATGTTACTGGGGTTACAGCGTCTTGCTGATCTATTCCTGGAGCGAGAGATGGCTGACCTACCCCAGGGGCTAGCTGACCTATGCCTGGAGCAAATGGAGAAAACGGGGAAGTGACTAGGGATGTAGAAGGGAGTGTGCCGCTAACTAAGGTTAGAGGGGATTGCTGTGCAGTGCCAGAGGGCAGTAGGGAATGTTCTGTGCCAATCTGCCTTGGTCCAGCAGCTTCCCGAAGTGGGGGGTGGAATCTCTGTGCCAGGTGGCATCTTCTGTGAACTTATTTTTTTCGCGGCTGGAGAAGCCTTTTCAAGGGGCACAGGTATTGCAGTAATTAGAGAGGTCTCTGAAGTCTTGTCCACTGCCTAGTTAGAGGAGGAAGACAGAAGCATGTGGTCAAAGTCACCTATACTGATCCCAGGTTGTGTGTTGGGGGAGATCTAATCAGGTCAATTTAGGGCATTGGTCAAGAGAGAATCTCTGGGACCAAATCTCAGTGGGTCTCCGAAGCAGGAATGATAGAAATTTCCAGGGCAGAGTATAATATCTAATAAAACAAAAGAGTTAAACTCCGATCATATCAGGCCACTAGGTAAATTATCCAGGGGTTTAGAATAATACTGTAGATACACTTGCATCCCTTCAGAAATGGACACCCCCCCAAAAAAAAATTCGCAGGCACATGTTGTTCTACTCTCTTGGCTTTGAGGAGAGCCCACTCTAAATCCTTTCCCAATAATCACCGTAGAGCTTCTTTGACCAGAAACTAGTGCCTGCTCCAAGTCTTCCCAGGTAACTATCGAATTGTCTTCTGGATACAAACTCATCTTTCGAGTTAGAGCTTCCTGGTGGGGAAATAGTCACATTCATGTAATCTTGGGGATCCTGTTTTCCCACAAACTGCTCTTGCCTTAAACTACTCCCCCCCACCCCATTGTCAAGCAAGCTTCAGACAGCTCCCTTCTTTGTTTCACTGCAGAACTGACTTGTAGCAGGTATAGATCTTAACCCTCCATCTTGAATTAGAAGCAGGAAGTTGGTGTAAGGAGTGACACTTTAGAAAGCATTCCTTGGGGTCCCGGGATGAGGACCCAGCATGCAGAGGACACTGTTAGTCCTGTTGTGATGAGATTTCAGAGAAGAGCCTGAGTAGACATTAGAGGGAGGGCTGGATTATGGGTAATCTTGTCCCCAGTTCCAAGGGTCCCTTTTCCCTGTACTGGACAGAATGTTACCAGATTATTTTCTTGGTGATTGACTAGCTTCTCTAAATCTGTAATCCGTTCCTCTATATCTGTAATCACTGATCTGTAGTCTTTCAATGCCTGAAAAAACAAAACAAAACAAAACAAAACAAAACCTGATAAAAGGCATACCCTGAATCAAGATTCCACTCTCCTATCTCTAGGAAAGGGACAAAAAAAGGAGAGGAGTATGTTAAGATCCCTATACAGGAAAAGTAAGAGGGGACCAAGGGGGGAAGGGTCCTAGCTAACTGAAAAATAACAACCAAGTTCCTTCTCTCATAGCCTAGTAAAAGGGAAATTTATTTTAGAGACAGGTGTCTAGAGGAGAGCTTTCAGAGGCAAGGACAAATCCAGAACATCTTTTCAGTTTATTGCCTGCATCCTGGCCTTTGCTTCATTCAGCCCCCAAATCAATCAACCAATGAACCCTTTCAAAGCCTCTTGGAAAGAGGGGACCCTAATCTGTCCAGGAACTTGGGCAGAGCAATTAAGACCTTTAAGATACCAAATGTTCTTTCTAGTTGATAACTCAAGTATTTAAATGGATACATATCTCTATTAATCCAAAGAAAAAATGTTAACTCCTCCCATCAAATTTTGTTGATGTTCGTTCCTGCTCTACCCTTTGTGATCTCATTTGGGGTTTTCTTGGCAAAGATACTGGAGTGGTTTGCTGTTTCCTTCTCCAGAGTATTTTACAGATGAAGAAACTGAGGCAAACAGGGCAAAGTGACTTGTCCAGGGTCACACAGCCAGTAAGTATCTGAGGTCAGATTTGAACTTGGAAAGATGAGTCTTTCTGACTCCAGGCCCAGTACTCTATCCATTTTACTACCACCCAGCTACTTTCTATATATTGTGTGTTTACTGATCTGTGTAAATTGAGTTTCAGTTGTTTTCTGTCATTAGACTAAAACTTCCTTGAGGACAAGAGATTTTTGTTTTTGTCTTTTTTTTTTATCTCTAGTACCTAATACCTAGTGCCTGGCACATAATCGATGGTTAATAAATTTTTGTTGAAGTCCTTCCTTCACTCTCGAAACCTTCAGAATTCCTCAGAGAAAATAACATTTTATTTTAGATATGTACTTTGACGTTTAGAAATACAATACAGTGGATAGAGTCCCTCAGCCATTTGAGGCTTTTTTTTTCCCATTGCTAACTTTCCCCAACCCCCTCAGAAATGTGCTAATGTCTGGAATTGTATTTATTAGAAGTAAAAAGATTGTTGAAATTAATCTCGAGAATAGTTGGAGAATTTCTCAATATACCCTTGCTATAATTCAAAATCAGTAGATGTCTTAAACTCAGAAGGACCTGAGTTTTCATATCTATGTCTGTCTCTGACATTTTACTCTGTGGGTGACCGTGGGCAAGTTATAACTTCACTGAGTCTTAGGTAAACTGTCTAATAACTTAGTTTGAAATCCCAGTGAACAGTAAGATGTAAGGAGACATAGCCATCTCTTCTTTCTTTTTCTTAAAATAACCAAAGGTTTATCTATTTTTCCCCATCATAAAACAAACTTTTAATTTTACTTATTAGTTCAATTTTTTAAAAAACTTTCAGTTTTGTCAGTCTCTCCTTTGATTTCCAGGATTTCAATTTTGGTGATTAATTGGGGATTTTTAATTTGCTCTTTTTTTTAGTTTTTTTAAGTTTCAGACCCAATTCATCTCTCTCTCTCATTCTCTCTGTGTGTCTCTCTCTCTTTCTTTCTCTCTCATTGATGTAAGCATTTAAAGATATATAAAATTTCCCGTAAGTACTGCTTTGGCTACATGCCACAGATTTTGGCATGTTGTCTCATTGTTGTCATCATCTTTAATGAAATTATTGATGGTTTCTATGATTTGTTCTTTTACCCACTCATTCTTTAGGATTACATTATTTAGTTTCCTATTAAGTTTTAATCTATGCTTCCAAACTTTTTATTGAATATAATTTTTATTGCATTATGGTCCAGAAAGGGTCCGTTTAATATATATGCTTTTGGCATTTGTGAGGTTTTTATGCCCTAATACGTGGTCAGTTTTTGTGAAGGTGCCGGAGACATAGCCATCTCCCAGCCTCCCTATGCCTCTTTCTCCTACTGTCCTTGGATTTCTTTACCTACCTCTCCTCCTCTCTTTCTTTTTCTGTGCTTCTCTCTCCTTAATTTCATTTTCTTTGTCCCCTTATCCTGGTCACCCATGTCCCTTAGGCAAAAACATGCAACTGATGATTATTTTGAGTCCCTCTTCATTTAAAAAGTGGGTGACAGCAATATACACTTCTCTTTTTAAACAGAAAAAAAATCAAACAAATCCAAGCCAGATTAAAAACTGCTTTTCCTTTGTGGTTCGACACTGATTCTTTTTTTTTTAAAGTACAGTAGCTTTTGTTGAACAAGCCGAAGAAAGCCCCCCTAATTATTGCTCTAATTATTGCTCTCTACTGCCCCCTTGTGTTCCCAAAGGAGATGTGTCTGTAGTGGGGTATGGCAGAATGTGCCATTTTAAATGAATCCCATCTCAGGTCTTTGCTTCAAGTTATTTCAGATTTTTTTTTACTTGATTTTACCCTCCGCCCTGCAAAATGTGCTTATTCCTGGAATTTTATTTTAAAAGTAACTCTGTTAAAATTAATCTCCGTGAATTTCTCCATACTCCCTAGTAGTATGGAGTTTTCAAAACCAGCACAAATCTTGGGTTGTGTCTCTGAGGAGACTGCTGTGGTTGCCAACTTGGCAGTAGAGGAGGAGGAGTGGGAGAGTTCTGAAGGTCTAGAAATCTATTTGCCCCTGAGAGTAAGGGCCCAAGTGGTTCCCTGATTTTTGAGGAGTAGACCAGCCTGAGCTCTGCTTTCCACTGCTAAGATTTGGAAGTCTGTGTCAGCCTCAGCTGGAGTGTACTGGAGGGAGAAATCCTGGAGACACTTGGCCTGTTTGGGACCTGGAAGATGGCAAAGAAGGCTCCCTCTCACCTGGGGAAGCTCCTTCTGAAGATACCTCTTCTCTTGATCGGCCTTCAAGTCTTTGACTTCATTCATGACATCTTGGATCAGTCCCATAGCCTGCAGGAGGAAGCAACAGGAGCTAGGATGACATACCTGGCTAAGGGTGTGCTGGAGCCAGCTTGAACCCACCGAAATTAAATGTTAAATTTTCAGTGTTGTAAGCATTTACACCTTGGGAAATCAACAAATACTATAAAATAGGGTTTGTTGTATTGTTTTATTGATTGTCTAAATATAAGAAAGTGATGGGGAAATGTTAATAAAGGGTATGTCATGAGCATTTTTTTCCCTGGAGAGTCACTTGTTAAACATTTACCAATGGAATAGTTTCTCTATGCTGGAGGAAAACTGTTGTCTGGGTCTTGTTAGCCTTCTACCTGTACCTAGAAGAGTGAGTTGCTGTGTGGCCAATGAGGGATGCCTAAGTCCTAGCATCACCTCTTGTATGGATTCCTTCGGTCAGCCACAAAAAATGCTCTCAACAAGGGGCTGCTGTCTGGGACCTGAAAGTGCTCAGGGATCTCAGCACTGCCAGCTAGATGTTCCACTGTTCCACTTACCGTGTGTGTGTGTGTGTGGTGTGTGTGTGTGTGTGTGTGTGTGTGTGTGTGTGTGTCGCTTGCCTGATTGAAAGATATCAGACTGTTTTTACTATTGGAATGGTAATTGAATTAACAACTACCTAAAAGTTCATTTTAGTTATTGTGGCTATTGTTGCTTTTTTGAATGAAGTTTATGTTAGTATCTTGTTCAGAATACCATAATTTTAAAAAGGAAATGATATTGGAGATTTCTCTGGCAAGACTGTAACTCAGCATTGGAAAGAGCACTAGTCGAAGAATTGGGAGGTGAGGTTCTAGTTCCAACTATACCAGTAACTTTAGCTCTATGATTTGGGGCAAGTGACTTCGATTTTTTGTGCCTCAGTTTCCCTATCTGTATAAAGAGGTGGTTTGACTAATTGATCTCTAAGGTACTTTTCCAACGTCTCCTAGATTAGGACTGGGGAGGTGTGAAATTTGAGCCAGAGTGTTCCTAAACCTTGGAACGTCTAACACTATCCCCCTCCCCCCACCCCTCGCCGGCCATTCAGGGTCCTTATCCTTCTTTATTTTCCGGTTGTGGTTGCACCTCCTGCTTTTTCTAGGGTTTTAAGTTTCTAGTTGTTTGCCTGATGAACGCCGAGGTCTTCAAATGGAAACACAAAGCTCAGCTATGACCCCCGACTTAGAACTAAGGGATACACCTCCCACCGAGGACTGGCTCTTTCCTCTCTACAAACCTAGAACGTATGCTCGCTCAGAACTTGTCTGTTAACAGCAGAGACCTAACTTGACCAAACCTGAACAAGCATTCCATGGGGAAAGGGAACTCTTAAAGTCCTGGGGACGACAGTCAGACCCCCATCCCTCAGTAAAGCTGGCTCACCTTGGAAATGCCGTCCTCATTGGCCTCCACTTTCTTTTTCATCTGCATCATTTGCCACATGTCTGACACCCGGGAGCCACTCGGCGTCTTCTCTAACAGGTCGGTACCGGATGGCAGCTTGTCCAAAGCAGCTATTTGCTGCCCAAACACATCAACCTGGGAGCCAATGTTCTGTACCTGGCTCTCAATTCCTTGCACCTGACTCCCAATGGCTTGGACTTGTTTGCCTAAATCCTGTACCTGTCCCCCCAGGTCCTTCACCTGAGCCTCTATTACTTGGGGTGTAGGTCGCGCTGAAGAAGGCTGCTTACTGATGCTGACCTTTCTCTTTTCTTTGGTCGGGTACCCACTTATGGACGCCCGGAGAGACTCTGTGCTCCGGCTCTGCTCAGTGATGTGGGGAGGCAAGTCAATTTTGACTTCCTGCAGGTTTAGATGTTTGAGCATAGTTAAGAGCAAGGTGTGGAGGGCGTTGAAGTTGACAGCGCCAATCTCCGGGGTACCAATTGAAAGGTCCACCAGCTCCATCAGGGTGATTTTGGCAGGCATGACTAGCCCACTTAGGTCGGTTCAACATTCAAACCGGTCAGGCTCAGGATGGGCTCCCTCAATAGAAAGAATAGGCCAGTTCGTCGTCCCCCTTGTCAATCCAGAAGGGCGGCTTTGGCGAGCTCCTGCCAGTTGCTACCAGCTGTCTTGGTGCCCTTAGCCAGCCCTGCCAAATAACTATGCCTGAAGGATATATGTCCCACCTGTCGGGGGACAACGCTATCAGGAACCTTAAGGATACAGCCCAGGCTGGTGCGTGCCCAGGTAGCAAAGGACTCCTCGTCCTTCTCTTGGAAGCCCTGCCCCGTGCAGACCTCCCTCCCTCCCACCTCCCACCATCGATTCAGTGAATCTCAGCTTCTTCCTAGGTTGCAGGCTAGACCTCTGCGCAGTACCTACTCTGATCGAGTCTCCCAGCTCGGGCTCCACCCTCTCCCTCCCATTGGTTCTCCGCCAATTCGGCGCTTTTCTCGGACGTTCGAAATGCCCGGCGTGCCATTTGTTTCCTTCGAAGGGGGATTTTATTCTTTTAGTATTCGTGGTTGCTCGGTAACAGTCACAAAAGCAGTACCACGGCTCGCTATGGGTTCCAGGGGAGGAATGCGCCATTCAGATCGAACCCCTGGGGCCCCCCACCAATTTAGGGCGGAAAGGTTGATAGCGAGGTTCACTGGGGAAGCTAGCTGCTCGCTCTCCGAGCCAGCCCATGCAGTGAAAATATTTCCTATCGCTGCCCTCAACCCATTAGCCTAGCAGCCTAACAAGGAAAGCTCGACCTGTGATTGTCATCTCACTCCAAGAATGAGTCTTTTCCAAAGAACGGATCCGGAGGGCTGAAATCAATTCTTGATGGTCAGCATTAGAATTAGAAGTCTCCAGACTCCCAGGCCCCAGCCCACTTGTCCACTGCCAGACGGTTTTCTAGCAGCCTACGGGGGGGAGGAAGGGGAGTGCGCTTGCAGAGGTCCTTCCCTGGACAACCGGAGGTTCATTTACAAACATAAGTAGCCGAATGCGTTCATACAACTGGTGGCAACCTGTTTAACGTTAACATGCTCCTTATGAGCGTTGAACTTCTCACAATAACCTTCCATTCTGAGGGAGGTGCTTTAATTATTCTCATTTTATAGATGAGACTGAAGAAGGCGGCAGTAAATGGCTTGTTCAGGTCAAACAGCTAACCTATATAGGATCAGATTTCAACTCAGACCCAACTCCAGATCCAGCACTCTATACCCACCACAGCACCTACCTAGCATTTTTAACCTGAGGTACTTATTTAAAAAAATACTGACAACTGCATTTCATAATCGTTTTAATTTTTGTAATCCTGTTTTTATGAATTTAAAAACATCGTAAGGCTCCCCCCAACCCCTCCCCAACGTCATCAGTCTGCCAGAGGAGTCCGTGGCACAAAAACAGTTAAGGATTCCTGTTGTTTCAAAAAAAAAAAAAAGGTGAGGGAGTGTGGAGGGTGTTTCACTATGGAGGTAGAAAAGTGGTAAATATCTATAATCTTGAAAGTGCTCTACGTGGCAAGCTTTTCTCCTGCTACATGAACAGATTTCTCTAAAATCAAAGATAACTTTAGTGAAGTCTCAATTCTGCTGCTAATTAGAAAGATGAAGCTTGGCATTTAACCATTCCCTATGTTCAACCGGATCATAGCTGAAAAGGCTCTTAAAAATCCAGTCCAATCCCTTCCCTTTGCAAATGAGAACACTAAGACTCAAGGTAGAATTGTGACTTGATGGAAGGTCAAAAAGTTATTAAGTGGTAGATGGGATTAGAACCCAAGAGTTTTTTTGGGTTTTTTCAAACTCCAAATCCAGTTTTATACTATATATCACTAAACTCTGTTGCAGAAAGAAAAAAATTCAATCTACTTAAAATGCAGCTGGAACTAATTATTTAAAGGAACTTTGCACTACTTTGGTGAGTCTAAACATGTGAACTCAAAGATTAGTTCTTTTTATTCAAAATGGCACAAATGAGCTGTTCTTAAGTTACCCGACTTCATTAAAATTCAGGTAGTGATGATAAAAAAGGAATGTTAACTCAGCTAACTTTTGATAGACTTGAATTGAAAGCTCAATGAAAATCAAGCGCTCAGATGCTCCACTGCCATTTTATTCATTTAACTTAAAAAAACAAACCACCTCTCTACATCCTAGCAGATTCTGCATCACAAAACTCACTCATTCAGCTCAAGAGTTAACCCTTGGAGAACCATGGTTTGATTATTTTTCTCCAGAATTACTAAGACTAGCCTTCCAGACAAATTTTGACAAAAGTGGAGAATAATACATTTTGGCCACAAGGGAACTTTGTACTTCAATACAGAATGTTTACTACACAGTATCAGAATCAACTGCAAAAATCTGTAAGTGGTGAAGGGGCCAACAGATTAGATTCTAGAAGCTCAACTGATCCCAGGCCATACCTTCCTGTCTTACAGTGGAGGCATGATCTGTTCAGAGGGATAATGTTCTCAGTGTCACACAGCTAGTTGACTTCTAAAGACCTACAAGGCAGCTCTGGAAGAACGAAATTAAACTGGCCAAAAAGTTTTATCTGGAGACTTAGGAACTTACTGAAGAGAGAAGAAAACCTTCATGCTGGGAGAAAGAAATGCAACTGCACAGTAGTCCATTTGTGCTTCTTAACCCTCAAACAATGAATGAAATGGAATGAGTTCTAGGTCAGTGACATTCATTGCTTAGGAGGAAGGCTACACTCACCTCCCACTGATGATTGGCCCTTGGCTGGAAGGGATAAGATTAATTAGTACAGGCAAAAGCAGGAATCTATTCACACAGCACCCAGTACTGTGAGCTAATAAAGAGATTTTAATCTCATGTTGCTATGTAATTTATAATGCTGTAATTTATCAGTTCAGTCCCTAGTACTCATCATACACACCCCTCATTCATGTAGTAAGACAGGAAAGGACATTAGATGGGACAGGCAAATGTAAGGGGGGAAGGGGCAAGGCACATGCTTCTGCAATGTAATGGGGTTAGGTAAAGATCAAGTTATTTAATTTGCAATTTTGAAAAAACCCTGCATGTATCATAGGTTCTAGATTCATAGGCTAGACAGCCCAATCTTGATATTACTGTACTACTTCCTAACTGTATTTAGCCCCATGAAATCTCACATTCTTAAGTGACAGAATACTTACTCCTTTCTTAAGAGATAACTTGATTCATAATCGATACAGGGAAGTATTGTTTGTAGAAGCAATTTCAATGTAACAACCCATTTTCTAAGAAACAAACCAATTAGTTGGGTTATGAAACAGTTTCAGTTAAATCTTTGAAATGGATTCATTTTAAGCATAGGGCCTTAATAGCTTTTATAAAAAGAAATGGATTGGTAGGAGATCCTTCAGCCTGCTGACTCATTCAGCATTAAATCATCTCCGTCACAATGCTTCTCCACACGGCAAAAGAAAGTTTCTGGTAAAAACACTGCTCAATTTGATTTTCTTTTGCTTCTCTACCATCACTCCAAGAAACCTCCAGCACTCTCCTCCTCAAAAAAAAAAAACACCTCAATATACATAACTGATGGCCCTGCCTTTTTTCCTCAAAAGCCCCAGAACAAAGCAAGTCTGGATTCTAGTCATCTACAGTAATGTTTCTAAATAGGTAAGCCATGGATTCCCCATTGTGGATTCTCCGTATTGCTTCAGAAAGAATCAAGCTGATATCAACAGTCTTTATCTTGGGACACTGCAGCTTCTGTACTTCATGAGGAACAGTGTTGGTCACCACCACCTACAGCCGCACAGTAAGAGAAAAGAAATAGTGTTATCAGATTTTGGAATCACTCCCCACAGCCCCCTTCAAAAAAACTTCATTTTGAAAATTTTAGTTCCTACAACAGAAATGAGAACACTAAGCTGTATGGCAAGTAAAAACAAACAAACAAAAAAAGTTGGAGGAGAGGACATCACTTAAAGGGTATTCTGCTGTTTCTCATGTATTTAAGCCATTTCTAAATAACTATAAATTGTTGAGTCTGAGCACTGGAACGCTGACATGAACTGCCTAATTAAACATTCTTCTAGGTAAAGTTTTTGATCTACCCTGGAGAACTTGAATTGGGAAAATTACCTTCCCAACAATGTATAAGTAAACACCTGGTGGTGTTCATAAATATATAAAGCCAAGAGGATAAGGTTTTGTTTTGTGCTGGTGTTTCTGATGATCTTGATGCCCTAACTTTCCTGCCCTGTTAGTAAGAAAAAGCCACCTGTTTAGTGTCCTGGAAGGAATCACTTATTGTTTGACCTTAGGCAAACTGTTTCATGTCCACCTTCCCACTCCTCAGTTTCCCTCATCTTCAAAATGCAAAAAATCCACAATTTCATGCTTGCAAATCAACCTGCAGGGATCCTGTGAATGAAACATTTTGCACTGTACAACACTATATAAATATATCTACATAATTATAAACAGGCAACACTATACTCCAGGCCTTAAGACCTGGATTCTAGTCCGACTTTGTGACCTTAGGCAAATCACTTCACTTCTGTGGGATCCAGTTTCCTTACCAGTAAAATAAAGGAACTGAACCTGTAACTTTTTTCTAGCTCTAGTATTCTCTAATTCCATGTGCTTTTAAGTACTGAGTTTGTGAATCACTGAAAGAATAGCAATGAGCAATGACTTGAGCCAGCTCAGAAGAAAAGGAAGGTGCCCCTTCTCTTTCAGAACAGACATACTTCATCAATGGAAGATTCCTCAATTAGGCGAGGAGCATCTGCAGACAAGATGCCATGAGTGGCCATGACATAAATCTTGTAGGCACCGCGCTCTTTGAGTATCTCAGCAGCAGCAACAAAACTTTCCACATCATCAATGATGTCATCCTGGGGGGAGAACAGAACAGAATCAGAGAGCTGTTGCCCACTGTCTTAACCTACTCCTACGGCTCACCTTAAATACAGAATTAAAAGACAATTTAACCTTTCCCTTTTTTCTAGGGAATAAAATGTACTCCTTTTTTTTTCAATTTTCATCTGCAGGTGTTTCACAGTGTATGTTGTCTGAGTTTACAATTATTCTGGCTACTCCAGCTAAAGCCAACCCTAAGCCAAGGATGACCATGTAGAAACGGTCACAATGGCAATACTGGCATGTGGGACCAGCCCAAGCAGCAGTGGGATTTTGGTATATATAAATACCTGCAGCTAGGAATCTCTCATTCAAGCTCTTTATAAAGCAACTTCAGTGGAAAGACACCAGAAGAAATCCTCCAGCAAAGACATTCTAAGCAGAGCTGTGGGTGAATGCACAAGTAACATAAACACACTATCCAAAGGCTGAGAGGCATCTGAACTCTGGAGGACACTGGCTTGCTTACCTTGGTGATAAAACTAACATCTGTCATTAAGTACCATGCTGCCAGTATCTTTGGCCAGTTAATTCAGACAGTTAAGAGCAGTGACAAGCCATGGGTTTGAATACGTCATTGAGAATTCTATTATTTTTGTCTCATTTCTTGAGTACAGTTCATAGTCTGGCCCTGACAATTCTCTCAGAAATTGTTCTACTGGCCATCAGAGGTATCAGATGAAAGAATGGAGGCATTATTTCAAAAATATCAATCAGGGGCAGCTAGGTGGTGCAGTGGATAGAGCACAGGCCCTGGAGTCAGGGACTTGAGTTGAAATCCAGCTTCAGACACTCGATACTAGCTGTGTGACCCTAGGAAAATCACTTAACCCTGACTGCCTCACCCCCCCCCACCTCAACATGATATGAAAAAGATCAAAAGCATAAACCCTAACGATACATGTGCCTGCATGCATCTGTTCACTGGAGCAGTGTCATCTTGCAGAAATTACATTCTACATAAGTTCAAGTGTTTATGTTTTTTGCAGTGAATAAGGATACCATACCACTATGATGGCAATCCTCCCTCCAACATCTCCAACTACAGTGATTGGTGGTTTTTCTTTGGCCATCATCACTAGGAAAAAACAAAATTTGGTTAGCATTTATACATCATAAGAGGAATGTACATACATACACATATATTTTATTTACTTCATAAAATGGTTTTGTCGCTGACAGTAAGATTCTCAAAGCTTCTCCATCATCAAACCCAGTGTGGCCCCAGGTTGCCAAAAGCCAGAAAAACTTACAAGGACCTCCCTAGGATCAGAGGCTCTAGAACACTTCTCAGGATGAAAAAGAATCCTGTCTACACCTTTCAGGAGAGCTCAGCTTGTTCTGCCTAAGTTTTGTGGTACTGCACACAGGAGGCAGAGGGGCTTGGGTCAACACAGGAACGGATTACTAATGTGGACCAAAGGGCAAGAGGCAAGACAACAGGAGCAGATGGAACAGAGACCAGGTTCACCTGACTGTTGGTGAGTGAAGAATAATCAATATCCTTTTTCCTAGAGTTTAAATTTCTACCCCCTCCCCCCTTTCAAAAGCCCTGCCTCAGACCAGCTGGGAGGAGAGGAAAGCTCCAGGTCTCACTGTGGCCTTCTGTCCCTGGTGTGAATTTCTAAGTTACCTGATGTAGTTTACAAATTATTTTTAAAGACCCCGTGATTTCATGCATGTAATATAGGGAGCTCCTGGTAAGGAATTTCCCCTAACAGGACAGATGAGCGTGTTCTCTGCAACTCCCATTTGAGAGCTGTTGGGAGCGCTGGGAGATAAAGTGACTTGCGATGTATCAGAGGTAGTACTTGAACCTAGGTAAGACCAGCTATCTATTATGCCACCTTGTATCCCTCAATAATGAATCACATAGACATTAGCAGTGATTCTAAATACACCTGTAAACTCATGGTCTGAGACTGAGAAAGAAAAAACTGTACCCCATCCTCTTCAGGGTCAGGGAACCTACGGCCTTGAGGTCCTATGTGGCCCTTTAGGTCTTCAAGTGTGGCCCGATTCAGTCAAAGGTGGTGGTTCCCCACCACTATTCTAGGTTTTATTGCTGGGTGGAGGTTGAGCTCATTAGAGAAAATAAGAATTTCTGAAAATTTGGGAATTTACTGAGAATGTTCCCATATATACAAACTGCCATAGAACCCAAAGCCAGAAAATTAATGAGTCAAGCCAGAAGGATTGGTGTAGTTATCCCTAATTGCATCTGTGAGGCAATGACCATACTCCAAATCACACAGCCACACTCCACAAGAACTACACTAGAATACTTAAAAAAAAAATTCTCCTAAGGGTCAAGTAACAGAATTTGAAGTTCTCCCCAAGAAAGAATCCGTTCCACGTAGGCTAACAATATGTAGAATAGAAACTAAGAGTAGAAATTTAGAATTCTGACCGTGCATAAAACAAAGATTAAGACAGAAAAATCCTTTGATTTCAAAGTTAAGTGAAATATTTTGACTATTTTCCACAGAAACCACTGAACTTTAGGGGTTCTGCTCTTACTACCAAAGAGATTATAATAGTTGAATCCAAGCCCATTTTACTCTACAGCTCAGTGAACAGAAGTCTGTTGAACTCAGATTGTAAACGAGTCAAAAAGAAACAACTATTTTATTGGTGAATTTAAGATATTTCCTAACTCCCAATTCAAGAAAAAAAAATACCAATATTAATTTTATTTCCTGTATTCTAGGACAAGAAACCCCAAAGCTCCTATACATTAATGTTATTTTCAAAAGGGAAAAGCTATCAACGGAAGCAGTTAAACTGTCTTTCCTTTAATTCTGTGTTTAAGATAAACCACACAGGTAGGTGGTTATGCTGACCTACCCGCCTCCTAAAGAGATGTGATCCTTTTTCTTGATCATTTTTTCCTCTGCAAAAAAAGAAAGAAATTGCAAGCCAGTATCTACCCATAACCACATCAAATGCCAGCAGAAGTAAAACTTTGTTCTACTATGATACAGAAAACATATCAACTTCGTGGTCAGTTTCTGCCTAAAAAAATAATCTTTTCTACTCCCCTTCAATATACAGTTTTTGAAATTCAATAACAGCGTGGGAAGCAAAAGAAAAGGTCTGTGACCAAATGTTTTCCTCCCAAAAAGCTGAATTTATCTGTGTTTTAAAGGAACACTGGACAAAATTGGTTAAGACGATTCTAAAAACTATTTAAAATAAACTTTAGAAGTGGGTAGAATAAGTGTTATATATAAAAAAGCATCAACATAACCAAAAATAAAGAAAAAAGAGTGGAGGGAACCACTAGGCATTTCACATTAAAAAAAAAATTCTCCCTAATAACTGAAACAGATATTAATAGTTTTTTTAAATGATGTGGTAAAGGATTAAAGAAATGCCATGGGCAAAAAAATACTAAACCACCAGAAGCTTTTCTTTTAAAGCTTTCTTCTATCCTGCCATTTCATTAAGAAAAACACACCATTTAAAGAACAAAGCTAATTTTGGAGTTTAAGGTAGCACTTGTAAGCCAGCCTCCAGTAAAATGTGAGTCACAGTTGGGTCCTTAGTTACCCAGAGGATCAAGAACTCTAACAAACCCATCACAGCTCCTTCACTAGAGCCAAATAAATGCTTGTTGGATTAGACTGGACGATTAAAATACCAGCTTTGCTATGTATTAGAAGATGAAGAGGAAAAAGTTTTTTCATTTCATCAACGTGGTGTATTTATAGTTTAATAGAAAACTATACCCAACAAAAGTCTGATGCTAAATAAGATAGAGAAAACACAAGACAAGAACAGACCCCTAGTTAAAACTTAATTCAAAACAGGCCACAGCGTCAGAAAAAGGCAGAATAAAAATGAATGGGCCCCAATATCACCCCCTTCTGTAAACTCAAATTTACCACTATATATATAATGAACTAGACCAGTCCACAAAAGGTTTAGTCGTGTTTTGTTTTTTTTTAATTAGAAATGACCTCTAGCCATTACTCAATAAAAAAAACTTTTAAAGGCTGTCATGGAGAAAAAGTAAAGCTCCTGGGATAAGTGGAGGTGACATTTCTATAAACATGAACATACCATTACCTAAAAATTCATTCTTTCGGCAGGACTTGTTACTAGAATAGCAACTTTTCTGAACAAAGCAATGTTCTAAGGTTAAGCAATGCCTTTCCAATCAATGACTGCCATACCTGAGACAGATCCATATTAATGGTGAAAGGCTTACATTTCTTATTCTCTCTCTCTGATGGGAACTATCTTTACATATAAGTAAGTAGAGGTTGCACTGTTAAGACTGCTATGAAGTACAACATTCCAATCTAATTTTGTATCAAATATGTGCTGCATTCAAAACCGAGTCAACGTGGCTAGTGAGCACAATATCTGAGAAGCAGATTTTGGAACAACTCTTCTTTTTAGGATGAGAATAGCCTGCCATATAACCTATCTGAAGAACAGGAACATTAGCCTTTCTTTTCCAGTGACTGTATATACATCAAGTAAAAGAAAGATTGGAAGCCTTTTATTATAGCATAGTTTGGGGCAACTAACTCTTTAAAAGAATAAAAGATCACAGTGGGTTTATAACTTCAAAAAGCAAAAGAAGAATCTCTTAAATCCAATGATAAGAACCCAAAAGGGAGAGAAGAGGAGGAGAGAAGGAGAAGAGGGAGGGGGAAGAGAGAAAGATTCAGGTAAATTTATTTAACACTAAATCAAAAGCCTCTCTAGAGCCAAACTAATGGCTGATCACATTACCAACACAGATTTGTTAAGGACAGGAATATAGGAGGAAGAGAAAAGTTATCACAAAGCTCTCAGCTGAACTATCTTTCACATGTGATAATTCTGACTCAGTCAGAGTGTTTAATATTTCAATAATCCAAAATTATATGAAATGAGGTTTAAAATAAGGCTCTCAGAATTTGAATGCAGGTTCTAAATCCAAATAAAGTGCTCTTCTACAGTGATGTCTCACGCAGGTCTACACATGTAGAAAGAAATGACAAACTATTGCCTGGCAAGAACATTTTACTAAATTTACATATGCTATTTCAAACAACTGCCTTCTTGTAGGGAGCGCAGTATCATAATAAACACATTGGTTACTTAAGTGTGTACTCATCTCACCGAAACACACCAAATAACAACTGTACTGAAGCACACTTAATTTTTGGAAAACATAACTCCACATGTTGCAAAATTATACTTTTGGGAACTTTTCAACCTGTGCAAATGTGTCAAGACATATCATCTTTAAGCTATGCTATGCTCTGGAAAGCTGGTACCTGAGTCAAACCAGTCAAAACAGAATTCCATCATGTGTAATAACCCATGTCATGTTAAGGGGGAGAAAACTTATTACCATCACCACTATGAACTTTGCTTTCTGTAAATGAATTCATTTGTATTTCCATGAAAGATTTCTCCCAGGTTGAGAATGTGTGGAGACAAATCAACGTTTACATGGCAAAAATATCAGAATGGTGGGTATTCCTTATGTTCCTGTTTCTTCCTGATTACTAAACTATCTTAAGCAGACTTAACTAAAAAGTCTATACAGACAGTTCTTGATTTACACAAAATTGCATTAGGCAAATTTGACTTTCACATAGAAAACTGTGAAAGAAATTTTCACTCCAAAAGAAAACTAAAAACAAAACACCTATGGTAACTTGACTGTATAGTACTGTGTGCTCTGTCTGCTCTTGCACTCCTCTGCTTGGTGCTTTGCAGTCTCCCACCCCTTCTCCCAACCTCCCCCCCTGCCCCAAATCTCTTCAGATGAAAGCAGAAAAGTAGAGAGATGACTGTTGTTGAATTTGTATTGGGGTGTCTTCCTGAGAGACCCTGACCTTTGCTCTCTTCCACACACCTGCCCGTCCAGCCCTTCTACATCTGCTCGAACTGTCCTTGAATCGTGTACAGCCCAACCCCCTTTGCTGTGTGGCTCCCTTCCTATATCCCTCCATTTTTACACAGAGGTCTTCGGAACAGTCCACTTATGTAAAGTGAAAACTGTCCGTAGTGTGCAAAGACGAAAAGAACAGGAGCAATATGGAATTAAAACAAAACAAAACAAAACAAAACACTAAAGAGCCTCTGAAGAGATAACTTCGCTTTCAACAAGTATCGTGGAAAAGGAAAGTCTGCCAGGGTTGTTTTTTTTTCCGTCGGTTGTTTGGTTGGTTTTTTGTGGTTTGCAAAACAACTACAAGGACTGCAAGTATTCTAAGGACAAAATAGAGTCTTTCAGCTACAATTGAAGGTTGCAATAAAAAAATGCATTCCTCTTAGTGTAATCCTTCAGACAAATCTTCAAGTTTATTTAAATCAGTGAAAGAAAGTGGAAATGAAGTGCATGGTGAAGAAACTTTTACTATTAAGTTATGGTTGGTTCAAATGATTCAAAAACTGATTTTGTAAATTTCCACTGGGTTGAAACTGATGACCAAATCTAATATGTAAATAATTATAACTGTGAATAGTGTCAACTTAAATGATGCCCACTCCATGGGATTGCTTAGTCTTAGTAATCAGGACCTTGCTATGAAAACATAAAGGCATTACTTGCCGGCTGATGTTGGACACCATGAAACAGGCTATGCCTGTTCTATACTTGCCAGAGACTAAAATATGAGTAGGAAAAAGTCACCTTGTCACTAGGCTCCAGTTTTCATTTAATACAATTCCCCTTCTTTTAAAAACTGCCCATTTTACTAAAATAAAAAACTTAAGAGTTCTAATCTTCCATTATATTATTTCATTTTAAAGTTTTGAATATCTTATCCTTAAAGTACCAAATGTTGTCTCTATTGGCTCATGTCATACCTCTTCCAAATGTATATTAGATGGTGGTAAAACCAAGGCTGCATTTATGTTAACAACAGGTTTACTGTTTCCCACTATAGGGCTACTGACAGTGATAAAACCATACAACTGGAAAGGACCATAAAGATCTTAACTCTCTCAAATCACTGAAGAGGAAACTGAGGCCCAGCAAAGTAACAACTAAAGTCTCCTGATGTCTTGGTTCAGAGCCCTTTACATAAATAATGCCTTTCAAAAGACGTAAAAACAAAGATAATCTTACAAGGCAACTCAAGACCAGGGTGTACAGTGGCATTTTTGACCATTGGAGGAGAATGACGTCCATCATCCATGTCGAGCTCTGTACACTGAGCTTCTCCATGTATTACAGCTAAACCCAGGCGAAGTCTCTCAGCATATGATTGGGCCCTAGGAGAAAACCCAAGAATACTCATGAAGAACCCTGATAATCATTTCATCAATACTGACTTGTCACCAAGAAAAACATTCCAATGAATTTTAACACCACATTAAGTGCCAACATACTCAATATTTACAAAAAAGTATGGCCTGGCCTTCAATCTGATGATATCTTATGAAGATGGTGGAGTCTTTTGGTACTACATAGGAAAACCACATTAACAGTGTTGTGGGTTTATTAATAAGCTCCGCTTAAATTCCTTTTAATGTTGTACTTTGTTCAATATTATGACACAATGACCACCCCACCCTCCCCCATGGGAAAGAGGTGAGCAATCAGAAGCATTCTGAAAACAACAACAAGAGTTGGAAAAATGCTTCTTGTTTTAGCTGCTTTCCTTTTCCTCAGAATTTTGAAGAATGTAATGCTCTCTTCAAAAGAATATAAATAATAATGATTTAAAGGGTAGAAACAGCAGGTGCCAATTTGAAAAAAGCTTCCTTACATCAACAAAACCTGACTGACTAGGGTATGAGAGCCACAGGGTTCTACTGAAGTTAGATACCAATAAAGGGAGCAACAGAGATACCTCATACATTTCTGACTTATTTACCTTTTTGCAGCATCAGGGGACTTGGCTACAATGACCGCATTTCTGTAATTTGGAATCTGGATTGAGAAGGAAAAAAAGAATAAAAAAAATGTCATTGGATATTACTAGTCACGGAATTTGATAAAAAAAAAAATCAGATGTAAAAAATCACGTGATACAAAACAAAGCAACATACTGGGACAACTAAAGAACCTTTAAAACACATTGGCCATTTAAAATCAGCCCAAAAAACCAAAAACAAAAAACCCTCCACCTTATAGTTATATCACTTGAGATAAAAATAGTCAAATTCATGGAAAGAGTAAACAGATCACCAAAGGGAATGAAAAGGCAATCCTTTTTGTCTTATAAGTAACATGATGCTATGCACATGGCTTGTTGATGGGGAGGCTTATGCCTTACTCAAATAATTAGAAGAGACCTCTGTGCGAAACATTATCTGTTCTGCCTTTTAGATGCTCAACTCCTACATCAGAAAAAGAGCAAAGTAACACAATATTTTACAGAGGACTACTATGTTTTTGCTAGTTGGCGTAAGAGGAGAGTTTTCTCACTTCTTCTTGGATATACTGAAGTAGGAAAGGTGATGCTCTAAGGTTGTCCACGGGAAAGCTGAAAAAGCCTTGTATTTCCTTTTGATGAAGATCCATAGTTATAATGTGTGTTAAACCTGAAATTTTAAAACAAAAAATTAAAATGTTCTCACCTACAAATAGCGATACACTGGACAACATCCTGTGGTCTAACTAAGGATCCCTGAGAGAAAGAGTGGCGAGTGATGCTGGCAGCTCAACAAAGGTGGCTTCAACAAGTCAGTTACACCCAGGTCCTTTAAACATCACACCTCAATCAGAATTACTGACACAAAGGATGCACCAGGCCGAACTGAGAAGCAAAATAAGTTTGCTCCTACTTAGGGTTTGTTTGAACTTGTTCCTGAAAACTCAGCAAAGAACAGAGAAGATAAAAGAAGAAATTTAAATAATGAGTCAATATATACAGAAACACTAAGAGATGTAGATGACAACAGTTTGACTAAAAGATAATTAGAAAGAATGTGAAGCAGTGCTGGAATGAATAGCAAATTGGGAAAATAAAATAGCAGAATGAAAACATCAAAAACAAAGTGATTTATAGTTTAACCATAAATTCTGTTATTTCTGCCTGTCTTGACATAGAAGATGACTGATAAACATGAAAGCAAAATAATGCTGGGAAAACAAGCTACCTTGGTAAAAGAATCAGAAATACCAGAAATATGGAATATATGGAACGAAAGAGATTTGTTTGCTTTTTTAAAAGTTCAGTTATTAACTATTAAAAGAAAGAAAAACAATTTGGACAGGAACAGAATTAGCAAATTAAGAAATGCAAATATATAAAGCCAGGCCAAAATGTAAAAAGACTAGCAGAATGACAAGACTAATATCGAAAGACTAAAATTCAAGAGAAACATGTTGGTGGAGAGAAAAAAGAAGAGTCTGTGCCAAAATTACCACTAGAAACCTATGTAAATTCTACAGAAGCCAAGCAAGGGACTAATCCTATGCAAATAACCAGCAAAGCTCACTTTCCTTTATTCTCTTTATTCATTTATCTATTCGTTCCTTTATTTATTCATATATATACATATATATATGTGTGTGTGTGTGTGTATATGTATACCTACACATACACAAACACAAAGGAGGGGAAGGGTAATGAGGAAGGTCTCACATCTGAATACCTGGTTCTGATCCACCTTCAATAATGAGAGTGCCAAAGTGAAGGAACAGGGCAGCTAGGTGGCGCAGTGGATAGAATGGCTGGGGCTGGAGTCAGGAAGACCTGAGTTCAAATCCGGCCTCAGACCAAACATTTGACATTAGCTATGTGACCCTGGGCAAGTCACTCAACCCCAATTGCCTAAAAAACAAGAACAAAGTAAAGCAATATAAAATTCTTCTATTTTTGACTGTACTTACCTGCTTTGGCTAACATGGAAGCTAGGAGCTTGCACACAATGGAACCTCTCTTTCTCATTTTGCTTTGTTTGCTATAGGGAAAGTAAGGGATGACTCCAATAATATTTCTGGCACAGGCCGTCTTGAGTGCGTAGGCCATGATCAGTAACTCCATAACAGCCGTGTTCACATCTCTAAAACATTAAAATTTGACCATTAGAATTCTTTTCATTTTTTTAAACCTGCAAAACATTCTAATTCCTGACCAATCAAAACAGCCAGATGCTAAGCTATTACATGATAATTCTTCATCTGTTCATGTGGGCTCTAAGGAAGATTCACCAGCCCTACCTACTTAGCAGTTCATGCTAAGTATTTCTGAATCTTTAACTTTACAACACGGCCACCAACCTTTGGCCCTTGGACACTATGTTTAGTTTTTTAGGACTGCTAGCGTTATTTCTAACTGTGGGCATCATTTCAGACCCCACTAGTCACTGGATTCTCTGCAAGACACCAACAGCCACCTGCTTGTACAATCCTCAGGTCTTACAGCACCTGAACTATCTTTACCAAGAACAAAAAAATAATCACCAAAAAGAAAAACGAAAATACTATCACAATTGAGCTCAAAGATCTGTTCTTTCTAAGGGATAAGCTTTATTTTTTTATTTCTAACCCTCGGATGGTAAAAGTTTGAGCTGCTGGAAGAAAAGAGAAGTGGTAGGATGTAAGAAATGTGAAGGTAGAACAAAGATCTGGAGAAACTGACTGGACATATGGTTTTTGGAATAAGAGAAAGTAAGGAGTCAGAAACAAGGTTGTGAGAACCATGATGACTAGAAGCATGGTAGTACTCTCAACACTAACAGGGAAGCCTGAAAGTGGGGAGGGTTTTTTTTGGGGGGGGAATGTAATGACATCTGTGATTCAAGACCATAATCCATGTGATTCATTCTGTCCTACTTCAAATGAAAAGAGGAGAGCAGGGCCTTCAACCAACAGTCATTGTCCTCAAGTACAGAATCCACCCTCTGCAGCCACAAAGATTATAATAAGAGAGGACAAGAAGTAGGGATGAATTTTTCCCAATAATACCCGTACATATTCAGCTAAGAAGTGGGTACTGAGTGGAGAAGGATTGAGGATAAGGGTAGATATGGTTACGTTAGAGATAAGAACTATGATTGGTTATCAAAGCAATAGTCAACCTCTAACTGGATGATCACACATACCCTAGGGTCAAACCACAGCTCCTACTTTGAATAACACCAGCATCTCATTTTTCTTCTGAATCCAAGGGAAAATCTACTTATCTACTTATTTCTTTTCTTATACAGCTTTCACTTGATACACACTCCAACCTTTAACAAAAACAAACAAAAACCACTAAACCAGACAAAGCAGAGACCAAGCCAGACAGACAGCACCTACAATATTCTGTGCCCACAGTCCCCCACCTCTTTACTGAGAGGGAGATTTGATTTATCACTTGTTCTCCAGAACTAAGATTGAACATTGCAATGAACCAGAATTCAGTTGCCATAAGCTAATGCTTTCCTCTATGCCAGTGAGTTGTATATATTATTCTTCTGGTTTACCTTGCTTCATTCTATTATCAGCTCATACAGTTTTTCCTGCGTTTCTCTGAATGCCATTTGCTACTTCTTACACTGTATTCCCTACACGTGAATGTATTCCATTCACACACCACAATTTGTTTAGTCATTCTCCAAACCACATGGTTACTACTATTTAGTTGCCACCACCAGATCATCCACCAGGGGGAAACCAACCCCAATTATACTGTAGTCCTGAATGAGAAAGTTCTCAAATCTGCTGTTACCATTTCATATACATTTTGATCTGTTCTCAAAAGGAAAAAAGGACCAAAGATAACAAAGAAATTTATATCCTGTTAACAATGATTCTGGATTGCTACTCTCTGCATAAGCTCACCCCAACTTTAATTGGTTCCACATTCAAAGGGGAGAAACACAACAAGGACCTTTTAGCATATTCCTTTCTCTACTGGTAATGTATTTTTGCCTGTTCCTTCAGACACTGCCTTACCTTTTTAGTTGATATGAGACTCTCCCTCTCCAGAGAATTCAAATTCAACAAATATTTATTATCTGTTCTTCTTGTATGTCGATTACTAGAGAAGATGCTGGAGAAAATCTAAGTTTAGATGAGTCCTTGCACTCATGGAATTTACATAAGTAACAGGAGAGGGTAAGACCCAAACACAGACAATATTACAAGGACAGTGCATCAGGGATACTAATTTCTAAGTGCACTGGGGCAGCTAGGTGGCCCACTGGATAGAATGGCTGGGGCTGGAGTCAGGAAGACCTGAGTTCAAATCCAGCCTCAGACACTAACTGTGTAACCCTGGGCAAGTCATTTAATCTTTTGCCTCAGTTTCCTCATCTGTAAAATGAGTTGGGAGAAGGAAATGGCAAACCAGTCTAGTACCCAAGAAAACCCCAAATGGGGTTATGAAGAGTCAGACACAACTGAAGTGACTGAACAACAACAAGAAAATATGCCTCAGAGAGGTATAAACAAAGTGCTATGTAAAGCTCAAGTGGAGGGGGGGTTGTTACCACAGGCACAAGACCAGACACAGGAGGTCTTGTGTTGGGCTTTATCTCATGAATTCATGAGATAGAGAGGTAAAAAAAAAAAAATTTCTAAGGGAATAGTATGAACAAAGGAGGAAGGGAAAACATAGGTACTGGAGTTAAAAATACAAAGAATGAAACAATCCCTGCTAGAAAGTAACTTATATCCTCTCTCTTTTTTTTTGCTATTTGGTTGAGGCAATCAGGGTTAAGCCCAGGGTCACACAGCTAGTAAATGTCAAGTGTCTGATTCTGGATTTGAACTCAGCTCCTCCTGACTTCAAGACCAAGCTCTATCTACTGTGCCACCTAGCTGCCCCCCAAAAGGAACTTATATTCTAAAGAGAAGACAGGTACATATACAAATATATGCCAAAAAACCCCATAAAAATCATAAATACAAAATAGCTGTCAAACTCTGAGTGAGTCAGAGATTGTAGATGTAAAAGCATTTTGTAAACCTAAAAGTGCTATAAGAATGTTAACTATTATTTTCTACTTTGTATGATGAGGATTATACTATTTACACTGCTTCACAAGACTGATACAAATTTTTTGTAAATCTGACATTTGTCACATAAATTCGAAATGTTATTTTTCTCAATTTCCCAGGCTGAAGGGTGTCAGAAGCAACAATTAGAAGACCTATAGAAAGATTATGTTTCTACCAGAGGCAGCACAGCCACAGCATCCATTAAGAGAGGAAACAAAAGTATAATACATACAAGCCCCTAAGAAGCAAGGAATAAAAAAGAATGATCAGAAATAATTAAAATAATTATGCACCAGCAAAACACAAATCAAAGGAAAAGGATGAGTGTCTATAAAAGTTTAAAAACTCAAACTAAAAAAATCAAGAGAGATTTAGCTCAATCTGGGGTTGGGGGGTGTCAAGCTATAAAGAACTGCCAAAGGAAAAAAAAAATCCACGGGCAAATGAAGTTTTTCAACTATTTTCAGAGACAGAAGGCATTCTACCAAACTCTTTTGAGGCAAATATAGTCTTGTTACTCAAACCAAGGAGAAACAAAGTAGAGAAAAAGAATTATAGAATTCACTAATGAATACTGATGCAAAAAAAAAAATTAAAATCCTCCAGACTAGAGAAATATATCTAGAAAACAAGCAATTCAGCATAACAAAGTTGGGTTCATACCAAGCATGCAAGGACAGCTCAACATGAGGAAACAATCAATAAACATCTATCAACCACCCATGTGCTAGACCTGCAGAAACAAAGACAAAAGTAACAAAGTTCCTGGCCTCCACCCAGAGTCGACATTTTGTTGGCGAGGGACATCAGACAGTCTGTTTTAGATGTTGCTTATTTTGTTTTTCTCACAAGACAAGGTTCAACCTAAAATAGGAAATAACTGTGCTGTAAAGGTAAAAGACATCTCTAAACTACAAACAAAAACCCAGACTAAGAATTCAAAAACTATAGCAGTTTGGGACCATTTAGTATGTAAAAGGGAGCAGCCTTATGAATTTCACAGAATTTCAGAGGTAAAAGGGAGTATGAAATTATCAAGCCCACAATCCCGTATGGGTAAAGAAACTGAGTTAAATGAATCACCCAAGGTCATACTGCTAGTTACCGGCTGTACCACAACCCATTCTGTGCCTCACATGTAGTAAACATGCAAATGCTTGTTAAACGTAAATATATAATTCATGCTACCGACTTGGTTCATCAAGATTAAAACCAAAAATGACATAAGAAGGCATTAAAATACTGAAAACAAATTACAGCCCATCTTGAAGGACATTGATGGATTTTGTCTCCGACATTTAACTATCAAAGCTCTTCTTAGGTGCTCAATATGGAGGACTATCAAGAGACAGGAAGTATAGAGGGAATAAGCTTTAAATTAATGTCCTATGGTACTCACCCTTAAATATCACGATTGATGCTGTTCCAGTTTTACACTAAAGAGAAATTCAGCCTAGTTACCAGCTCTTGTTATTTTAAACTTAATGTCAAGATTACTACAAATACTAACTTGTAACGGCTACAGTTTCAAGAACTCACATAGGCACAGATCAATTGCAGCATAACTTATTCTTCTAACTGCCCAAAGCAGTTCAGGAATAGCAAAATATTACTGAAATTACAGTTAAATGATTCAGGGTCTTAGAAACCTTACAGGATTTATTTGTTGAGTCATGTCTGATTTTTCAGACCACATTAAGGGGTTTTCTAGGCAAAGAGTTCACTGAAATGGTTTTTAATGTCCTTCTCTAGCGGATTAAAGAAAATAAAGGTTAAGTGATTTGCCCAAGGTCATATAACTATGTAATGAGACTGCATTTGAACTCAGATGTTCCTGACTCCAGGCCCAGTGCTCTAGCCACTGAGCCACCTAACTGCCACTTTTAGTCCAGATAAAGAAACCTTGAGGGAGAGATAGCCTTTTGAGCCCTCTACAGCATCTGGTATACTTAGAGAAGTACTTTGTTGAACTGGATCTCAATGTCAGGTGCTAAAAGAAACAAGTAATTTATACAAAGATATTCACAGTAATCCTAACAGTGGAAAATTTGGAAACACCTCATACATAATTGAGTGGCTAAGCAAAGTAACATATGCTAACGTGACCTAATACCTCATGTAACTATTAAAAATCTTTCCTTGTGTCTTCTATTTCACAGGTACTCAATGAAGAGCACATGTTCTGTCTATCCATTATTTCATGTTCTCACTAAGGGTTCTCTATTTGCTGGTCATACATTTCTTTGATGACATCTTTTATTGGCTTACTTTTAGAAGAATGTCAAGATGGTTAAGTCGCTTTATCTCCTTGATGGTCACTGAATGAGAATCTCCTATTCAAAGTATAACAGCTAAGTGAATGTTTACAGACTCTAGAAACGGTGTGATTCTTGGCACACACCATCCCTTTTCCATCACTGTATCACTGTCACTGTGGGAATGGGAAGAAGGGGCGGGGAACAGGACTGTGGACATGTTTGGTTGTTTTCTGGGTTGTAGAGGCTCAAGAATTCATCACCAAATGGCCAGCCTACAGATGATGAGCTTCTCTTGTATTTAGGGAGGTTGGTCCTTGGATAGAAGTTCTGTAAGTTTGAACCCAGAAGCAAACATGCAATTAATGTAAATAGTACAGCTTTTGGGATGGGTGCATTAAAGTTGCTTAAATTTACTTAAATGAAACCAAAACAAAAAAGATAGATACTCTGAGTACCAAACAGCTGGGAGGTCAACTAGGTACAGAAACCTATTGCATTAATTCCATTTCACTTAAATTCAACTATCAGAGGAAAAGTAATCTGGTTAAAGAACATATGGAGGTACAGGCCTTTGCCATGTTGGTTTCAGTACTCAGAAGACAGGAGGAATTAAAATATTCCTGAAATGTATAACCTGATCAAGGCCATTTAGAGACAAAAGGTCTCTAGAGACTAAGATGTATGAGACTATTTATTTCATATTTCCACCAGGGCCTAGCACAATTTTACCAAGCACCTGTGTAAAATGTTGAATGAATACATTAATCGGAAGGTAACACAACCCCCAAATTATTGATTTGAATTTTATTCCCTGATAACTTAAATACGAAAATATTCACATCTGCTCTATGATATGGGAAAAAAGCAAAAACAAAACGCTGTAAAACAGCCAACTGGAGAACAGCTAAATAAATGGCAGTATAGCAGATAGAAGAGCACTGGGGCTGGAGTCAGAAAGACCTGAGTTCAGATCCACCCTCAGACACTGGCTATGTGACCCTGGGTAAGTCACTTAATCCCTATTTGCCTCAGTGTCCTCATCTGTAAAATGGGGGTGATAACAGCATTTACCTCCCAGGGTTGTTGTAAGGATCAAATGAGATAATATTTGTAAAGGACCCTGCACATAGTAAGCAACACAAATGTTAGCTACTATTATTATCATCATTATTATTACTAATATAACAAAAATAAATATGAAAGAAACGTGGAAAGACCTATATGAAGAGATACTCAGCAAAACCAGAACTATATGCATATTGATTACAACTACATAAAATGAAAAAGCTAGAGACAATCTTTGCATCACAGGATCAAAACGATCAGAGCACGAGGGGATGTTAGGTGATCTAGTCTGGCCTCCTAAATCACTATTTAAATGTCAGCTGCTATCTTGCCCATGGGTTCTTAACCTTTTTTTTGTTTCACTGGCCTCTCTGAATAATGTTTATAAATACCGAAAACAGGATTACAATGGAACCAAATGTGTTGAAATATAGATATCAAAATATTTTGAAAACAAGTTCACTGACTTCAGGTTAAGAACCCCTGCCTCAGGGAAGGTGCTCTTTCTCCTTTATTTTGTACTTGTACTCCTAGCCCCTAGCACATAAGAAGCACTTAATAAATGCTTCAGTCAAACTGGATTTCTTCTTATTAATGACTCTTGTTTGTAATTTAAAAACTCTTTTAAAATTTAAACAACTGGTGATATATTACTGAAAATGCTGCCTTCCAGGATAAATAAAAATTAAAATGTTTTATGAGGGAAAGCATTAGATGGTATGGAGACATGACCCTGAATGGGAACAGAAATGTTGTTATCCCCAGCATGTAAATTCACACGGTGGCACCTCGCACTTGTCCAATGTGCACAGAACATCAGTGATGGTTAGAAGAAGGGTGATCTGGAGTAAGAGAGGTGAAAGAGGTGTCATTGTTTTGCTAGTTCTGAGAAAACAGAGATCCACTGATAACAGCAGGACAGACAAATGGGCACAGTATCCAACAAAAAGCCCCACAGCAGAATTCCTATAACTGAAAGGAACTGTTCAGGGAAGCAGATTTTATACTAATAAGCACACACATTACTTGAACCTAAAAATTCTATTTTGGAAGAAGTATTTACATAATACTATACAGAAGTTCCTTGAAAGGAAAGAGACATATAAGTGAGCTCTAACCTTGGTATTGTCTGTATAATGAAGATATCTTGACCACGAACAGATTCTTTTATTTCAACTCTTGTTTCTGAAAATCAAGGGAAAACATTTTAAACTCAGATAGCTTATAATTCAAATAACACAGCTAAAAGTATATTGTAAAAAGTAGGTTTTTTTAAAATCAACAAACATTTATGAAATGCCTGATATGTGCCAGGCTCTGTGCTTAAGTAGCAGAAATATAAAAAGAGGCAAAAGACAATCCCTGCTCTCAAGGAAATTACAATCTAACGAGGAGACAACATGCAAACAAATACATAAAGAGCAAGCTATATACAGGATGAATAGGAAATAATTACAGAGGGAAGGCACTAGAATTAAAGGATCGGAAAAGGCTTTCTCTAGAAGATGAGGATTTTAGTCAGGACTTATAGGAAGCCAAAGAAGTCAGTAACTGGAGCAGAGGAGGGAGAGCATTCCAGGCACAGAAGACAGAGAGAGAAAATGCCCAGAGCTGAGAGATAGGTGTATTGTTCTTGGAACAGCCAGGAGACTAGTATCACTGGATTGAAGAATACATGTTGGGGAGTAAAGAGTGAAAAAGCTGGAAAGGCAGAAAGGGGCTAGGTTATAAAGAAAGGGCTTTGAATGCCATAGCATTTTTATTTGCTCTTGGAGACAACAGGAAGCCACCAAAATTTACTGAATAGGGTGGTGACATAATCAGACCTATGTTTTAGTCTTTTTGGGGGGCCAGGCAATGAGGTTAAATGACTTGCCCAGGATCACACAGCTAGTTAAGTGTCAAGTGTCTGGTCTGAGACCAGATTTGAACTCAGGTCCTCCTGACGCCAGGGCCGGTGCTCTATCCACTGAGCCATCTAGCTGGTTCTTGACCTATGTTTTAGGAAAATCACTTTAGGGATTGAATGGAGGATGGTTTGGGGCAGGGAAGAACTGAGGCAGGCACCCACAAGCAACCTATTATAATAATCTGGGTGTGAGGTGATGAGGGCCTGCACTAGAGTGGTAGCAGTGTCAAAGAAGAGAAGGGGATGTATTTGAGACAGGTTACAAAGGTGAAATTATCAGGCCTTAGCAACAGCTTGAATATGGGGTAAGAGACAGTGATGAATCCAGGATGACTCCTAGGTGGTGGACCTAAGGGACTGGGAGGATGGTGTTGCCTCTACAGCAGCTGGGGAAGGTAAATAGCTAGGTATCTATTCTTCTTCTTCTTTTTAATTTCTTCTTGGTTTTTGAATTTTTTTCTTTTTTACTGTGAACTTAACCATCAACAAATAAAAGCATTTCAATACACAAAGAACAAGAAAAGACTGAATAAAACATCGTGAACTTGTGCTACATGGTTTTAAAAACTATACATTAACATTAACAAGGTTCTCCCCCACCCCCCCCCCAAAATTAACAAGGTAGAAATAAAGTTGCTATTTATGATGCCTTCCACACTTTCCCTCTGTATTAAAAAAATGTTTCATTGATGCTTTTTTGTATTATCTATCACTATCTAACTAACCAATGATGCCCACTACTCTCCTGAATAGAAGCCCTCACTTGTAACAAGTTTGTTGAGTTCAGCAAAACAAATCAATTCATCGGCCACAGAGGACAAGGCATATTTCATTCTAAATTTCTAGCCTATAGTTTCTATCAAAGAAGTAGGAAGCGTATTTTACCAAGAGTCTTTTTTGAATTCAATATAGTTAGTTCAATGCTTTGATCAGAGTTCTGAAAATCTTTTAAAGTTCTCTTCCTTGACAATAGTACAGATGCCAATGCATGAACTAATCTCTGAGCCTGATCATTTCACTCTGCTGCAGTACAAACAAATCATAAAGGTTTTCTGAACCCACTCATAATTCTGAATGTAATTCTATTTGACAAAATCATAATACAATTTGTTCTGCTATTCTTCAAATGACTCAAACCTATTTTGTTTCCAACAAAAATTGCTACTCTCTTTTTGAACACAATCCGTTTTTCTGCCTGTCCTTGACCTACTTGGGACATATGGCTTATAGTAGTATCCCTAGTTCAAAGGGCACGTAGTGTTTACTCACATTGGGGCACAGTTCCAAACTTTTTTCCCGAATGATTAAATTTGGAGCTCCATCAATGATAGTGTATTTATGTACCTCTTCTCTCAAAACTCCTCACAAAATGGCTAGTTTCTTTAGAGCAACACTTTCTGTAATATCAAAGAACTAGAAATAAATTATATCCATCTCCCGAGAAATGGCTAAACAAATTGTGGTAGATGGATGTAATGGCTTATTACTATACTTTAAGAAACAACAAAGATGATGAATACAGAGAAGCATGGGAAGACTTCAATGAAGCAATCAAACCAGGAAAACAATATCCACAATAATTAAAACATCAATTTGAACAAGAAATTGAAACTGAATATTGTGAAATTACAATGACTCCAGGGATATGAAAAGGTACTTCCTCCCACTTCTCTGTCTGAGAGAAGAGGACACTATAGATCCATCAGGGCAGACCTTTTTGATGTGTTGGTTAGTTTTGTTCAACTATTTTTTCCCCTTGTTATCAGGGATTGCTCTCTGGGGGTAAAAGGATGGAATGTGTTAGGAAATGTGGGTGATGTAAAAATAAAAAGATAACAAATATAACTTCACTTCTGTATTCCTCTTGTCATCTGTGCCAATATGACAGGAGGTATAACCCTGAAGTATTAATTTGTACTTCATTTGTAATTAGAGATTTGGAGTATTTTTTATATGGTTGTTGATAGCTTGCTTTTCTTCTTCTACTGAAAAAAGGAAGAGAAGTTTTCTTACATTGGAAATACACAGTAACCAATAAAAATCAGTAACATCAAAACAACCTCCTTCCATGTGGTATGCATCATAAGGCAATATAAGGGACAGGTGAGCATGGAACCTAAATCCAGGCTCTGCCAACTTACCATGTCTATGGCCTTGGTTAAGAGCTGCCCCTTGAGGGGCAGCTAGGTGGTGCAGTGGATAGAGCACCGGCCCTGAAGTCAGGAGGACCTGAGTTCAAATCCAGCCTCAGACCAACCACTTGACACATTCACTAGCTGTGTGACCCTGGGCAAGTCACTTAACCCCAAATACCTAAATTTAAAAAAAAAAGAGCTTCACCTCTCTAGACCCAGTTTCCTTACTTGTAAAATGAGGGGGGACTGGTCTTAAAAGTCTCTTCCAGCCCTAAATCTATGATCTTATTTATCCCTACAGTCAAAGAAGAAACTCTCTGTGAGCAGAACCAATAGAACGTTGTACACAATTAACAGCTACGTTGTACAATGACTAATATTGATAAACTTAATGCTTCTCAGCAATACAAAGATCTAAGACATCTCCAGAGGCCTCATTATGGAAAATGCCATCCATATCCAAAGAAAGAACTATGGAAGTTGAATTGCTATCATTTTTTTCTCTTCTGTTAAGTTTTGTTTCCTCTTTCTGATGGTTCCTCCTACTGGTTTTAATTTTTTTTTGGGGGGGGGCTAGGCAATGGGGTTAAGTGACTTGCCCAGGGTCACACAGCTAGTAAGTGCTATGTGTCTGAGGCCACATTTGAACTCAGGTCCTCCTGAATCCAGGGCCGGTGTTCCATCCACTGCACCACCTCACTGCCCCCTATTGGTTTTAATTTTTACTTACAACTTCACTAATGTGAAAATATGTTTAATAGGAATGTAAATGTATAACCTATACAGATTGTGCACTGTCTTGGGGAGGGTGGCAGGGAGGAAGGGGGAGAAAAATTTTAAACTCAAAAGCATATGGAAGTCATTGTTGATAAATCAAAACAAATTAATAAAATTTTTTAAAAAAGAAGAAATTATCTGTATGCAAAAGATTCTAAGTGGCTTCTGAAAAATGTTGGATAACAAAACTTTACTAAACTAAGCTAAGTTAGTGAATAAAGGCAAAATTCTCACCTCCATTTGTCTCCTGGTATACAACAGACTTTCCCAACTCAGCACCAAGACGCCTGCAGGAGGAAAAAAACGGAGATTAATAATTTTTCTGGTTTTTTTTCCTTCTAGAGTTGTGTAGTCACCATAATTGTACAACATTCGTTTCTTTTTCTGTTCTTTCCATTTACATTGTTACTTATTGAGGGCATTATTTTCCTGGCTCTAATTACTATACATCATTTCATGTCTTCCTATGCTTCTTTGAATCTTTCCTAATTTATGGCTTAATATGGTACAATAATATTCCATTACATTTTTGTACCACCTTTCTTACATCATTCCCCAGTCGATAAGTATCTATTTGTATCTAGTTCTTTGCTATCACTAAAGAACTGCTATGAGTATTTTGGTGTATATGTGAGTTTTATTTCTATTTTTAACTTCCTTGGGGTATGTGCCTACAGCAGTATTTCTGAGTCAGAGTATAGACAATTTAGGCATTTATGCTACAGTCCAACAGTATGTCTATAATATTTGTATTTTCCCATCTGATGTATAGGAGGGTAGAATAAAATAAGCAAGCTACTTCCAGGTAAGACTTAGAATTAACACTGATTTTGTTGCTAGATGTACCCTAAGAACAAGTCCTGGAGAACAAAACTGCTTTTCCATTCAATATTTTGAACGGGAAACACAAGAACCAGACATGGATGAGCTTCGAGAATTTGGCCTCTAATTCCAGATAAGAGATGTAATGTAAAGGGTTATAGATGAACCAAATTATCTTACACACCTTACTAAGAAAGAGGTAAAAAGGACCCCAGATGAAGCAATGATTAAGAAAAAAAAAAGCCAACAGAAAAACCCAGAATAACAGACAAAACAGAAGCCAGTTTTTCCACCCAGTTCAGAACTTCAAAAAAAGGAGCCAGAAACTGGCAGAGGTTGGAACGGGGTAGGTACTAGAGAAGCCAGCGCAGTCTGATAAAACAGGCTTGAAGCCTGTAGGCTCTGGGAGGAGTTGCATCAGAGAAAGCAGTACACGCCCCAGCAAATAGGCCAAAAGTCACTAAGTGCTGAAAGGTAGAGTCTGCAAGGAAAACCTGCCTAAATTACAGTAAACACGCTTAGAGCCTGCAGGCAATGGGAGAATGATCCCAGAGAAGCCAGCACGAGCTCAGATAAAAAAGACTGATGCCAGCAGACAAACTGAATGAGGATGCCCCAGAAAGAGGTCTCAGATCAGCCTGAGCAATCTCCAGTAAAGGAGACATGATGCCAGATTTCAGTCCTGGCCTGTCAGAAAAGAGGAGGAAAGAGCCAGTCTCCACAGGTCACTAACAAGAGAGAAAGGGCAGAACGGCAGTGGTATCCAAAATATAGATTACAGATGGGACAGGGTCAAAAAGAGTGTACCCAACACATCCAACTAAAGTCCAAGAGGTAAAACCTGAAGAGAATAGATAAGATGTACAAGTAAAAGCTGAGTTTCAAAGAAAAAAAATTATTCATAAGGACTTTAAGAGTGCCAGGAAGGAACAAAGATACAAAAATGAAACGTTAGAGAAAAACTGGGAAGAGAATAAATAGATAAAAACTTATCCAAATAGTAGGCATTCTGAAAAATGGAGCACTCAAAACTCAAAAACTCCATGAAATAGCAAAAATATGAGAAAAAATTCACTTATCAGAGCACAGGATCCTGGCAATAGAAATCAAGTTCTTTTGGAAGAAGGATGAGGGTGGCCAAACTATCTAGAAGAGAAGATTTAAGAACCATCAAACTCCCTGAAAACTAAGGTCAAACAAAAACAAAACACAAATACCATATTTCAAGAACTACCGAATTTTCAAAACTGCCCAGATATTGGGCGAAGTTAAAACAGAAAGTATCTACCAAGCTATACATCTCACTAAGTTGTGCACTGTACCTTTATGAAAAGTGACCATGGGAGACAGAGCCAAGATGGCGGAGGGAAAGCAGTGACTTGCCTGAGCTCTCTCCCAAAACCCCTCCAAATATCTATGAAAAATATAAAAAATGGCTCTAAACAAATTCTAAACCAGCAGAACCCACAAAAAAGACAGCATGAGGCAAATTTCCAGCCCAAGACAACCTGGATGGTTGACCAGAAAGGTATATGGGGCTGGGCGGGAAGAGGAGCGAAGTTTGGTGTGGGCGCCCAGGCCTCAGCAAACCTTGAGCAGACCTCAGAGGACTGAATCTCAGGCAGCTGTGGTGGCTTCCAGACCTCTGAACCCACAAACACCAAAGACAACTTAGAATGTCAGTGGGAAAAGTCTGTTTCTGCTGTGAGAGAAGAGCTAGGTCAGAGCCAGCTCCAGAAAGCAGAGGACAGACTCCGGGGCAGTGGCTGCATCCTGAGCTTCCAGCCCACAGACTGAGTGGGAATTGAGTGGCTGATCAGGGGGATTGCAGGGATCTCTTTGCCAGTGCTAAGGCAGGAATCTCTTGCTTTGCCCGTGCTGCACTTGGGTCACAGTTCTAGGCTGGGTCCTGGGGCGACGACGAGTGCTGGTGTGGTGGAGCTTGTAGTGGCAGTGGAGAGGAAACCTTCACAGTTACAGGACAGAAAGGAGTGCTTGTGGTCACTAACAGACCAGAGCACAGGCCAGGAAAGGAGTTAAACACCTCACCCCTTATCAAACCACCTTGCAAGAACTGAAAATTTACAGGTCCCTACAAGTATCTCTGAAAACAGCTCGCAAAACCCCTGAAGCTTGGGACTGTACATTCTCCACACTGGAAGCAGATTCTTACCTTAACAAAGAGTTTAAAACTCAAGTAATTGGCCGGGATCATGAGCAAGCAGCACAAAAAGAGTCAGACCATAGAATCTTACTTTGGTGACAAAGAAGATCAAAACACACAACCAGAAGACAATAAAGTCAAAGCTCCTACATCCAAAGCCTCCAAGAAAAATATGAATCAGTCCCAGGCCATGGGAAGAGCCCAAAAGGGATTCTGAGAAGCAAGTAACAGAAGCAGAGGAAAAACTGGGAAGAGAAATGAGAGTGATACAAGAAAATCATGAAAAACAAGTCAACAGCTTGCTAAAGGAGACCCAAAAAAATACTGAAGAAAATAACACCTTAAAAAATAGCCTAACCCAAATGGCAAAAGAGGTCCAAAAAGCCAATGAGGAGAAGAACGCCCTAAAAAGAAAAATTGGCCAAATGGAAAAGGAAGTCCAAAAGATTACTGAAGAAAATACTTCCTTAAAAATCAGAATAGAGCAATTGAAAGCTAGTGACTTTATGAGAAATCAAGACACAGCAAAACAAATCCAAAAGAATGAAAAATTAGAAACAATGTGAAATATCTCATTGGAAAAACAACTGACCTGGAAAATAGATCCAGGAGAGAGAATTTAAAAATTATTGGACTATCTGAAAGCCATGATCAAAAAAAGAGCCTAGACATCATCTTTCAAGAAATTATCAAGGAAAACTGCCCTGATATTAGAACCAGAGGGCAAAATAGAAATTGAAAGAATCCACAGATCTCCTCCTGAAAGAGATCCCCAAAGGAAAACTCCTAGGAATATTGTAGCCAAATTCCAGAGTTCCCAGGTCAAGGAGAAAATATTACAAGCTGCCAAAGAAACAATTCAAGTACTGTGGAAACACAATCAGGATAACACAAGATTTAGCAGCTTCTACATTAAAGGACCGCAGGGCATGGAATATAATATTCCGGAGGCAAAGGAGATAGGATTACAACCAAGAATCACCTACCCAGCAAAACTGAGTATAATCCTTCAGGGAAAAAATGGTCATTCAGTGAAATAGAGGACTTTCAAGCATTCTTGATGAAAAGACCAGAGCTGAATAGAAAATTTGACTTTCAAATACAGACTCAAGTGGAACATGAAGAGGTAAACAGGAAAGAGAAATCAAGAGACTTATTAAGTTGAACTGTTCATATTCCTGCACAAAAAGATGATATTTATAACTCATGAGACTTTTGTCAGTATTAGGGTAGTTGGAGGGGGAAAATTATGTATGTAGATAGATAGATAGGTAGAAGGCACAGGGTGAGTTGAAGATTAAGGGGTCATATCTGGAGAATAAAATTAAGGGATGAGAGAGATATATACAGAGAAGAAGAAAGGGAGAGGTAGAAGGGTAAATTATCTCACAAAAAAACAGAAAAAGTCTCTTACAGTGGAGGGAAAAAGGGGAAGGTGAGAGGGAATGAGTGAATCTTATTCTCATAGGACTTGGCTTAAGGAGGGAATAACAAACACATTCAATTGGGTATGGAAATCTGTCTTACCCTACAGGAAAATGGGGGGAGGGGATGACAAGAGAGCAGGGGGATGATAGAGAGGAGGACAGACTGGGAAAGGGGTAATCAGAAGCAAATACTTCTGAGGAGGGACAGGGTCAAAAGAAAGAATAGAAAAAATGGGGGTGGGGGCCAGGATAGAATTAAGGGAAACAGTTTTGCACAACATGTCTACACATCAAACATAACTACAGAAAAGCAAAATATCAAATGCATACTTTACTAACCAAAACACCAAAAAGGGAATTAAGATGCAAAATCAAAGAATAATTTTGGGGAGGGAGGGGGAAGGGAGGAGAGGCAATTGAGGTTAAGCCCAGGGTCACACAGCTAGTAAGTGTCAAGTGTCTCAGGCAGGATGAATTTGAACTCAGGTCTTTCTGACTCAAAAGCTGGAGCTCTATCCACTGTGCCACCAAGCTGCCCCCAAAAATAAATAATTAATCCTAAAGAACGGATGGGAAGTAGATCTAAGATGTTAAAGCAGGAGGAAGTGAGTTCCTTGCCAACTCTTCTAAACAGATCTAAAAAACACACCAGACTGAATCCTGACTGGCAATCCAAAAAAAAAAAAAAGCCACAGGGAGTTATTTTCTGGTACAAGGAAGCAGAAATGCCTGTAGACACTGGGGAAAAGGGTCTGGTCAGGAGTGCTGAACATGCTACACAGAGAGCATTCCAGAGGAAGAGAGAGGTTGTATACCAGGGCAAGAGGAAGCCCCAGACCTATATAAGGGCACTGGGACCAACTGGCTGACTTTG